GCTGCTGTGACCTTCGATGCATGCAATATTGGACTCCAGGACCATACAGGTGTGACCCCTGGACGTATGGGCCCAAGGTCTAAATCATTTGCACACCGGTTGTCCATCTTTTTCCCAAGTCATGAATCGCTCAAGAAGGGAGGCTCTCAGTGGTCTTCATTATGGACTGGAGAAGGATACATCGCAGAGTTTCATAGGTTGTTGAAAGGCATGGACGACGATGAGAAGACCCTCTTGCAAGATGGACTTGAAGATATATTTTCCAACCTTCACTGTCTTCCTGCAAGCACCACTGCAGCTGTATGGCGTGTCAAACAATCAGCCATAGTCTTCGTCACTAATCCCGCATTCTACAAAATTGAATGCTTAGGGAGAGCTGGTGAAAGTCGAAGAGGACCTGTTGTGCGCCGCCCAGTCAATGTAATCAAGGGAAAGCGCATTTTCACAGCGGACCTAATGGATGTCATGCCTTTCGATGCCCTTGGAGCTCTTAGAAAGCGGTCTGACAGGCAGAAACGCAGGGACCTTCATAAAAAACTAACCAAGGCAAACAAGCACAAGAGGGTCCCACCTCCCCCACGTTCCCGCACACGGAGTAGACCATTTCCTCTGTCTAGCCCCAAACCTGTATGTGATGATACAATGGATGTAGATGACTAGCACGTGATCCTTGTGCATCACATACGATAGTCAGCCATTTATATGTACTGTTAGCAAATGTATAGCCAATATTCTCTCTGATATGACCTGATTTCATAGACATAGCGAGCAATAATGTAAAAGTGAATTTATTTGTCACATCAATAATTTTTAGCGATAAAGGCAATAAAGCTAAGGTAAGTAAGACAATTGCATTTCTGCAGTCCAGTCCTTCCTGTTTCTTCCCAATATATTCAAATGCCTGGATATTGATGTACTAAACAAGCCACCAGGTCATCCTCATATAGAGACCAGAAGCCTTTCCTGGTAGGTCGGAGCACATTGTTCACGTGTTGCCACATTCCTGAGGTTATATTTGTTTTTTGCTGCTTACATGACGGGATATACAATTGCAAGGTGATCTGGGACAGTCATAGTTAGTCAATATCTTGGCTGTCCAGAAGCAAAAATAGTACGCACCACTTTGAACCACCTCTTCTCTCATCTTTAATTCATGTCCTTGATAGGGGTCACTGCAGTCTGTGATCTAATAGATGGATGCACATGTCCGGTGATAGAATGGACAACTATCCTGGATTACCTGGCTACAGGTTATATCTCCAAGGATATTGCCCTCTGTGGAACAGGTGGAAGAGGCAGGAAGTGACAGGCAGAAACGCAGGGACCTTCACAAGATATTAACCAAGGCAAACAAGCACAAGAGGGTCCCTCCTCCCCCGCGTCCCCGCACACAAAGCAGACCATTTCCTCTGTCTAGGCACCATGGCTCTGAATAGATGTAGACATGTAGTCCTTGATCTTTGGAAGTGAAGCATCATACAGCATTCTCGGGCATTCATGCACACTATCATTAACTGTATAGCCAATATTTACTATAATGTTACCTGATCTTACATTGGTCGCTCTCAGGACATTGGAACACAAAGAGAAAGAGGAGGAGGATGTCATATTGGACCAGGTAGGGCACTGTCAAATGTCTGTTTCATCACCAGACACATACATGCATCCATTATTGATGTAGTCCAAGTTATTGATCATGGAAAATGAATGTTCAAGAACATTGAATTCACTGGTTAGTAAAAGCAACATTTGTGAGTTACATTGAGTTATTTCATAGCATCCTCTAGTTATACCTTCTTCCACTAACCAAATAGCTTCTGGGGTATAATTTCATGACTTTACCATTCATACTGCTACTCATTCAGTTTCTTGTACCCTCTTTCTCTTTCCTACTACTCTACCCTGTAAGGCTTAATGTCACTTCCTTCTGCCTTCATTTTCACTACCTTTGCAATTATCACATTTCACCTGTTGTTGGTGGGAACAGTGATGAACAAGACAGGTGGATTCAAGGTCTGAGATCACTATTTTCACCTTTCTCCCATCTCACCTTCTGTTAGTGGGAACAGTAATGATATATCTAGCCAAGAAATAGAGTGAGAAATAAAAGGTGAGAAGAGGAGGTTGCTCTATTTCATAGAAATGTCATCACTGTTCCTACTAACAGAGGTGAGATGTGAGAAAGATGAAGGTGGTATACTGTGGAGTATAAAAAATAGTGACTCTGATGGTGGACAGCCATCACATTTCTCTAGAATTGATGATACTGGAATTCCTGCTGTATAACAATGATGTTATCAATTGGCTATTGGTAGTCAATCACAGACCACAAAGATTCACAGGAGGCCTACCTGAATATGTGATCCAGACTTCAGACATCTAGTGATTTGATTGAACCAGTTGTCAAATGTCCATTCCATCACCGGACACGTGCATCCATCTATTATTGATGTTGTCCAAGTCATCAATCATGATCTGGATGTGGCAATCCAGGTTACTTGACAGTCTGAACGCCCTGACGATACCAGGTGTGTGAGCCTGTAGGCACAACTCCCTACATCACATCTATATTCTTGACTTACATATACTGGCAGTCACTATAGTTTTAACTTGTTCAATAAATAGACAAACTTATCTATGTGTCATAGCCAGTGGCTCATCTACTTACATAGGGTGCGAGGACAGAATTTTATGCCGGTTTCAGACATCTTTCTTGAAGTTTGAGTCACCCAGGTGTATAGAGAATCCAGTGACAAACATACAAGTATATCAAAGCAAAAACACAAGGCACATAACATGATGGTCATTCTACCTCAAACACTTCAAGAAGCGAAATTTGTTGTTCATATCGGTGATAATATTAGACTCATGCAGGGTGACATCAACGGAAAATCATCCCAGAAGTGAAAATTAAAATACATGAGTGAGGGAGGGAGAAGCAAGAAAGAGAATTTTTTGGTTCAAGTTGACCGCATTTTTGCTTATATAATCATTGTCACATCAGGCCACAATAATAAAGCCACATCTTATCATAAGAAATATTCGATGAAACAGCACATTTTTGTGCATATGATCAGCGTCAATCAAACGAAAGCTATATATTGTAATTGGAAGATGCTTGTTGAAATTTTGCAAGTTGGCTTATTAGAAGCAAATAACCAACATTGATATGCTGCCTCCCTCTCTAAGATTGATTTTCCAGCCATCATATGACATGTATGACTGTATCTTGAACTTGTTCCTGAGGTTATTGAACCATCTAAATCGAGTGGGCATGCCCATTTCATGTGTAAAAATCATGTTTCAAATTTGAACACCCCTGTCATGCTGCCTTACCCTCTAAGATCGATTTTTTCAGCCTTCACATGACTTGCCTGGCTCAAGATAGGACTTGTTCTAGAAGTTATTGAGCCTCCTGAATCTGATAGCAGCATCTGTTTGGTGCGAAAAAATCATGTTCCAAAGTCATGAGTTATCAAGTCCTGTTGTGCTGAGGCCCTCACCCAAAGTCAATTTTGTCAGCCTTTGCATGACTTGCATAGCTTGATCTCAGGCTTATTTCTGAAGCCATAGACCAGTAGGAGCAACAATTTGATATGGCAAAGTCATGTTGTTGCAAAGTTGCCCACCTATGGTCAAGTTGACCGCTTTTGCTTATGTAAGCAATGTCACCCCTGTTATGCTGCCTCACCCAATGATTGATTTTTTGAGCTTTCATATGACTTGCTTGGCTTCAAATAGAACTTGTTTCTGGGGTTATTTGGCCGTCTGAATCTGATGGGAACACTGGTTTGGTCCGAAAAAATCATATTTCAGAGTGATGCTACCCCCTCCCCCTACCTACTACCTACTGTGCCCAGAGGCAGGATTCCATGTCGATACTGATGTATAAAAGGATGTTCCTAGTGTTTTTGTATCATATTAAGTGATTGGAGATGGTCTCAGAGTCATCCGGGCCCATGTGAATTGTGATGTGTCAGTTTGCCTGATGCCCCCCCCACAAAGATCGATTTTTCTAGGCTTCCCATGACTTGTCAGTCCTTCAGGAGCATCCTTCCTGGGGGTTATTGAACCCTCTGAACATGATGGTCAAGCCAGATTTGCCAGAAAAAATCATGTTCTTGAGATATGCAAGGTCCCCCTCCCCCTCCTATCTCATATATCTTCATATTATGTGAATACTGATATATCAAAGGATGTTCCTAGTGTTTTATGATCACAGGAATCGATTGGAGATGGTCCCAGATTATTTCTAGCCTGTTTGAATTGAAATATGTCAGTTTGCCTCATACCCCCCACAAAGATCGATTTTTACAGACTTCCCATGACTTGCCAGTGCTACAAAAGCATTTTTCCTGGGGGTTCTTGATCCACCTGAACACGATGGTCGAGCCAGATTTCCCAGAAAAAATCGCGTTCTTGAGATATACAAGGTCCTCCTCCCCCCTCCTACCTCCTATATTTTGCTGTGCTTGAATTTAACTTAAGACCGATACTGTAAAGGCCTGTCCTAGTGTTTTCTAGGTGTAGGAATCGATTGGTGATGATCCTGGACCACCTGGAGATCAATATTGGTGACATATGGTGGTGGGGCCAAAACGTCAGTATTTTGGCCATATCTCCACAACCCAACCGCCGATTTCTTTAATTGTTGGCTCATATCATTCCTAGAAGTACCCTCCATGATATGTACCAGCCCATGAAAAGAAATTTTTTCACAAGTTTGAAACCTATTTCTGAAATGACCATATAAGTTATCCAAGACCCATGAGTTGACCGTTGCTCACAATTGTCGTTCATGAAACTATTGGTGCATGGTGCGTGCACTTGACGACGCGACCGCGGCTTTAGTGAAATCTGGAGCTCAGGAATACAAACCACGGACACTTGTATAGTTGATTTTAGTCGATTTTCTTCGTTGTCTATGACTGATGGGTAGTACGTCTCGTTCGTTTTGTCACTGATACTACTACAGTTGCGTACGCAGCCGATTATCAACGTTGACATGGCGGGGTACGAGTCAGCTACAATGAGTAGCCTAGCTTACGGACGACATCGTCCATCATTTGCCATTTGCAATTCGAATCCTTCATCCATGACGGCCTTGACTCTGCCAGGTAGATCCACCGCTTTGAATCGCCATCCCAGGTCGAATATGAAGTCATCGATCTGAATGGCGACATTACACCAACGCGTACCAGGATATTCCAAACGTACGCGAAAATAAGAGAGCAGCAAGAAAGACCTCAAGTGCGTCAACAACATCGATATGCCTGCATGCTTGTAAAGGCACTGAACACGGGAAAGTCCTATCGCACCACGGCAGAGCGACGGCAAGGAGATGCAGGTGCGGAAGCGTGGAACAGTCGTGTAAAGAGAACTGATTGTATCGTGCGACTGTCGACGACAGCCTTGCACCTATGAAGGCGCTGAACACAAAAATCACATATCACAACCATGCCAGAGCGACGGCTCAGAACCCCCGTAAGGAGCGACGGCAAGGAGATGAAGGTTTGGAAGCGTGGAAGAGTCATGTAAAGAGAACTGACGCATCGTGCGACTGTCGACGACAGCCTTGCACCTATGAAGGCGCTGAACACGGAAGTCACACATCACACACCAGCCAGAGCGACGGCTCAGAACCCCCGTAAGGAGCGACGGCAAGGAGATGAAGGTTCGGAAGCGTGTAAGAGTCGTGTAAAGAGAACTGACGCATCGTGCGACTGTCGACGACAGCCTTGCACCTATGAAGGCGCTGAACACGGAAGTCACACATCACACACCATGCCAGAGCGACGGCTCAGAACCCCCGTAAGGAGCGACGGCAAGGAGATGAAGGTTTGGAAGCGTGGAAGAGTCATGTAAAGAGAACTGACGCATCGTGCGACTGTCGACGACAGCCTTGCACCTATGAAGGCGCTGAACACAAAAGTCGCGTCTCAGACAATGCCGGAGCAACAGCTCTAAACCCCGAAAGGAGCTACGACACCGCAAGAGATTGAAACAAGTCATAACAATGTGATAAGTATAAGGTAGAGAAGATGAAGAGCGGAAGTTGAAATTGAACAACCTTTTTAAAATCAACCAATCACGTGATATTCCCACGCCACACACACCACGGGCGAGACAGCATGTTCTTGTTTAACTTTAAGTCGTTAATTGAATGGGTCAAATCGACTGTAGCAATTTCTTATGTAATACATAGGTGAGGCTGGCTTGGTCACGCAGTACTTGCACTGTCATTCGACCTGCAATGCAAAATGTTTCCTTTGTTGTTAGCTCCATCATCCATCCACATCGGCATGGGCTCGGACGGACCTGATTAACTTTTCAATGCGCATCGTTCTGTGTATGGTGAACTACCGCAACAATCTCACTGAGCCCTGTCTTGTGTGCATCATCCATCACAATGGATATTCCGTCGCAGTGTCTGCATCTTAGGACGTTGTGAGACTTGCGCGGTGACCTTGGTGTGCGACTTTCGCTGATCCATGGAATTTTGCTACTGGTTGATCTTTTAGCTTCAGCAACCGTACAAGCGTTTATCATCCAAGCGTTTCACTGCCATCGGACAACATGAATGGGGGAAAACACCGGCAAACATTATCTTTTCACCATATCCTCACTGACAGTCCACAACTCCCCATATTCTCACTTCCGTCTTGAATTATCGATTAGTCCATTCACTCAGCCCATCCCAAATACTTGTCATTGTAGTTCATCACACCATCATGCCAGGTAATGTTGAAGGCCGACATATCAAACTCGAAAGTGAGTCGCTACATACTACCTTCGTATGTTTTTTGCATCCTCACTGTCTATCTACAGGGATGGACAGGGTTAGTTAGCCTCCTGGCGCATTCCCGCTGGCATATATATATATGTCTCACAGCGAGCGCGAGCGTTCCTGGAAGCTTGTCCCTGTAACGGCCAACAGAACTACAATTGCTGGCGACGCAGCATCAAACCTGCCTGACGTGGAATGCAGGATCACAAGCAGCCTTACAATTCTCGTCTTGCCATGAAAGGTGGAACATCACGCGGTTTGCTATTCTGTTCCTCACACCGAGTTCGCGTTCATATTCGTGGTTTATACCACCAACAGCGATGAGGAGATGCCAGGATATTCCTGAATTCTGCCACCATAGTAAACATGGAACGACACTGATATACTTCATATTATGTCTTGGGCCAACTCAGTGACTCATCATGCGCTCGGTGGGTCCTGGGGTGAAATCTCAAAACGAACCCATCGCCAAGGGCTTTTCCATCTGATTGAGCCGTACACGTTTGACAGTGAACAATAGGGAGAATCATGATTACCCTCACGTCGTGTGTGGGATGAGACTCCACTTATCAGAAGTATGGAAGACGAAATCAAACTAGTGCTCGCAATTGTGCCAGTGATGGCGTGACAAGAGGTCGAAGACCTGGAGCAGCGAACAGTTGTTTTTGTCGGACGAGAATATGAGTCGAAAACCCACGCTTTCTGAGATTTTCACCGGATGGATTCCAACTGAACACCTGAAAATAAGAATATATATCGTTTTCGGTTGACATCACACATCCTGAGCTCGCACCGAATCAAATCGTTAGTGACAAGATAGTTCAAGAACATATGTTGCGGCGGATGGCAACACAAGACAAACGGCCCCCTGGTGTAGTGTCATAGCGGCATTGGGCGTCTCGCCATCACACAACCAGAAGCTCATGGTTGTCTGATCGCAACTTTCCAACTGGACATAGGAATATGTGTACTTCAGTGGTGTTGGTTAGCACTTGCGTGACTGAGGACCGCAAAATGCACGAACCTGTGAGATCAATGCAGATACTAAGAGCACGTCTCCACACGTTCGAATACTCCTTTCTGTACTCTTCTTCACTTACATCCGGATCCCAATCTCATTCTAATATTCCGCAAAAAATAGATTTGACCTCATTCCGTCTTGCTTGATATCCAGATGCCGAGAAACCAAGCGCTCGGAAAGTCGAGGAATACTGTTGGCGACACGTCAGAAGTGCGCCATCGACGACGATAACAACAGTGTGCCACTCAATTCATAGTCAAGAATGCCTTGTCTAGTAACTCCAATCGTCGAGCGAAAACCGCTGCAGCGCATACAACATGACCCGTAATCACCAAAGATATGTAGTATCTGCATGAGTTGACATTGATGGCCGCATGGATGTCTGTGTATGTCGTGGAACGTTGGAAATTTGTTGTGCTAACTAATAAAGAGTTTCATATTTGTCGGTGGAGTCGGGAACTGGTGCGCCTGTGGTGTTACGATCATGTAAGCAGTAAGGACAACGATGCTGAGACGGAGTTGTAATTTAAATCCAGTCAGTGGATAAATGGAGACTGGAACAAAGAATGACGTGTGACAGACATAGTAAATTGTGGTGCTTGACGCGCGCATAAATTCACACGATCCCTTCAACCACTATAGTTATGTCATGAACGCGAAGAATTACTCCACAGAGAAACCCATTGTTCTTGTGGTAGATCGGTCATGGCCACAAGATGTGATAGACGACATTTTGAATCTACGATGTTCATTGCAGATGATCAGGAAAACCTTGTGTTTGTCGATTGATGAGGAAGCGGTATGTGATCCTGCGCACTATTGGTTATATTTTTCACAGAGATATCTACACATAGATAGCGGTGCCAAGTCAATGCCACGATGCATTGCACCTCCTACTTCATCATCTCAAAGTCTATCAGCTGACCGCCACGAGACTCCTTGAACGCAAAAACACGATCCCACAACTCCAGACCTACGTTGCCGTCACATATTACTACTGTGAGGTTCTGCTAGCGTTCGTGCAAGAAGTGAAGGTCGACGACCCCGTTTCAAACAAGACATGGCGTTCAGCTCACCTCGACTATCACTTTGCATTGGCGCTAGAGAACAGTGCATTCAACGTGATTATGCAAAAAACGGCGCTAGCAAAGATAAAACGATCATGGGGTGACTTCAAGGAGAAAAAAGTGTATGAGCCAGTCCAGCAGCGTGCGTACTCTCCAGATAATTGAACACCTCACCTCATCTAAACTTCCTTGCGAAAGTCGATATCGCGAAGTACCACAATTTAATGTGCAATGACAAGAACATGTGCGGCAATATATCCGCCACTCACCGTATGTCAGTCGAAGAAATGATCTCCGAAATACTGCCGACTTCCACGAGCCGCACACCCACTGTGGTCGAAGGAGATACGGCCGAGACCGACGTTCGGCAAAATCGTGTCACTGCAAAACCTCAGAAGACCAACAAGCGCACGAGTGTTCGGAATGTGAAAACTAGCGTTGCATCACTAGAGTTCGCAACATGCTCAACCACAACATCTCATGTAGAGGACGACAACATCGAGGAGACTGCGAATATTGTCGAGATGAAGGATAATTCACCGAATAAACGGAAGAGTTTCAAGAGAGGCCGTCAATCAAAGGTACGTGTCAGAAACCACATGAGCGCACAAACAACACTGACATCGTTGGTGGATCAGGAACCTGATGGACGGGATCTGCAAGATTCCACAGCTGAGGTATGCGACCACCAACATCGATCGCACACACAATCATAATCATCGTGTGCAACAGAGTAAGGGCCATGCGAACCGTCCTGGCAGGAAGGTGACTGCTAAGGGAAAAGGGAAAGTATATATCGATCTCGAGTCTGAGGATGAGGGCGAGACGGCCGCGCAAGCAGATTCTTCATCACAGGACGTGCGAGCACCGACCCGGGCTTCTAAGACTTCAGACAGAAAGGGAAAAATGAAAGCCATTGTTGAGTCAGATGATGAGGTATGTGTGTGCATGTGAAACCCAAAATGCTACCGCTGACAGTATTGTCCATGACGAGGTCACACAGGCCACAGCAGAAGTCTCAGTTCGAGCACCATCAGAGGGAGAGTTAGACATTATGACTCCCATGGTACGCATACCGCAATATCAACATAATTGATGACCACTCATGTCTCGTATCATACTCCGTCGTCCACACAGCAGTCAGATCAGTCTATGCTAGAAGTTAAGAGGGTGGGCCCGTCCTTAAGTACATCTCAGATATAGTATAACATCATCCAGGACGACATCGGCGAAGATGTCAGTTGCTACCCTGATCACGACCTCCCATCCACCCTTGAGGATTGGGAGAACTGGAACCGGATAGCGTTGCGGAAAGGACACTCACACATTTTCCTGAAGCTTGGAACATGGATTCTGCTTCGATTCAGACAGTTGGCTAAGATTCCAATCGACGATGATGTTGATGGACTTCTCATTCCAGACCATCCTGCAAATTATGAGATGCAGGACGACGCTGATTTTCACGAGGCCCTAGGAATGACACGTCTGTATTCCGCGATCGCGCACATCGACACACATCCTCAGTACCTAGCGCATATATTCCATGAGCTTGGAAAGGCGTCGAATGAGGAACGACTTGCAAGTAGTCATCCTCGATTTAGGCCTCTCCCAGAACTACCGACACCTGTAAAAAGGTATGTAACGTTCTCGACATATCGCATCACTAAATCGGAATTTAGCATGATGTTCAGCCACGACTCGCCGTTTTTAGACGGGTGGCCCTTCGAGGATGCAGATGTTGACGGTTATGGTGACAACGATGATGGAGGTGTAGCGGGGGCCCTTAATGAGATGATTATCTCAAGTGAACAAAACCCAGCGCCATTGGTCACACCAGATGAGCAAGATCCACAGAAGCGCAAGAGGACGATGTCGAGCACGACTTCTCCACCAAAGGTAAAGTCCATGCGCTTACATTACCCGCCCGGGATGATCTGACGTTCAGCTAACAGAAGGACGGCGGACGGGGGTTTTCAAAGCGGGTAAAGGGAAAACCAGAACAGCTGTTTATCCGTCCGTCAGCACCGTCTGCGACACCCATCGCGGAAGTTGCAATGGCCAGTTCAACGGACATCGGTACTGCAATGAATGAACTGTCTCCAATCGTCAACGTTGACGCTCCATCATCAATATCATCCAACTCTCACCCCACTGCCTCCCGTGACATGGACGCAGTCTCGAACTCGACTCCTCTGCCACAGGTGACAGAGGACGTGCCAGACCACGATCGTATGAACGAGCAGAGTGACATCAACTCACGGAGTCTCAGTCAGAAGGTCAACGACATTCACGTATCGTCAGCCTCGCAGGTCAATGATGCTGCATTGCATATTGCAGATCCTGCGAAAGACGGATCTGTGTCTGACATTGAGGTTTCGGACGGTTTGTGTAGTGACGAATCAGGTCATTCTCGCACAAGTGCTCACATGGACAGTTAGATATATCAGAATAACGTATGACGACTTGACTAGCAGTGATGTATGAGCATGTGAGGCACTCGTCGGTCACTCACGTAGTTGATCTTCTCGCGTTGATATTCACTTCATACATGCAGCTTGATTCACTTACCAGTCAATCCATCGCGCCGAATCATATGACGTTCATCTTATATACATGCATGAACGTCCATTCTCGCATTCTAGAACTACTTGTTAGACATTTGCAATTCATGACGCGGGAGGGAAGATATCGTTGGGTGTCTGATGTTGTAGAGGTGCGGTCGGTCCTCGTGCCCTATAGATCATAAACTCACGTGACGATTCAACTACAAATCGGCTGAACAATACACCATCCGAGACAGTCCACAACAGCAATACGAATATAGGTATCGGACGATTCATAAACGAATCCAGGTAACGATTGAAGATCAAACAATGTTGCCATCAAGTACTGATAGTTTTTGCCACCATCAGGCATGACAGCGCCGAGGAATTATGACTTGACTGTCGGACTGTTGGGGAAAGAAGTACCCTCGAATAGTCCTATTATCCAGTGGAAAGATGGCCATAGGACCATTCTCCCAGCCGTGTACGACGACGACAAGAACAATCTTTGTGATGCTGTAGACATCCAGATCATCAAGTATCTTGCTCACTCTCCTGTATCCGCACCTGATTCACAATATGTGACACATCTATCACACAACGACATAACCGAAAATGATATCCAGGATATAGTTGGCGATTCACTGAGTCAAAATAAACCAGTTGTTATCAGAGGAATAGGATACAATCCAGTGGGCGAAGCGTTGACGGCAGAGTATCTGGACAAATACTACGCCATTTCACCCAATAGGATTGTTTGGATTCACGGTAGCGTTGTATCGTCTGCGGCAATCAGGGAATGCGCTAATTGAAAAATCAGACGTCAGGGCGCGTGCTATGGATCATACAAAGGTCACTACGGCAGGCGTCCTCAAAGCGTTCTTCGAAGACATGAAAAATCCAGAGAAGATACAATGCGTGTTGGACATTCCACTCGCGCAGGCAGCGCTACCAGAGACCTTACGGTACGTTTTCTACCTTCCGAGATATCTCCAACATGACAAAGACTCATGGCAGAAATCTCGATCATGGGTTAGCACATGGGTGGAACCAAACGACATATGACGTCCCCATATCATCGAATATACATCCAGAAAACTTCACAGTGAAGGGGTGGGCTCTGCTCCACCATGCTGGATTTTTGACGTATCCTCATCACGACGCCGAAGGGAGCCTCACATGGGTCAGAATAGAAGTAGGGGTTAAGTTTTGGGTTGTATTCCGACCAAAGGATCGGCAAAACGATCGCAAGCATCTTCAAGATTTCGCACTCAGGCTAGGAAACTTCACCGAAAATGAAGCTTGGATACGAGCTAATTGCGATGCAGAGGTTATCACACTCCTACCTGGAGACATTTTGTGCGTTATATGTGTTGATGGAACACATTCGCTGACATATATGTTCTTGTAGAATAATCCCCCCAGGGCAGGTGCATGCCGTTTATACCCCACTTGCCTCTTTCGCAACAGGGGGTCACTTCTATCACTACGGATGCATGCATCTCACAGAGATATCTAGATACCTTGACGTTGTTGTAGGTGACTGCTTAACCAACCAGGACCTGCACAATGCTCTGGAGACACTTCGACGCATGATGATTGCCATACCGCGCCTGTCGCCTCGAATACGTAAGGCTATCTCGTCATAGTTAGGATCGAAATGTCCCTAACATTGTATGCACAGCACTGTTCAGGAGATCATTACTCGCCCTGTGCATAATGGTTACTCAGGGGAAGGAATATCGTGCAAAGGGTGGATCGGCGTCCTCTATCGTGGATACAGAAACGGCTGCAATCAGCATTGAGATAGCACGAGCGATTTCAACACATCTCGGAGTGACGATACGCAAGTCTACACCCATGTTACTATACCAAGGTGACCAGTTTGCCAAGGGGGAGCTCGTGTTCAAGAAAGGACTAGAGAAGGTGCTGATACCATTTACTGCACTGTAGGACGCATTGATGTCGTACCTTACAACTATTCGTATTGTCCGTACATAACTTACACCTTTTGACTAAGCCATCCATTGTAAAATAGTTCCTAGTTAATATGTGACTCGCAATGGCTCGCTGCCTTTATCAGTCTGCAATTCTTACATCGTCCGTACCCACACTTGCATTGCATGCTTATGCTATAATCAGATCACTGCGATCGTGTCACATTTTGTTAATTTTGAATTGCTGAGGCAGGGAACAATTTCACACGGTAACTTCTGCCCGCATTGTTTGCTTCATCATGGATCCCTCGAAATACACTACTGTAAATCCTATTGTCCTGGTGATCAAACATCACGACTTGGTTACGACACACACGATTTTGACGCAAAGATTCTCGTTAGAAAGGAATGGAACGAGATTGACACTTGTGATTAACAAGAGATCGGTATGTTATTTGTCTCTGATCTGGATGAGTGTTCCATGAGATGGAAAAACATAGGTGACTGTACCCACTCAATGTTATGATGCATTATGGCTTCTGCTTCATCATCACGATGTTTATCGACGGACAGCTAAGGCACTCATGGACGATCTGGAATCACCACGCGCGACTCTCGACACCTACCTTTGCATCACATATTACTACATTGAGGTGCTTGTAGCGTTCGTTCAAGAAGTGAACGATGATGCACCAGCAAGCAAAACATGGCGCTCGGCCCATCTCGACTATCATTTTGCGATGGCATTAAACAACAACGCATTCAGCGAGTCCATGCAACACTCTACTCTGTCAAAGATCAAACGTACTTGGAATGATTTCCGACAGAAGATGGTCTACACACATGTGACGCAGCGTGCGTTACCACCGGCTACTTATATCATCCCTTGCATGCTGATCCAGTCATGAAGTTACAATCACCTCGTACCACGAGGAATTTTGTAACGGCCAGAACATGTGCGGTGATCCGTCCGTCGACCACTGTGTTTCAGTAGAAGGTATGATTGCAGCGATGATAACACCAAGGAATAATAGCACCGGAACGGCCATCGAAACAGAGAAGGCAAAGAAGAAGGTTCGCTTGAATCGTGCTGAAATCAATCAGCAAAAGCACGCCAGGTTGACCACCCAAAGTGTAAAGACAACGGTAGGGCCAACAACGTCCGCAGCCACAGCCTCCGAAATGGAGCATGACAGCGACGAGGCGGCAAGTCTGATCGATATGAAAGAAGATGGACGGAAATCGCATGCAAATGAGAAGGGCGGCCGTCGAGGACAAGTTCGTGTCAAAGATGTACGAAAATCACGTATACATCAGAAAGGCGGCCGTCGAGAAACGGTTCGTGTCATACACGTAGAAGGAATGTACTGAGTTTGCTCGTCTTGCAGGCGGCTCTTGAATTAGATGGAAAGTTCGGCATGGTATGTAACAACTTAGCTATGTCAGACAGATGCATTGAATATTCTGTTCAACACGGTCAGGGTCGCTCCAACCATCCTCAGGTGGACGCAAATATTAGGGGCAAAAGGGTGACATTTATTGAGTCTGAAGACGAGGTGTTTTGCTTATTATGCGATTGAGAGCTTGTGGGATTGATCTTATTCAACAGGACGTCAATGGCAACCCCATAATGTCATCATCAACAGCTGTGCATAGACCGACTCGTGCTCCCACAGCTGCTAAAAGGAATGGAAAACGCAAAGCGATAGTTGAGTCCGAACCGGAGGTCTGTGTCTCGCTCTGCGGGACCGCACGTTGTTGATTCACCTTGTCGAATAGGATGAAAGCAGCAACGTTGCGTCACGTGGTACATCTCTGAGCGTTGCTGAGATCGCCCAACCAGACGCAGATACAGACAACGAGGTGGGCTCGATATGAAGCCGGTCCAGGCTACCGCTTCACGGTCTCCATTTTGATGATCTTATGCAGGAGATCGATGGGATTGACACGGAGCCTGATGGCGTTGACAACGCTGCGGCCATCCCGGTGAGTCATCGATGAATTACCATGTCACAAGATACAATCTACCATCAGCGAGCAGGATCTCGGACACTCAGTGCATATTCAATTCCCGTCTACCCTTGAAGACTGGGAGGAATGGAACTGGATAGCATTTCAGAAGGGCAACTCACAGATTTTCCTGAAGCTTGCAACATGGATACTACTTCGATTCAGACAGCTGGCGAAGATACCCATTCATGGGGATCTCGACGCGTTGCTGATTCCCGAGAATCCGGCATCTTTTCACATGGAGCACGAGTCTGATGTCCATGAGGCACTGGGGATGACATGTCTCTATTCCGCGGTCGCGCACATGGACACACATCCAGAGTTCCTCGCCCACATCTTCCATGAAATTGGAAAAGCATCGTCTGCGAAACGACTTGGATGTAGTCACCCAGGATTGAGGTCCCTGCCCGAACTCCCGATGCCCGTTCATAGGTATGCGACAGCATAGACGGGATGCAATACTAATTTTGCCTGTAGCATTATGTTGGAAGAGCAGCGTTCATGGTTGCAGGCCTTGCCCTTCCAAAACGACGCACATACCGATCACCAGGATGCAGAAGGTGATGTTGACGACGGCGATGGAGGTGAATCGATCTCGATGGCGCTCGATGACATGGTTATCTCTGGTGCGCAATTTTCGGCGGACATTTTGGACGGTCAGGAGGCACAGAAACGCAAAAGGACCCTGTCGAGAACGTTGTCACCACCCAAGGTAAATTCTGCTGGTGATAAGACCGTTAAGACTGTCTTTCATTTGTCACACACTTTTTGTCACAGATGGATGGGGGGCGCGGGTGTCCAAAGCGTTCGAGGGCGTGTACTAAAGAGCCCTTCATTCGTCCGTCATCACCGGTTATGAGATCATTTGCAGGAGTAGCGAGTACCAAAGCAGTGCTCGCGGGGACCACACAGAGCCAACCCGTTCCAATCGAGGTTCGCTACTTTTCAGCGCGCCGGAAATATTTCACATCTCCTATTATGGACGATATGACCTCAGACACCACCACGATGCCCCATCCTCATGCTACAGGATCAAGTCATTGTGCACGTAACAATACCGCTCCATGTGCCATTGGCGCATGTAGTGAGAGTGAAGCAGACTCTGGCAAGCAGTTATTGTCTCAATCGGAGCTCGACGAAGATGTGAGGGTCCTTGTTGTTTCAGCACCAGAATGACTTCATGGATTCTATTAGCAGTGGTTTTTTCGCATGTCAGGAATATCTCGTCCGCCGAACTAATGTCTTGCCTGTGTTTTATTTCTCATGGTTTTAATGCATAAATTTGTCTTGCATGTCATAGAATATCCATATTACATGAAACTATCGGTGTTTAAGTACATTGCATTTACTTAGCAAAGATTCACACGACGACGAACCAGTGTTTGAACTACAGTGCGTTAAATACTGGAGTCATAATCAACATCATAGCCATAGCGGATAACCAACGAGCACGAAAGGCACATAGCTATTTTTTAGATGTTGACAAACACATGGAATGTCAGTGACGCAACGAGGGCGAGTTACATACCATACGAATTTCAGGATTCCTGGTCTAATACCACAATGCTACAACGACCACGTTAATCTCTGTGTAAACCCTTGGTCCGAGCCATGGATACATTACAGGGCATATCGCGTTCAGGGTCCATGTCAATGTCATTGTAATCTCCGTATGCATTCTCGATCCTTGTTCGCGATAGGCAACGATGCCCTACTGTGTGATTGTCTTAGGCTGATCCACTGCCGATACATCAAGCGAAAGACTCACTATCCTCGGGGATTGGAAGCTTCAGCTGCTCCTCCGCCAACTCCCAAACCAACATTTCACCCTGACCAAGGAGGGACCAATTTGTCATTTCAATTGGCATCAGCACGATTCGACGATCGAGGAGTCCATGCTTTTCAAGGAATCTTTGGATCACAATGTGCTGAACGTCCACGCGAAACGCCAGTAATTGAAGGTGTGTATTATTGATGAGGCGCATGACCGCCACCGGATCAGCTCTTGTGTTGAGCACCGCACAGAGGTGCGTCAATGTACCGACACCATCTAATCCTGAATTTGGTTTATTCAGTATGAAATCATCGTTGACATCGAGATGGGTCAAGTGCTTGAATGCAGGTGGTGATGTACTGAGTGATGATGCCAAGTCGAGTTTTACGGCGAGCAGTAACGACTTGAGTGGGAGGGCATCAAGGGCACGCCATAGAGATGATACATCTGGGGCGAATTCGTCGGTGGAAAGCACGAGAGCAAGGCAAGTTGCGTGATCGCAGAGTGAAAGGATATCGATCACAGTCGATTTGAGTACCGAACCGACGAGAAATAGAGATTTGATGTATTGTTGCGCAAATTCAACGTGCATTGGACGCAGGTGAAGACATTCCAGAAATCGCCTGACTTCCGTTTCACCATACAAGACGATGTTTTTATACATCAATTTTTCTAGCCTGTCGCAGCATTACATCAGTAAAAGGTCATCATTGCATTATCGCATCAAACGCTCACCACCGATGTGTGTGGCGTGACACCCTCAGATTTCGTGCAGCGTGACGGGTGTCACGTGTGGCAAGAGTTAAAATATTGTCTTGCAGCTCGAGTGGAAGGGCGGGGGACATGACTTGCGATGGGTAAGATGCGGGAGCGCCACCTGGTTATTCAAACGATGTTCAAACAGGCATGAGATGATATATGAAAATGTCTATGTAATCGGACCATTGTTTGTTTGACATACAAATATAGGGATATTACATAGGTGCTGACATCTCTTGGATCACCGCATTGGGCATCAGGATGCCGTTCATGGTACACAAGGACAGCCTTCGTACATTAGCTGCAACATTATCAGTGTCATTTTTCTCCACCGTTCACACCACCAGGGTCTCGGCGCCATGCACAAGTAGCGTGCAGCGTAAATATATGAATATCAGGTGCGTTCGCCTCGGAATAACCACAAATAAATGTCTATGTTCGCTCAACCTAGGAGTTTACCAATCATTTCGAAGGAATTATCATGCACACTCCTTCGGCAAAATAGCAAGGAGGCATGAGTTAAGTCACCTTGCGTGCATGTTGCATCAGCTCGGCTAACAAATATCATGAACATCAGGTGGCTTAACTGCAATCTAGCGAGACAAAACAACGCAATCATGATATCGCGTCCAGAACTAAGCACCTGATGTCACAACATACATATAATGAATTTTGATACTCAATGGTAGTGTGGTTGGCATCTTGGAGGAATGTTGCGCGTTGAAAGACTGTTAGTAAGAGAATGCTACACACACTAATAAGAAATCGCAATCGTCAGCAGTGACGCACCATGCCAAACAACACAGGATTCTTGATTGTCTACGATTACATGAAGGGATTAACAATGACGAACACCTACACGGAATGAATATGTCCGCGCATGAGATGCAAGCCTTGCAGGAACCAAGAAATAGGAGGCCTGGTTCTGCGTGATAGCTCGGGCCCGAAAAACGTGATCAATGAGTGATCCCGATATCCATCTGCTGTGTGAGGTTAAGGGGCCATCGATACCATACTCGCCCTAGGTTTTCGGCATCACACAAGTACACCCACGAGGGAGTGTCGAGTTTCTTGTTCACCACTCCGCACTTCATACATGTCGTCTTCATCTGTGTCTTCAGCCACTTCTTCCCATAGAACTGCTTTCCATCGGCGTGAAAAATCATGTCGTGAGCATGTGCACCACAACGTTTGTTGGAACATCGATAGATGTCAAGGCCCCATGGCCTAGCGTCCTTGAAGTTAGAGTACGCCAATACGCGAGTATCGACGACACGTTTTCTGGTATCGTTCTTGAACGGCTGGAATTCTGCAAATGATAACATGACGGGGGAACTGTTCAAGGCATGCCTGTCTTCACCGAACGATCGTTCTAGCGCCGCCCATATGCCCATGTTATAAACGAACACATTTTCGACGAAGCGACTTAGTGCTGGGACGACAAGTGCATCCACAGTGGATACGCCGGCAAAGGAGAAGACAAAATCGAAGATATTCCTGGCGTGCTCAATGTAAGCTGTAACATCGACGTGATTCGAACAGTGACTCACATTTCAACCAAACGTTTCAAACGGGAAACACTCTTAGCAACTCTCCCAGTAGAACCACATGAGGAGATAACGATCCCACGGATGAATGGTCCGGCGCTAGAGGTGCTGTTGATTGTGGAAATTGCGTTGGAGGCCAACCGAAGGTTGTCTCCCAAGTAGTTCTCCAGCAACTAGGAGTGTAAGAATTTTGTCAGTCGACACACTGATATCTGATCAATTACAGCAACTTACCTCATATACCGGAACTGCATTTGAGTTGGCTGCATTTCCCGATACCACGAGATCGCCTGTGACAGTATCCGAATGAGTATCAATAAAAATGAGGATGTTTCCATGATAATTGAGGCTCGCGAGCCAGTCGAAATCAGGTTTCATAGCGTTTGGTCGATTATTTCCACCTTTAAGTTTGCGCGATGCTATGCGCAACTAAGCGCCAAATTGTCAGATGCGAATGTGGTCTATATGGAACATCCTACCCTGCTAGGGACAAGGTGAAATTGCTCCCTTAGCGTCCGCCGGACAATATCTGACGCATATTCGCGACCGAAGCCGCTCCATGACAAGAACACAGCAAGAAGTGGGAAGTAGTTACGGTGTGTAAACTCCTGTCTCACCGAATATCCACGAATCTTGTACTGGTATCATTCACTGTCAATATATGGATCACATCAAGTTGAAATCGATGACGTACGGGAAGTGGCATCGAATCTGCACGATAACATTGTGGACAGCGAAACGTGCTCGCTTCCACCTTGACATAGTTCGTGATCTCATCTGGGGTCGCGTCGATACATCCATGATCTCCGTTAGCCATCCCAACGCAAGCCAAGACCCCACAATTTGTACTTGTACACTTCCAAATATATGTCCCAACGTCCTGACAGTACATGCAATGCTGTTTTATAGGTCAGCGCATAACAAGCAAGACCGCTGCATCAGGTACCAAGACGGGATCCTTCACATCATGTGACTCGTTGGCTTGTGGAGGCGGAACCTCAACATCAATGTCCATATTTGTGTTATCATCGTCATCAGTCAGGATCGGAATTAGTCTTTTATATGTCGAGTTGAGCGACTTGGCCCCTGGGGCACGTTTTTGCACGTTCTTTTGTGCAGCAGCGGACTTGCGTGCAGGTCTCTTAGCGCGTTGGGACGAGTGCGCAGAAGGTTCGGTTTGTTCTACAGAATCCTCGGTTTGTTGTACAGAATCCTCGGTTTGTTGTACAGAAGGTTCGGTTTGTTGTCCAGATGATTGTGAGTAGTGACCGAAATGATCAGGAGCAATCATGGTGCTGACCTCGATGTTGGTGTTGACGAATGTGTGAACTTGTCATGTTCTGCATCAATCCTCCAAACAACTGTACAGCCTGCGGCAAATACCGGTAAACATCACCGATGTGAAGGTTAGGTTATTTTACAAATCGTACCTTGGACTCTCTTGAATATACGCAGAAGTCACACGTCCATTCAGAGCATAGAGACCTTACATGTACCAGTGATAGTGGGAGGGATATGACAATTACCACGCGACATGACTGCATTGCTATCCAGTGCATGTGGTGACACATGTTCCTAATCTGGTAGTCCGGCCTGACTAGGGCAGGGAACAAAATCACACGGTGACATTGTTTGATTCATCATGGATTTCTCGACATATTCCACAAAAAATCCGATTGTCCTGGTGATCAAGCAGCACGATTTAGATTCCACAAACGCAATTTTGAACCGACGATGGTCATTGGCACGAAATGGAGATAAACTGCGTCTTTCGGTTAGCAAGGAATCGGTATGGGATCTTGTCTACGATCTGTCCGAGTGTTCGATGACATATTGTAACATAGGTAATCGTACCGATTCAATGCTATGATGCCTTACGACTCCTTCTTCATCATCTCGATATTTATCAAAAGACAGGAATTTCACTCATGGAGCATCCGGAATCACACTCGCTCAAGACCTACGTTTGCGTGGCGTACTATTACCTTGAGGTGCTTATGGCGTTCGTTCAAGAAGTAAAGGACGATCTCCCTCGTGCAGACAAGACATGGCGCTCGGCTCATCTAGACTATCATTTTGCGATGGGGATACACAACAGCGCATTCACCGAGGACATGCAAAACGCAACATTGTCCAAGATAAACCGAACTTGGGCTGATTTCAGAAAGAAGAAGGTCTACAGGCCTGTACAGCTGCGTGGGTTATATCACGACAGCTATATTTTCCACCCTACGCTGATCCCGTCAAGAAGTCAATATAGACACATACCACGAGACAATGTGTAAGGGCAAGAACATGTGCGGTGTTCAATCCAACAAGCACCTTGTTTCGGTAGAGGATATGATTTCAGCCATAGTCAAACCACAACATCTCAGTACGACAACGGTTGTAGCACCAGATACGACAGAGAAGAAGGTTCGGTTCAATCGTTCTGCTGACAGCCATCAGCAGCGGCACTCTAGTTCGACCACCCCCACTATAAAAACAACCATCGAATCGATAAGCTCAACCTCTGAAATCGAGCGGGATGACATCGATGAGGCTGCAGATATGTTTGAGATGAAAGCAAATGGACGAAAATCACGTAAAAATGTCAAAGGCGGCCGTCGAGAAAAGGTTTGTGTCATCGACGTACGAGGAATGTACTGAGTGTTCTTGTCATTCAGGAGCTCCTCGGAAATGCGACAACAGGTAGAAAAGCTGGCATGGTATGCAAGAACATATATACATCCTGAAGATGTAACTGATATAGTATTCAACATGGTCAGGGTCGCTCCAGCCGCCCACATAGGAATACAAACAGTAAGGGCACAGGGGAGTCGGTTACACAGGATGACAATGTGGTCAGTTTATCAATCCGAGAGCCACAGCTGAGCGTATTCACGATATTGATTAGGATGTCTACGTCAACGCTGCTGCACACTCAATGGGCATAGGTAAGAAGATTGTGGAGTCTGACGACGAGGTATGTGCGGTCACCCGTGTGCCAACACAGGTTTAGTTTAACTTTTGACTCGGACATAAATGATAAGCCAACATCACGGTCATCATCATCTGCCGTGCATCTACAGCCTCGCGCGTCAAGGCCTGGATGGACAAAGGGCAAGCAGAAGGCGATCCTGGAGTCTGAAAACGAGGTCTGTATGTCAATCATCCAGTCAGAGCTGTTTCAATTGACCTTGTCGACTAGTATGAGAGCAGTAACGATGCAACATATGGTACATCTGACATCATTTCTGAGGATGAGAGCACCCAAGCCAAACAAGGAATGCCAGCTTTAAGTGCAATGCGATCAACACAAGTATCGGAAATTACCACAACAACACAGATAGTGCGTACAACTATTTCAATATCACTTGTAATGATTCATGTTCTGTAGCGTAATCGATTACAACCGGAGCTGTCCAGCTCGTCTATCACAGGAGCCGAAGAGGTGGGCTCGTTATTCAGTCGTTCCGGGCTATCAATTGACATACGCCATTCCTATGATCCTATCCAGATTCCTGATATTTCCAATTCCAATGACTGTGTGAATGACAACGCGGCCAACATCGTGAGTCTTCCATGCATTCCTATTATATAAGATGCATTCTAACATCAAACAGAAGGATCTGTATGACTCCGATGATATTAAACTTCCCTCCACCCTTGATGACTGGGAGAAATGGCACCGGATAGCATTGCACAAAGGCAACTCACAGATTTTCCTGAAGCTTGGCACATGGATTCTGCTTCGATTCAGACAGTTGACCAAGACTCCCATTGATGCGGATGTCGATGGGCTGCTAATTTGCGACCATCCTGCATCTTTTGAAATGGAGGATGAGGCCGATTTTCATGAGGCACTTGGCATGACATGTCTGTATTCTGCAATCGCCCATATTGACACCCATCCCGAATACCTCGCACATATTTTCCATGCACTTGGGAAGGCATCGTCTGTGAATGGACTTGGAAGTAGCCATCCTGGTTTGAGACCTCTGCCAGAACTCCCGACGCCCGTTCAGAGGTATGTGACTGGACAAATAAATCGCACGACTAATTCCACAGTCAGCATGATGTCGAACGAGCAGTTGCCTTGGTTGCAAACATTGCTATGTCACGAGGACATTCATACCGACGACGATGGTGGCGTATCTATGGCGCTCGATGACATGTCGATCTCTGGTGGCCACGATTCAGTGGAACTTTCAGACGAACAGGAGACACAAAAACGCAAGAGGACGGTCTCGAACACATTGTCACCACCGAAGGTAATGATAATTGCAGCACTGCTGAGACGACCTGAACGCTGTGACAAATTAAATACAACAGATTTACGGCGGCCGTGGTTTTCCAAAGCGTCCGAGGGGCAGTACTACACAATCATTTATTCGCCCCTCGTCACCGGTTGTGGCATCCACTGGAGCAGCAGCAAGTAAACAACCAATGGTCAGCAGGAAATCAACAAGACAACCGGTTCCAGTTGAGGGAGTCCACATTCCTGCGCCATCACGATCTTATGCATCTCCTGTCGTGCACGACAATGACGTCAGTGCGAGCTTTGACACCAAACGCGTCGGTCACAAGAGCGCCCCTAGTGAGATTACTTCATGGAGTGAGAGTGAGGAGGACGCTCAAATGCACATATCGTCTGCGTCAGAGGGAAATGAGGCAGCAGAGGGCTTCGATGATCCAACAGAAGACGAGTCTGCCTCTGTGAATAGCTCGGGTGCTGAGGACATAGAGCGCACGGGAACGGACATAATGGAGTGCAGCGTCACATCCGAACCATCAGCAGCTGGTCGTGCACCAGAGCTGGACGAAGACGTGAGGATTCTTGTTGTTTCAACGCCTGAATGACTTCACGTATTCTATAGGAGTGGTTTATACGCATGTCAAGCATCTCTCGTTCGCCGAACTAATTTTAGGCCTTCTTCGATTTCTAATTCGTTCATTTCATACGTTTTTGAGTTCGAAAAATTCCAATCCGATAATTCTTGATAGCATCGATTGCATTGCAACTTTAACTTGCTGGATTAGTTAGTAACTAACCCTAACCTCAGGTAACTCCAGAATGGGGAGTCACTAGCCGTCGTCTTCTTTAACCTTCTTCAATCTATCTTCATCAACATCTCGCAGGTCAGTGGACCTCGATAGAATCCGTTCTGTGATATTGCCATGACAGGAAAATTTGGTGGCAACGGATTGAAGGGTTAAGACGGAGCATTTATTGGCACTGTTCTTTAACTTCTCGTCAGAAATATAGTATTCATTATGAAGATGCAAAAATTCCTTTGCAAAAAAACGCTCATATCCATTGTAAATGAAAATATCAATGTTTATGTATTATTTTGGACCCTCAGCTGGAATATTCACGTAATGATGAACCACAGTCGGCACCACAGTTCGGGTGCACCTTGCATATCCAAAGATAACGATCTGACCAGACCTACTCGATACACAAACAACGCATTCTTCAGGTGATATTTGAGCTTTGCTCCTGGTGCCTTTGAATGCTGATAGGCCGTGCAAACAACAGGAATGACAGAGACAAGCCATTATGACCTGACCATTGGACTGTTAGGCACGGAGGTTCCGAAAAACAGTCCGGTCATAAAGTGGAAGGATGGCTACACCACAATCCTCCCTGCAGTGTTCGATGATCACAACATTAATGTTTGTGCTAAGGTGGACATCCCAATCATTACATATCTCGCTAAATGTCCAGTGTCTACACCTGATTCGTTATACATAACGCACATATCGAATAACCGCGTTCCCGCAACCGATCTTCATGATTTGGTTGGTGACTCATTGAGCCAAAACAAGCCAGTGGCGATCAGAGGAAGGGGGCGACATCCTGTGGGCCAAGAGTTGACAGCGGAGTTCCTGGATCAAGACTATGCAATCTCACCGAATAGGGCTGTATGGGTTCATGGTAGGGTTTCATCCACGACAGATATTCATGTCAGGGACTGATTGAACCACTAGATGTCATGGCCCGTGCCATCGATCACACAAAGGCCACGAGGCCAGGCGTGATCAAATATTTCATTGAATCGATGAAAAATCCAAAGACGATACAATGTGTGTTAGATATACCTCTCGCACAGGTATCGCTTCCAGATTCCTTGAAGTGAGTGTCCTTCGTCCCAACGCTTTCATACACAACGAGCAATGATATTAGACATGTCGATCATGGGCTCGCTTATGGATGGAATCAGACGACATATGATGTCCCAATAAAATCCAACGTACATCCAGAGAACTTCACAGTGAAGGGCTGGGCGCTGCTTCACCATGCTGGATTCTTGACGTATCCTCATCACAACGCTGAGGGGAGTCTGACGTGGGTTAGGGTGGAAGTGGGGACACAGTTCTGGGTTGTATTTCGACCGAAGAATCGATATCACGATCGTCAGCATATTCAAGACGTCGCAATCAGGCTACGAAACTTCACCGAAAATGAAGCTTGGATCAAAGCGCACTGTGATGCTGAGGTTATCACACTCCTTCCAGGAGACATCGTGTCCGTAACAACTATTTGTGTAACACACTTTGCTGATATACTTCACGGTAGAATTATCCCACCAGGGCAAGTACATGCCGTCTATACACCAGTCGCATCGTTCGCCACCGGGGGGCACTTCTATCATTATGCGTGCATGCATCTCACGGAAATATCTCGATACCTCGACGTCGTTGTGGGCGACTGCTTGACCAATCAGACCTTGCATAATGCGCTGGAGACACTGCGACGCATGATAATTGCGATCCCGCGCCTGTCCCCACGAATACGTAAGACTAGCCGCTCATTATTGGCGTCCAATTCTCATTAACATGGTATATCCAGCACTGTTCAGGAGATCATTGCTCGCTCTGTGCATAATGGTCACTCAAGGAAAGCAATATCGCGCAAAGGGGGGACCGAAGTCAGCTGTGGTTGATACGGAAACAGCTAACCTAAGTACCGAGATAGCCCGTGCGATTTCAGGACATCTCGGAGTTACAACACGCATGTCTGGTCCTACATTGCTGTACAACGGAGATCAATTCGATAGAGGGGAGCTACTGACGGAAAAATCACTCAACGAGGTGTTGACCTCATTCACTCTATTGTAGGATGTTATGGTATCATCTCTTCCAATTTTATATATTTCACTGTTCACAACATAATGTACATCGATATAGGGTAGACTGAGTGCGCTGATGAGACTTGACTTGGTTCTTAAGGGGTATGTGTTTGGTATGAGAGGATCTGGCCAGTCTCGTATGTTGACCTTGTTCGTGAACACAGTGCTAGAGAGTGTGTTGTTTGATCTACACGTAGCGCATCACAACGCATTACCTTGCATTTTTTTTCATGTCGACTAGTTTTTTTCGTTGATACACATAATTCGCTGGATCTTGCTTTTCATTGAAATGTCCACATGGTGCTTAGTTCTGCGCACAATATTATGATTCACTGAGTCCGAATGGACAGGCTTGATGATATAAGCATGGCGTGGGAATATCACATGATGGTTTAAATTGCGTTCATGTTCGACTTTCCCTCTTCATTTCATTCTTCTCTCACTCTTTCATTGTTGTCAGTGACCACCTGTTCGCATTGTCGTAGCTCCTTATTGGTGCATTGAGCCGTTGCTCTGACATCGCGTTTTGGGTGAATCCACGTGCTTCGCGCCTTTATGGGTGTATATCTGTCGTTGACAGTCGCACGTTGGATTAGTCCTCGTCATATTACTCTGTCATTGTCGTCTCGGTGGGCCTGTTCGCATTGTCGTAGCTCCTTGTTGGTGCATTGAGCCGTTGCTCTGACATCGCGTTTTGGGTGAATCCACGTGCTTCGCGCCTTTATGGGTGTATATCTGTCGTTGACAGTCGCACGTTGGATTAGTCCTCGTCATATTACTCTGTCATTGTCGTCTGGACCTGTTCGCATTGTCGTAGCTCCTTGTTGGTGCATTGGGCCGTTGCTCTGACATCGCGTTTTGGGTGAATCCACGTGCTTCGCGCCTTTATGGGTGTATATCTGTCGTTGACAGTCGCACGTTGGATTAGTCCTCGTCATATTACTCTGTCATTGTCGTCTCGGTGGGCCTGTTCGCATTGTCGTAGCTCCTTGTTGGTGCATTGAGCCGTTGCTCTGACATCGCGTTTTGGGTGAATCCACGTGTTTCGCGCCTTTATGGGTGTATATCTGTCGTTGACAGTCGCACGTTGGATTAGTCCTTGTCATATCACTCTGTCATTGTCGTCTGGACCTGTTCGCATTGTCGTAGCTCCTTGTTACTGCATTGATCCGGTGCTCTGACAGTCACACATTGTATTAGCCTTCGTCATTCTCATGCTTTCATTGTCGTCCAAACCTGTTCACTATTCAGCATCTTACGGGATCACCAATCATAGCAGATATGGTGAGTATATCGGCTCAGCCTAGTTCCTCGGTCAGCCGACATCCTCACTGTGAGAAGAGCTTCACGGCCTGAGAGTCCAGTACTTTCAAATGTGGACAACACTGAGGGCGAAGACACCGTGCTCTTCAGACGTGAGGTTCGACAGCTTACACTCCCGTTCGACTTGAGATGCAAGGTGCTGCATAACAAATAGCAACTGAGACGCTGGTTAGACTAACAGCTACGTAAGGCCGGACGCACCAAACTCATGGTCCGCCACCAGCGTAACTGAGGTGCAGGGCTCGTTGCCACATATGGTCAGTAAGAGCATTGCACGAAGGTTATCCTCATAGCATCCATCCACGTAATTAAACCAAGGTGGGTCCTCATGTGCACCAGATGTGAGGAATGTGGCAGCAGTCGTGGTAGTCAAACTATCGCCTACTAGCAAAACGACGCAACGAGAATGCGGATGACTGTGGAAATGCGATCGTCCAAACCACGTCGAAATTACCGCTACGATAATACTACATCATTTGTTCACAACATTCGAGCCTGTTGTTGCAAAACGAGCCCTCGAGTATCATAACGGCGTATCCTCCTGACGTGCCTTCATCATCATGGCTAATATCTTAAATCCAGGTTCATACCCGTTATCCGCGCCCGATTGTGATAGCCTGAGTTTACACAAATATCGGATTACACTGCCCACAGCTTTGATGCAGTTGTTACGCTTGTGAATCATAATGTTATGTCAGTCGAGTGTCATGGATCTTAGTAGCATACAGATATTTACCGATATGTATATCTCTAAAGCACTACTCAGAGATGCAGCATCGATCGAGGCACGGGTGGAAAGTTCGACCAAAACATGGTGGGCCTGGTTGTTGAACAAGACAATATCAGCACAATGATAGAGTTCACAACAAGCTCACACACCAAGGGCGCTAGTGGCATATCCAGTTTTTCCAATGCATCCTTGCACTCGAGGGCGACATCTTTAAGCCAGTACTCAAATTTCATCAGCGATGTTGCCGCAGGGATCGCATCATCTGACAGGGACCTTGCCAGCAGGGCTGATGCTATAAATCGAACTACACACAATAGTGCATCGTATTGTGTTTTGATGTTGCTTTCGATAAAATCATCTCTAGCTGGATCGAGGATAAATGTGTTGATCTACGTTGTTCGTTCGCGTCAGGATCTATCTTGATGTAAGAAGTTCTTACAGTATGTGGGATACTTGTGGGATCCATCTGAGACGCCTTTATGAGGTCTTCTATGGTGTATTTGATGACTGATGACGCAGGCCTCCCCTTCTTCCTGGACGGAAGTTGTTGGACGGCAAATACTACAGGTCGTGCAGATCGAGGCTGACCATCCATGGGATCATGCTGTGAGGGTGAGTTTCCACGGCGGCGCTTCTGAGTGAGTGTTGTCGAAGACTTGGCTTCCTTGAGATTCCTCGATCTCAATCGAGTCTGTGGGACGGCATGGGTATCACGAGGGGTATCGCTGAGTGATTTTCTGCGTGTTTTGTTGGATATAGTCGGAATTTCGGATTCATGACCGCGATTTTTCATAAGCTCTAGGGTCCAATCGCTGGCAGATATGCAAGGATTGTCGACATCCATAGTGAAAGACGGCTCAGTGATGGGTAATGAGATGTATAATTGCTCCGCTGAACTCTCATCACGGACATCTGATGGTGACGCATCTGCAATGTAATCCTGCATGAATGATATCAGCATGTTGACCACCACTGGCTCGAAGTCAAGCGTCATACATCACGTTGATCAGTGGCCGGTTGGTTAGGAAATATGGCACATATGGCGCCCTCATCTTGGGCCACTACAACCGGGCCACCTCCTTCAATTTGCATACCGCAATCTACTTTTGTACCATCATCAGCATAAGGGTAGAACATGTCACAAGATGCCCCCTGCGACTCTGCATCGCATTGGACAGCACAGTCAACACGACGACCTAACATGCTCAGGCCACGACCAGCAGAAGTGAAAAATTGCGCTATACTCTGTCGCTCCACTTTTATAGTCTGTACCTTGCTCAGGAACATTGTCATTCCATGTAGCTCGCAGTATTCAGCATAAGTGACTTGACAATCAGATCCGTTTACAACGGTGTTGTCTAGAGGAGTGTCTGCACCTAGTCCGTGGATTTCTCGCATGCGCACGACAAGGTGTGCAATGAACCAGCGTGAAATATCAAAGCGGATGTTCTTTACACCCATCGTCCTCAGGGCACGCTTGCAGTATGACCAGTCAAATGGATGTGGGAACTTACAAGAGTCCATCAGATGCGGTATATAGATGGGAAACGAACATACCGGCTGCAAGACTGATACAGGATAACCTGCAGAATCTTTTATTTCAGCAGGACATTTCACGCAGGTACCATCCTCTATCGACTCTCCAGTATTGATCAACTCTGTGTTCCTATCCTTCGACTGGAAACGCATCAGCAAAGATCTCTGTTAGATGCATGACAATGTATTGAGACACACCGCGACATCTGAGACTGTGATTGCCTCATTGAAACATGCAGCCACAGTGGTATCGACCGACTCTGACAGTGGTGGAACATCGTCCTGCCAGAAAAGCATTAGTGTTATGATTAGCAGGAGCATGACCATCAGGTGGGACGTACCGTGATATCCATGACTGACATCGTGCGTGTCGCTGTGTCTATCATATGACTGGTTGTCGGGCTTGATGGTCTCTTATCCTCATGACCTGCCATCATAGAGGCATCTACCGCATCCAGCAGATGCTGAAGATCCTCCTCCGACACGCAGCCCTGAAATGCCCCACATACATCGTATTCACAACAGTAATCTGTGTGATAGGACGACCAGTCAACTTCAGCGCCAATCAGAGTCAAATATATGTGGTGCATAATAGACCACTGACGCAATGGTATAATATCTTTTCCCTCTTGATTCTGTATGGACTTGAACGTTATATTGTGATCCTGCTCCAGGATCACACGACACCTATCATGAAATCCGCCAGCCTTGTGGTCTAACCATAGATAGTAATCAAACGCTGGCGACCTAAACCCAGCTTCGAGGGGATTGGAAGATCCTCGGGCATCCACACAAAATGCGATGCGCACATTGTGCATGTAATCCATGACTGAGAGATATGTGTCTTGGAGTTGTGTTGCGAGTGGATGTGATGACTTGGTCAGGTGGGTCACAATTTTCCTGTAGACTCCAAATTTCTTGTTGATGGCTCGAAGGGGTACCCGATAGTGCGCAGCAACTGCACAGCTCTGTGAGGCATGTCCAGATATTTCAAATGAACACTCCCCATCAGCGTCTTTGATTGTCGCCTTTGATTTTAACAGCGACCCGGTGTTTCGTGTGCTCCAGTGCTGGAACTGAAATGAAGGATCCATCGATCAACTGTATGGTGCAAACAGGGAGAGCGAGCAAGCCTTGTATAGCTTGGAATAATTGATGCGAAGTATATAACCTTGTGTTTAAACCTGAGCCATTTCATAATACCGCATCATACTACATTTGGATCCGCAAAAATCGGATCATGGTACATACAGCCATTACGCAATGTTCGATCATTCCATAAGATCAATGTCACCCTTTGGATGTGAACCTAAATTGTGTCTAGGCAAGGAACACGTGTGGTGCCACATTTATGTTGCGACACATCTTGTATCTATTGATGACTTGAATGCTCAACATAAGACGTCTACACAACATGGACACTTATAATAGCTAAGGCCCTTGCACTCCAATGAATTAGTCTCTGTCAGGACATCCCTCCATCCATCTGAAAGTTTACCATTAATCTTTGCCTCTCGCAAGAGCGACTTCGCTCGAGAATAGATCGATCCATTTCCAACCACCCCAAATGGTCCACCACGGCAAATTGGCATGGTCAGTATATCGAGGAACTCTTTCTCCAAGTGAATATCACCGTACACAGCTGGTAGACCTGCATCGGGAATTCGATCTACACGACATTCAAGAGCATCTAGGCACTCGTGATTGAACCATCGCTTGCATTTTCTGCAATATCGCTGGGAGATGCTGGGAGAGTATAGCGCATTATCACATGCGTTGCAGCGACATTGCGATTCTCGCTGTGGGTTCTGTAAATTTGCAATGTATCTGAATTTACTAGAGGAGGTCAAAAAATATAAGAGCCTTACACTGAGGTGGACGCCATGAATCCGCCCATCGTTTCGGTTCCTCACAAATGTGATCTCGATATTCCATCGATGGTATAGAGTCTTGGGTGGGAGCTGACATTGTTTCAGGTCGCCTTCATCATAACTGATGATCACGGCATGGTCTGGTATCACCAGAAATGTGTCATATAGTTGGTGATAAATTGAAAGGCACTCACCCTCCATACACGACATATCAACAAATGATGTGTGGTCGCTGAGCACTAGCTCATATTCACCCATGGATTCAGCCAGGCTGCGCTTCATGCGTCAGAATCCTCACACTCATCATGCAAATAAAATAAAATCGCACTCTGCTCTTACATCCTCTAAGTCCAGTCGTCTGTAATACCACTGAATCTCCAGCCAGACAACCTTGATCACGCATCATTAGCTGGTAATGTCTGTTCACATTATTAATATACTCACATGAGTTTCTCCTTGTGCTTTTAAATAGATTTTTGCGACCTTGCCATACCAATAAGACATGATGGGAAGGCTTCCATCGTCTTTGGGCACTGCTCTTGGATCATCTGGGAATATCGCGATACTAAAGTACTTGATATCAGCAATTTGAAAAGTGGATGTAATTTTATCTCGCACGTTTCCCCTACCCGAAGGATGAGACGTCCTAACTCAGTTGTGGAACATGAATTATCTTCCTTGTTGTAAACCCCTGCAAATAATGTAAAGTAAGTCGCGAGAGATCGGCAGACAGACCAACAATTGGAGACAGAGCATACATTCAAAGGACCTACAAGTCCGCAGTCGACGAATATTTGGCTGACTGCGATTCATGGGTGGTAGTCTTCTGCGATCTGCACGTGAGGCAGAGCTGACAATAGACAGACGAGACATTGAGAGTTAGACGAAACTGCAAAGCAGTAACCGATGCCTGTGAAGCGCTGCAAGTACAATATTTAAGAAGATAACAAGGTTTTATTACCAGTAATTTTGACACTTAAAATCTGCATGAGACTCGTAGATCTCGGACCGGGCTAGCATTGTCCTGAATACATAATTGCACGCTTTAATTCAAACATTTTGATAGAGCGTCCCGAAGAATGGACACAACTCGCGATGTGTGTGATTTGACGTAATTGACCATGTAACATGGCGGTGCCAACAGCTATTTAGACTTGTATATCCGAAGGATTTGCCTTAAAACAAACGATATAATCATGTGTCAACAGAAAGAATTGAAATGACTCGCCGGATCCGAAGTACTATGTGGTATCGAGCGCATTGAGTGTTAGTAAATTAGGTTGGGTGTCGTTTACACCACGCTCATCAGATGTTCCTGTGGTCGGGCTTTGGAGATTGGATGCATTGGAGGCTTCCTTCGGAGCAGGGGGGTATAATAAAGGGCAGCTGCATCACCACAACACACTCTCACGATATGGTGCGCTACAGGCCGAGATGCAGCGGGAGAGATGTCAGCAGACCCATGTGGCATTCCGGAGCGCATACAACCTGTACTATGAAGCAGTCAGAACCACCAACAACCAGGTCACCTTCGCAATGGATAGCGACGCCTACAAGGCATCATCAAATTACATGACCGAATGCTTCAATATCGAAAGAGTGTTGACTGGTTCCAAAGGCAAAACCTATGGCGTGCGAGATGAATACAGGACCAGTGGGAAGGCCGCCAGACTCATTCTTGGTAGTGTAATATCGACGGTAAGTGATCCTCACTCGAGTGTAATGGTTCAATGTCAATGATTATGATTCAGGCAGAAGAGTATCTGAGATCTGACCCAGTGCTATGGATCCCATCTGAGGTGTGGTTTGGATTCCTGGCGAGACGTGTGCGTGAGATTCAAAGGACTCAGATCGCCATAGTGAGGAAACATCCTCCAAACCTCGGCGTCCTCACAAGCATCCTCAATTATATGCTCCGTTCCACAACCTCCACCCCAATTGTTTTTGACTCGCATCTACGCGAATCTCTGGCCCTTTTGGAATATAGAAATGTCCTAGAGACTGCAGGAATGTTCTTCCTGCAGGAATTCGACCTCGCCAGCGATACCTGCCTGTATGATGTCCAGCAGCAGGATGACATCACGGTGCTTGCTCTCATGGGCGCAAACACGAAGGTGCAGAGAGCTAGAACAGCAGCGAGGCTAGAGATATCCAGAGCTGATGCAGAACGTGAATCCGAGGAGTTTCCCCTTGGTCGGAGGCCTTCATGGGTTCGACTGAAATCAGCCATAGCCAGCTCTCCAGCAAGCATTATGAAGCCTTGGGTGTGGCCTTCCAGACTATCACACGTGCAACTGTCTGTGGGACGACTATTTGTCATGTGCACCAGGCACCTGTGGCTCATGCTCAGAGATGACATCTTCCAGGGAGTTAGGCCATGCCCGGAATCACTGCAGGAAGCCATGAAATGTTGGACGATAACAAGCATCACTGACACCCTGACTGCTGTGACCTTCGAAGCCTGTAATGTCGGACTCCAGGACCATTCTGGTGTGACCCCTGGACGCATGGGCCCAAGGTCAAAATCATTCGCAAACCGATTGTCCACCTTCTTTCCCAATCCTAAATCGCCCAAGAAGGCATCCTCTCAGTGGTCTTCATTGTGGACTGGAGAAGGATACATTGCAGAGTTTCACAGATTATTAACAAGAATGGACGAGGATGAGAGAGCGTTCTTGCAGGATGGACTTGCAGATATATTTTCAAACATTCACTGTCTTCCTGCAAGCACTGCTGCGGCTGTATGGAGAGTCAAACAATCAGCCATTGTCTTCATCACTAACCCAGCATTCTACAAGATTGAATGCTTAGGGAGAGCTGGTGAAAGTCGGAGAGGACCTATCGCACGCCGCCCGGTCAATATAATCAAGGGAAAACGCATTTTTACAGCAGACCTAATGGATGTCACACCCTTTGATGCTCTAGGAGCTCTCAGAAAGCGGTCTGACAGGCAGAAACGCAGGGACCTTCACAAAATACTAACCAAGGCAAACAAGCACAAGAGGGTCCCCTCCTCCCCCACGTCCCTCCGGACGGAGCAAGACCATTTCCTCTGTCTAGGCTCCACGATTCTGAATAGATGTAGACACGTAGTACTTGATTTTTGAAAGTGAAGCATCATACAGCACACTCGAGCATTCATACACACTGTAATTAACTGTATAGCCAATATTTACTATGATGTTACCTGATCTTACGTTGGTCGCTCTCAGGACATTGGAACACAAAGAGAAAGAGAGGAGGAGGATGTCTTATTGGACCAGGTAGGGCACCGTCAAATGTCTGTTTCATCACCAGACACATGCATGCATCCATTATTGATGTAGTCCAAGTTATTAATCATGGAAAATGAATGTTCAAGAACATTGAATCCACTGGTCAGTAAAAGCAACATTTGTGAGTTATTTCATAGCATCCTCTAGTTATAGCTTCTTCCACTCATCAAATAGCTTCCGGGGTATAATTTCATGACTTTACCACATACCCATTCATACTGTCACTCATTCAGTTTCTCGTACCCTCTTTCTCTTTCCTACTACCCTACCCTGTAAGGCTCAATGTCACTTCCTTCTGCCTTCATTTTCACTACCTTTGCCATTCTCACATTTCACCTGTTATTGGTGGGAACAGTGATGAACAAGACAAGTGGATTCAAGGTCTGAGATCACCACTTTCACCTTTCTCCCATCTCACCTTCTGTTAGTGGGAACCCTAATGATATGTCTGGCCAAGAAATAGAGTGAGAAATAAAAGGTGAGAAGAGGAGGTCGCTCTATTTCATAGACATGTCATCACTGTTCCTACTAACGGAAGGTGAGATGTGAGAAAGGTGAAGGTGACATACTGTGGAGCATGAAAAATAGTATCTCTGATGGTGGACAGCCATCACATTTCTCTAGAATTGATGATACTGGAATTCCTGCCGTGAAACAATGATGCTATCAATTGGCTATTGGTAGTCATCACAGACCACAAATATTCACAGGAGGCCCACCTGAATATGTGATCCATATAAGTAGATCTCAGACTTCAGACATCTAGTGATCTTATTGGACCAGGTAGGACATTGTCAAATGTCCATTCCATCACCAGACACGTGCATCCATCTATTATTGATGTCATCCAAGTCATCAATCATGATCTGAATGTGCAATCCAGGTTACTTGACAGTCCTGAATGCCCTGACGATACCAGGTGTGTGAGCCTGTAGGCACAACTCCCTACATCACATCTATTATTCTTGGCTTGCATATACTGGCAGTCACTATAGTTTTTAACTTGTTCAATAAATAGACAAACTTATCTATGTGTCATAGCCAGTGGCTCATCTACTTACATAGGGTGCGAGGACAGAATTTTATGCTGGTTTCAGACATCTTTCTTGAAGTTTGAGTCACCCAGGTGTATAGAGAATCCAGTGACAAACATACAAGTATGATGGTCATTCTACCTCGAACACTTCAAGAAGCGAAATTTGTTGTTCATATCGGTGATAATATTAGACTCATGCAGGGTGACATCAACGGAAAACCATCCCAGAAGTGAAAATTATTATTAGTACTGTCAGCAATGGCTTGATCTTCGTAGAGGGTGACAACAACAACACAGGCCCTTAAAAGCGAAAATTTATTAGTCACATTAGGTGCTATTAACAGGGATTTGACTATCATACAGGGCGACACGAAGAATAAATGCACAAAGTCAAAAATGCGTCAGAAGCAACATTTGTTAGTACTGACAGTAGTTTGACTCTCACAAAGGGTCACACTAACCAAGATTCCCCGGATCTGAAACAGTTGGTGCCATCAACAATGGCTCGACCCTCACAAAGGGTTACACCAACCACAAAAGCCCCCGGAATCAAAACAGTTGGTGCCATAAACAATGACTCGACCCCTCACAAAGGGTTGCAACCAACCATAAAGCCCCCACAAGGGAAAGGGGTGGTGTCATAAACAACGACTAGACCCTCACAAAGGGTTGCACCAGCCATAAAGCCCCCAGAATCAAAACAGTTGGTGTCATAAAAAATGACTTGGCCCTCACAAAGGGTTTGCACCAACCATAAAAGCCCCAGAAGGGAAAAAGGTGGTGTCATAAACAATGACTAGACCCTCACAAAGGGTTGCACCAGCCATAAAGCCCCCAGAATCAAAATGGTTGGTGCCATAAACAATGACTAGACCCTCACAAAGGGTTGCACCAACCATAGAATCAAAACAGTTGGTGTCATAAACAATGACTTGACCCTCACAAAGGGTTGCACCAGCCATAAAAGCCCCCAGAAGCGAAAAAAGGTGGTGCCATCAACAATGGTTTGACCCTCACAAAGGGTAACACCAACCACAAAAGGCCCCAGAACTACAAAGACAAAATATGTACAGTTTACAAAGGGACAGCAATTAAATACATGAGTGAGGGAGGGAGAAGCAAGAAAGAGAATTTTTTGGTTCAAGTTGACCGCATTTTTGCTTATATAATCATTGTCACATCAGGCCACAATAATAAAGCCACATCTTATCATAAGAAATATTCGATGAAACAGCACATTTTTGTGCATATGATCAGCGTCAATCAAACGAAAGCTATATATTGTAATTGGAAGATGCTTGTTGAAATTTTGCAAGTTGGCTTATTAGAAGCAAATAACCAACATTGATATGCTGCCTCCCTCTCTAAGATTGATTTTCCAGCCATCATATGACATGTATGACTGTATCTTGAACTTGTTCCTGAGGTTATTGAACCATCTAAATCGAGTGGGCATGCCCATTTCATGTGTAAAAATCATGTTTCAAATTTGAACACCCCTGTCATGCTGCCTTACCCTCTAAGATCGATTTTTTCAGCCTTCACATGACTTGCCTGGCTCAAGATAGGACTTGTTCTAGAAGTTATTGAGCCTCCTGAATCTGATAGCAGCATCTGTTTGGTGCGAAAAAATCATGTTCCAAAGTCATGAGTTATCAAGTCCTGTTGTGCTGAGGCCCTCACCCAAAGTCAATTTTGTCAGACTTTGCATGACTTGCATAGCTTGATCTCAGGCTTATTTCTGAAGCCATAGACCAGTAGGAGCAACAATTTGATATGGCAAAGTCATGTTGTTGCAAAGTTGCCCACCTATGGTCAAGTTGACCGCTTGTGCTTATGTAAGCAATGTCACCCCTGTGATGCTGCCTCACCCAATGATTGATTTTTTGAGCTTTCATATGACTTGCTTGGCTTCAAATAGAACTTGTTTCTGGGGTTATTTGGCCGTCTGAATCTGATGGGAACACTGGTTTGGTCCGAAAAAATCATATTTCAGAGTGATGCTACCCCCTCCCCCTACCTACTACCTACTGTGCCCAGAGGCAGGATTCCATGTCGATACTGATGTATAAAAGGATGTTCCTAGTGTTTTTGTATCATATTAAGTGATTGGAGATGGTCTCAGAGTCATCCGGGCCCATGTGAATTGTGATGTGTCAGTTTGCCTGATGCCCCCCCCCACAAAGATCGATTTTTCTAGGCTTCCCATGACTTGTCAGTCCTTCAGGAGCATCCTTCCTGGGGGTTATTGAAACCCTCTGAACATGATGGTCAAGCCAGATTTGCCAGAAAAAATCATGTTCTTGAGATATGCAAGGTCCCCCTCCCCCTCCTATCTCATATATCTTCATATTATGTGAATACTGATATATCAAAGGATGTTCCTAGTGTTTTATGATCACAGGAATCGATTGGAGATGGTCCCAGATTATTTCTAGCCTGTTTGAATTGAAATATGTCAGTTTGCCTCATACCCCCCACAAAGATCGATTTTTACAGACTTCCCATGACTTGCCAGTGCTACAAAAGCATTTTTCCTGGGTGTTCTTGATCCACCTGAACACGATGGTCGAGCCAGATTTCCCAGAAAAAATCGCGTTCTTGAGATATACAAGGTCCTCCTCCCCCCTCCTACCTCCTATATTTTGCTGTGCTTGAATTTAACTTAAGACCGATACTGTAAAGGCCTGTCCTAGTGTTTTTTAGGTGTAGGAATCGATTGGTGATAATCCTGGACCACCTGGAGATCAATATTGGTGACATATGGTGGTGGGGCCAAAACGTCAGTATTTTGGCCATATCTCCACAACCCAACCGCCGATTTCTTTAATTGTTGGCTCATATCATTCCTAGAAGTACCCTCCATGATATGTACCAGCCCATGAAAAGAAATTTTTCACAAGTTTGAAACCTATTTCTGAAATGACCATATAAATTGCTATTTGATGGTCTTGTTTATCGTAGCGCTTGTCTGGGGTGATGCGTGGGCCGAGGACAGGATCTCGTTTGACTCGACTTCACTTTGCTTGATTTTTGTCATTTTTGTGCCATTTTATTGCTGTGATGTTGCTTGATTTTGGCTGTTTTATTGCTGCGGTGGTGTTGCGTACGGTCTCGGTATCGTAGTCTTTGCGTATGGTATGAGATGATGTTGCTATCATAGTCTGGGCTGAGGACAGGGTCTCGTTTGGTCTTGGGTTCATTTTGCTTCATTTTTGCTTTTTTCTTGCATTTGTGTTGCTTTATTCTGGCTGTGTTGTCCTGTAGCGATCTTGCTTATCATACACGTATCTTAGCGCTTGTCTGCGGTGATACGTCGGGCGAGGACAGGACCTCGTTTCGACTTGACTGCATTTTGCTTGATTTTTGTGATTTTTGTGTGATTTTATTGCTGCAGTGGTCTTGTGTATGGTATGGGATGGTCTTGGTATTGTGGTCTTGCCTTGACTTTGCTTGATTTCGCCTTGTCTTGCGTATTGTATCGTAGTCTTGCCTTGACTTTGCTTCATTTTGCGTATTGTATTGTAGTCTTGTGTATGGTATGGCATGGTCTTGGTATCGTGGTCTTGCGTGTGGTGCGAGATCGTTTTGCTATTGTAGTCTTGCCTTGACTGCTTGATTTTCTCTTGTCTTGCGTGTTGTATTGTATTGCTTGTCTTGTAGTGGCTCTAACCGAGACACCGAGAGAATACGTTTTTGGACGAGACAACGAGAAAGCTAACAAACCCTCTAACGGGTGGGGGGGGTGGGGTCGAACCCTAAACTCTAACGTGGTGGTTGAACCTAACTGCGCATATTCCCTTGTTATGCTTATCGGGTGTTTGTCTTGTATCGTAGTCTTTCTTGTTTTTTTTCGTTGTTTCGTCTTTGCTTTATTTTTGCTATATTGCTGCTGTGTTGTTGCTTGACTTTGCTTGATTTGTGGTTTTGTCTTTGATTTCGCGTGGTATGCGTATCTTGGTGTTTGTCTGAGGGGGTGATGCGTGGGCGGAGGACAGGATCTCGATTTGACTTGACTACATTTTGCTTGATTTTTGCGATTTTTTGTGATCTTATCGCTTGACATTCCTTGACTTTGGCTGTCTTATTGCTTTTGTGGTCTTGCTTGTCTGGGGCGACGCGTTTTCTATTATGTCTGTTGCGGTGACTATCGTGATTCTTGTCATTTAGCGTACGCGTATGCTATTAAGCAACTGTCGCGATTCTGGTCTTTTCTATGAGAAATGGTGTTGGCGTGCGTGTCTGCTATTATCTCTGTTGTTGCGACTATGGTGATCCTTGTCTTTTTCTTCTCCTTCTTGATGAAATGGTGTTGGCGTGAGCGTATGCTGTTATAGCTGTTGCGGTGACTATCGTGATTCTCGTCTTTGTGATTAGAAGTGGTATTAGCGTACGTGTATGCTATTATCTCTGTTGTTGCATCTGTCTCGATTGATGTTTTCTTGTGGTCTTGCTGTTGTATTGCTTTGAGTCGGCCCTTGTCTTGACTGGTCTTGATTATTGTACGCGTATATTGGTGCTTGTCTGGGGCGTGATGCGTCGGGCGAGGACAGGATCTTGTTTTGACTTGGCTTTATTTTGCTTTATTTTGTCGTTTTATTGCTGTTTTATTGCCTGACTTTGCTTGATTTTGTCTGTCTTTGTCTTTGTCTGGGGGGCGATGCGTTGGGCGAGGACGGGATCTTGTTTTTACTTGACTTCATTTTGCTTGATTTGTTGTTTTATTGCTGTTTTATTGCTTGACCTTGCTTGATCTTGTCTGTCTTGTTGCTGTTGTAGTCTTGCGTGTTGTCTTGCGTTGTATTGTATTTGCTTGTCTGCTGTTGTATTGCTCTGAGTCGGCCCTTGTCTTGACTGGTCTTGGTTATGGTACACTGATCTTAGCGCTTGTCTGGGGGGTGATGCGTCGGGCGAGGACAGGATCTCGTTTGACCTGACTTCATTTTGCATGATTTTGTCGTTTTATTGCTGTTTTATTGCTTGACTTTGCTTGATTTTGACTGTTTTTTTGCTGCTGTCGTAGTCTTGCGTGTTGTCTTGTATTGCTTGTCTTGTAGTGACTCTAACCGAGACACCGAGTCACCGAGAGAATACGTTTTTAGACGAGACAGCGAGAAACCTAACTAACCCTCTAACGGGCGGGGGGGTGGGGTCGAACCCTAAACTCTAACGTGGTGGTTGAACCTAACTGCGCATATTCCCTTGTTATGCTTATCGGATGTTTGTCTTGTATCGTAGTATAGCGTGTTTTGTTTCATAGTTTGTCTTGTATCGTAGTACGGCGTGTTGTGTTTCATAGTCTGTCGGATTGTATTGTATTGTGTTGTATCGTATCTTAGTCTGTTGCGTCTCTTGTCCTTGTCTTGACTGTGGTGCGTTATCGTAGTCTTATCCTTGACTTTTCTTGATTTGCAGCCTGTCTTTGATTTCGTGGTCTTGCTTATTGTGCGCTTATTGTGGCGCTTGTCTGAAGCGATGCGTCAGACTAGGACGGAACCTTGATTTGACTTGACTTGATTTTGCTTGATTTTTGTCGTTTTGTTGCTGGGGCATTGCTTGATTTTTGCTGTGATGTTGCTGCGGTGGTCTTGTCTTCGGAGTGATGCGTGGGCCTAGGACAGGATCCCATTTCGACTTGACTGCATTTTGCTTGATTTTTGTGATTTTTTGATGTTTTATCGCTTGACTTTCTTTGATTTCGGGTGTTTTATCGCTGTCGTAGTCTTGTTTATCACACGCGTATCTTGGTGCTCGTCTGGGGTGATGCGTGGGCCGAGGACGGGATCTCGTTTCATCTAGTTTGTCCAGGGTTTCCTGCTGCTTCCCTGTATTGTGTTCTTCATACTGTCTATGCTCCTAGTCAGCACTTCAAGTTGATTGTTGTTTCTCATTTCGCTGCTGTCACCACTGGCACTAGTAGCACTCATGCTATTCACTTTTTTGTGCATTTCAATCTATCCTACCAGTACTTTCATGTTGCTTTCCCTCCTTTTCTCTCAATCAATCTAGTACTTTTCCTTGAATTACAGTGTTGTGTGGTCTTTTTCTTTCACCAAGTGTGAAATTAGTCCAAAATATGTACAAACCAGCAGACAATCAGCCTGAAAAATATACAAACCAGTAGACAATAAGTGACATCAGGATCTCCACTTGCTGTGTTCAAGCATGGTACAATGTACTACATTGGTGCGCAAAAGTGAAACCATAAGGCCTGAAAAGGTCCCGCCGAGAGGAGGCATCTACTTGTTTGACTTATAATTGCCTTGTGGCAAGCTGATAGCAAGTTGGTGTCACTGTTCTTATGAGTCATTTACCTGTTCCTTTCGGGGAAATTACCCGGCGGCAAGTCACGACAAAGGAAGTTATGGAATGTGTGAATTTACTGATGAAGGTCGAAAAATGTTGTGTAAGCCTCCAGTCTAGATGCATAGCTGTGCTCCTCTGCTGCAGTAACCCAGTGTCAGGCTGCCTTGACGTGTTCCGGAAAGCCGTATGTGTCATGTCCTGATGCTAGTCTGAGGTTATCCATTGCAAGTAACAAATCAGCAGGGTCATGTAGAATCTGGTAACGAAACTGATAAGCCACCTGCAGCCACCAGTAGCTGAATATTTTATGTGGGTGCAGTGCATGCAGAGCTGCCAATGACTCTTGGCAAAGAGTGATGGCCTCCACGACATCTTCATTCTTCCGAGTATGCGTGAAACGAGAGCAGAGTACCGAGCTCAAATTTACAAGAATTCTACGGCGCTCTGGATAGTCATGCCGCATTAACTGAAGGGATTCGCGATACCGATCAATGGCCTCGTTGAGGTCCTCGCTGACATGCAACTTAACATATCTGGTTTTGAGCGCGAGGGCAAGGTTGCTAGGCGTGGTGTCATGATGTGGATGCCCGGGTGGGTATAATGTCAGTGCCTCACGATAGAGACTGATAGCTCGGATGATGTCATCAATGTCGCCGCGTTTGTGGAATAGGGCGATGAGGGCGACCCCTAGGCTGTCCAATGAGAGATCACGAAATTTGTGCCCAACAGACTACAGGCGCAGCGCATCTTCGTACAAACAGATGGCCTCATCGAGGTCATTAAGTTTGCCCTGGTGATTCACGAGTGAGAGGGCCAAGTCGTTCAGGTAGACATTAGTCAGAATGTCCATCAGACAGAGAGACAGCTTCACGACCGAGTTGTGTGCATTCATCTACTTATATCATCAATGCTGCCCCGTCATTGAAAGCGGGTGAAAAGTGACTGTAAAAGTTTATCAAGTGCTTTTGGACGGAGTTGATGACCCACAGGACAGAACTCCAGCACGTTTCGTCGAAGGTGGATGCCTTCATCGGATGCGTCGATTGGAAGATTATTGCATGTAGGGATCACGTAATCGACCGCACTGTCTACGCCGACGCTATGAAGGTAGGTGCCCTCTCGACAGAGGGGCAGTAGCTTGTAGCACAGCTGCGCGGATTCGTGAATGTAGACGGCGGTAGGCTCACTGCTGTAGCGAAAGATCAATGCTGTAATAAGATTATAGATGGATGGTGCCCGATCGGGATGACCCTGTGGACGCAATGCAGGGCTTCGTGGAAGAGAGAAGTGGAGGTGACAACGTCTTGAAGATGGTTTTGAATATAGACTCCAAGGCGGGTATACGCGAGGTTGGTGAGAGCTGCTGCATGATCAGGATGGTCGACTGGTCGCCGGTCAAGAACCGACTGAAAATGCTGGACAGCATCGTTCAGGTGAGAGACTGTCCTGCTCGACGTGTATTCGGCAAATTGTGCGTGGCCTGCATCCGTGTCTCGAGAGATCTCGCTGTCTACAAGGGACTAAAGTTGGTGTTCCGTCAGCAAAATCTAACAGCAGAGTGCTTGCTATCGTGTCAGAAAGTCTCCATGGACTTTACAAAGTTACGGTATTCCCCCACGTTACAGATTCATCAGATGATAAGACACTGATGGACGATTTCCAGCGTCTCCGGGAATCAACATTGATGGATATGTAAATGTCTGCAGGAATGCGCTGAGAAGTGACTTTAAGATTCTTTCCGCTGATAACTGTAGATAGATCGCGAGGATTATGAAACGGATGGCGAAGGTGGCATGGAGTGACTCACCTTCAAATCTAATGTATCGTTCTTCTAAGCTACCAGGCATGATGGTGTGATGGAGCAAAATGACGATGGGCCGAGTAGTAGGCGAAATTAGATGGAGAGAGAGGAGGAAAGGTTAACGTTGAACGTTGACGCCTGAGGCCTGTTTGGCACGAAGGACGCTGGTATGATACACAGTGGGTGGGTGACTGAGTTCTCCTGTAAAAGTTTTGACAACTTGACTTCAGTTAATTTACGGGGGAAATCTGTAAAACCATAAGACATGGATAGCGAATTTGCAACGTTAACTGGGATGTCCTCGAGCTCGTTGGCGTTCTTGTTCTCGGTGTATAATTTATGTTAATATTGCTGCACTCACTATTCCAAAGTTGAATGGTGCAGGATGGCCATATTGCACCTAACTCGCTGCCAATTGTAGTTACTAGATGCAGAGACAAAACTCAAAGGTATATTTGAGTGATGTTAGAATCAGCCCAAAGAGAATTGAAATGTGTAGTTGGGCTCATTTTCAGAGAGGAAATAGTACAGACAGAACACGATGTACATACGCGCGAGCCATCCGATCGAGTCGACGGAGAACCACATAATGTGATCCGGACGACATCTAAAAAGAGTAAGAAATTTGCCTGAATCAGGCGCGATCATGATTTGCGAGAGCAACTTGAACTTGAACTGGTTGACAGTTGGCGTTGGCAGCGACAGTGAGCGACTCCTTCCTATTATCCTCTAAATTGGCCAGGCTGAACCGCCAAAACAAAGTCTGCAAGTAGCCTGGGTTGTTCTGTATGCTCAAACCTCTCCGTCACCACAGCCCCTCCGTGGCCCTAACGTATCATGCGAGCGTGCTTAAGTTCTTGGTGAAGAACGTCGACAGTATGATAGGATATATGAGGTGAATTACGTCCAATTACTGGCATCGCGGTTTGCCCAGGCCCCACACGTGCAACTTCACGTGTTAGTCTCATGTCACTACTAGTCAAGCCCAAGCGATTTTACACAACGAAAATCCTCATATAAGCATGAGCTCAATGCATGTCCTTGTGGGTTATCTCACCCTGACTTACGACTGTAGTGCGCTGAATGTGCCCTGCTACTGATCCTCGATTCAGATCTTGCGCTGGAGGTGTCAGTTTCAACCAACTCTGTTGACACAACTGCTAATTACTCTACAGTGACTGGCAGTGGTCCGTGCTAGTGCATGAAGCGCGCTCTCAGACGGTTGGGGAAAGAAGATTCTGCCAGCATCCCAACAAGTTCAGATCTAGCAAGCCTTTTTGCATTAGGTGACGGTTTGGAGGGCCCACCTACTGCTTCTGGGTTCCAATCCCGTTCGCACTCTTTCAGCGAGCGGAGACCAGGACTTTCAAGATAGATGCCAAGGTACATGTGAATGGAGATGAAGGTAAAGAAGGGTATCTAAGCGCTTCAAATGATTTCACGTTGTCGAGGTTGCTGAGAGGTTTGGCGATGTAGGGAACCGTTCTTGCAGACTTGAGCATCCATTGATGTAAAGATCGATCACTACCTATTAGCGTTGCATCAAACATTCACGTGTCTCCTTCCCAAGTACGACATGATACGTGTACAGTTCAGCACCCCGATCAATGTCTACATGCTCTATATCGATGGTTTGCTATCCTTTTGAGCTATACACAACCATCAATCATTATGACGTCTCCAAACAAATTATAAACTCACACATTGTGATACGGTCGATTAGCGATAAAGCAATGCCCTGCGTTTTGCTCCGAATACGAACGTGGCCTACAATCCCAGCCTCCGTCTTCTCGATGCTAAGATTGGCTAAAGCATCCTCGCCTGTGTCGTCACAAAATAAGACCAGTGCTGACACAAAACTTATGGAAAAACCCGTACCGAACAAACTTCGAGCATACAAGTTGGCAGATAGGAAATCACAATCACCCGACATTGCTCCCTCTGGCATGAGACAAGACATGTTCGTAGACTTCATGACGTGCTTCAGGTAGTCGCGAGGGTCACTACGAGAGTACATTAGCTAGGGACTGGACAAGAGAACCCTGGAAGACATACGTCATGTTCGTCGACACGTTAACCCTGTTCTCCCACTCAAACTCTGTCCACATGGTTCGGAACTTGAGGGTGGTGAGTGAGTATTTGGACAGTAGCAACAGGTATTAAAGACGTACCTGTGTCTTGCTACAGTACGCGGGTTTGATAGTCCATGATGTCGATGTGGATGTCGTTCAAGATAACACAGCATTCAGCGAGGGCAGGGCCATCCAATAGGATGCTGCCAAATATGACGCCAGTCTCTGTTGACGAAACCTACGATCTACAATTAACAGATGTGAGCGGCAGAGCGACTTTGATTGTTACCTTGATTGTTGCCTTGATACTATGGAAACCATGAGGCGCTATGGTATATACAGCAGGTCGTTCGACCAGTTTGAGGTCACCAAGCGTTGCGAAGTCAAGACAAAGATTCTGCAGCGTATTAGACGTCTGGTTGACCAGAAGCACATCTGAGTACCGTTAATGAGTTTCGCCGATGAAATAACCCATCAAGGGAATTATACACACCAAGCATGATATCGAATCCGTGCATCTTGACATATGCTTCCGCATATATAGGATCCGAAAAACCTAGAAATGATGAGCACTGAAACAGATGACGGCGGCACTACAGGACATACCTGTGAGCTGGGATATGCGACTTTTTCGAGAACTGCCTGAAAGTAAGCAAATCATCGACTTGCACGACATGTTCCTTCGTGCTTTCCGACTCCTTCTTCTCCGCTGCCGTTTTCTGTCCGATCATCAGCAACATCACAGCTCGAAGTAGACTAGGCACGCACCTCCTGAGCGACGAGCATCTTGGAGTATGCCGTTTTTGTGTTCTTCAAGAAGATATCGTGAACAATGGACTTTTCCTGGAGCTCGCTTAGGGTTTGTATGCAATTAAGAATACGCTCGTTGGAATCCTCGTCGATCGGTACCCGCGACAAACTTCGACTGGCCGACGCGGATAATAGACGTCATGATTAACATGGACTGGGTGGGCATCGGTGAATGCTATAAAACATTAACCGTAGTACATACCTCAGCACGAAGAGCGTTGGCCTTTGGCCGGTCGTTTGTAAGGTCATCGAACCGCAACACGAGCTTCATCAGCGCCAAGGCGAGACCGAACCCGTGAAAAAGTCGCCTCCCAATATGAGGGCTGACATAACATCATTGAAAGTTCCGAACGAAATGAACAGGCACGCCACGCACCTCTCAATGGCGGCTTGGACGCAGCCTTGACAGCCTCTAATCTCGTTGAGGTGGCATTAGTGTACGCCGTCTCCGTCGCATATGTCCCGTCAGCAAGTACCTTTGGCCGCCCGCTTCCCTCGACTTTCTTGTCCTCCTTCTTGTCCTCCTCTCCGCCAGTCTCGTCCAGTAACCGCTGCTCGCTCGCAAGGATAGGGATCTCGCCAAGCACTTTGCGGATGTCCTGGAATGTGGCCTGGATGTCTGACAGGCCTTCGACGTACTCGCCCAGGATCCGGAGGACGCCGCGGAAGGCTTTACCGGATTTTATCTCTGTCAGAGTTTAAGTGAGCTTCTCACATATAGACTGCCAGAGGTGCGGGAATTTCTCCACTACATCGCTGTGGGTGCGTTAATAAAATAAGGTGCGGGGATTAGGAGGGGAAAACAAACCGAACGAAGGACACGACGTCTAGCGCAGAAGGGTTATTCGAATCCCCAAGGAATTCCATGAGTGCATGGACAACACTTGCAGCCACCTCAGAAAACTTGACTGCTAACACGTGGATCGATTGGATTAGAAGTTGCCTGTACTCCAGGGCCTATCCCAATATTAGTCCACGATATCGTGCAGGACTGCGAGACTGACCTTCTCGAACTCGCGTTCCTGTGTCTGCTGTAGCTGCTTCTTGAGGAAGAGAACAACTTCCTCGACGTTCCGATTCGAGGTCATGCTGAGTACAATGCTCATTGCTTTCCTTCGGACCTCCATGTCAGCGCTGATACGATAGGATTCAGTAACAATTTTTGGATGTTGATCGGTCACTGTTCGTACCTCGACAAGACCTGTAAGATGTCCATTGTCAGTCCATCTAGAATATGACCATGCTTGGAGCGTAGGGTATCCAGGTGATCCAGGACGATCAGCTTAACGTTGTTGTCGGATTCTTTAATGACCAGATTAACAAAGCACGAGGCGGCTGCTAATCATAAAAGTAAGCAGACATGCGCACAAGACCTGATCGTAAACATACCTTTCACAGCAGCAGAATTCTGCGTGAGTGTGGTGAGGGTCGTAGCAGCTTCGTATTTTACTGCATGTGATGATGAATTCAACAATTCAAACATGCACCTGATATATCGCGGCTGCAAGGACAAAAATGAGGATAGACAAGATAGCCCGAGTGAAGAGGACTTACTCGATGCGTTGTGTCGTTCTTACAATCCAACCTGATGACTTCTATGATGCTCATTTGCAAGAGCTCATCTGGATTCGTCAGCTGATCATACACGCTACTCAACCACTCCACAGCTTTAGGCATCGCGCAATGCGCGAGGAACACGAATGCGTTATGGTTGCACGTCGCGTCAGACTCTGCGGCAATGAAAGTCTGCATGAGCTCGGGAGCATCTGGGATGAGGTGTTCGTATTCGCGGGTAGATAGTGTACACAGCAAATACGGCATTCTTGCGGACGTAGGAATGACGGTGCTCGAGACAGCTGCGGCAGGTGGGGATGAGAGGTTCAAGGAGTTCGGCATCTTTGGATATCTTTTGAAGGAAGCGTAGGGTAGCGCCACGGATATATTCGTTGGGGTGTTGCTGTAGGAATGTGAAGAGTAGAACGTCAAGGGTGCGGGAATTAGTCTTACCAGGTCGTTTTGGATGGCATTGCTGGACTAGGTGAGTATATATGTGCGATAAGATTAATAGATACACGTACACAACGAGAATCATCTCCTGCTTAAGCTTCCCGTTCTCGTCATACTTGGGACACACCTCCCAGTAGAAGTGAAGCAGCTTTTTGAGTTGCTTGTTCTGGAGGGCATTATATATTGTATGATTGGCATCAAGAGTGTGGGCTAGGCCACCATTATTGCATTAGCATCATGCGGTCAATAGCAAAGATCAAGGAGCATACCTGAGGGTTCCCATTAATCGTCGACACAATAGTCCTGCGCAACGTATCCAGTCTGTCTTCGTCAGTCCCTTTCTCGAGAGAAGCCCTAAGCTCCTGCGTGGTTGGGCTCTGTAGTATCTTCAAATACGACTGTGTAGCATGGTGCCTCTGCTGCCATGATAACCCAAACGACGCGACTGAGGCCTCTCACATGAGGCTGGACTTGAACGCTCTGAACTAATTAAAATTAGGGCACATTTCTGTAAGTTTGGGTCACAAGTTGAGTCAACGATTCCGAAGTTGCCATGTAGTCGTTGTTGACCATGTACTGACCTGCAAATTGAAAGATGTGGCAGATGTCTATGAATCTTCCTATTGGTGGCTAATGCATCATCGCAAAAATTCACGCGAGTCTTAAGTGCGTGCCGGATCCGTGGCTCGGTAAAAGGTGCAGGTGTAACTTCCATACTGCAGTGATAATCAGTGGCGGCGTTAAGTTTGGCCTTCAGCTCAAAACGGTAATCTATAAAGTAAGGTGCAACGGGTTTCGGGGAGCGACGGGTGCTCGCGTGGCTTTCGCGTAGATACGCTTAGATGCGCTTAGATTCGCTTAGATTCGCTTAGGAACGCTTAGCTCGCTTAAACCTCTTTTTGGAAATCTCGCGTGGTTTTGTCACGTGTTTTCGAGCGCCGACTCAATACCATTGTCCGTTCGAGTGCAGCACATGTCAATAAATAATTAATGAAAATTTGAAGGAGAGAACAGGGGAATGGGGTAACGGGCCAAAGGTGTGAGCGGAGCGAGCACTTTTGGTCAGTTACCCCATTCCCCTGTTCTCTCCTTCAGGTTTTCGTTAATTATATTAGGATGCAGCCAAGGCCAGGAAGCCAAAAGCGCTCCTTGTGCTTCCTGTGCCGAAGGCACAACGGGTGTTGGACTAGTTGTTATGTAAGCGAGCAGCGTACAGGTGCAAGTACTATACATCTTACTCCCAAGTGCTAGTCCCTCAGCCATTTGTCAAGCTTCGTCCCTAGTCATTTCAGTGAATATTCTCCACCTCTTGGAGAGGAGCCGAGCCACACAGAACGCCCCCAGAACAGACAGACCTCGTGATCAGTGAAATGCTACAAGTCGCTGTCAATAGTATGTGCCATACGTCTTCATTTAGCACGTACCAATGATTTTCCAAAGTGATTCTGGCGACACTTTATTTCGTCATTACTCAGCTATTTCGTTTCGCGACAGACTCCATGCCAGACACACTCAATGATACCCTCCAAGCTCTGCCTGAGGAGCCAAGCTACCCAGGACGCACCCAGGACCTGGGAGAGATACACAGTAGAGTGCAACAAGTCGTCATTACTGGTATGTGATATTTACTTTGCTCAGCTCGTATTGACGATTTCCCTCAAGATATTTGCGCAACTAATCTTACTATTGGTCTCCGGCGCATCCCCGCTGACTTGCATGTGGTGGTAAAGACCGACAGTGCTGAATGTCAGACGAGCAACAAACCCGTACACGTATATGAGGCTGTCGTCGAATGGACCGAGTCCATACTTCTGTATGTTGTCCTTAATCTCATCTTTTCTGCGCATATTGAGAAGCACTCTAGGCCGTGCGAGCCATCTTCTATAGTTCGAGTCAGCGTGCATGCCTCATTTGAATTGGGTCCGATGCTCGGTCAAGGAGAAGTCCTCCGCGCATTTGAGATTTCCGTTGGAGAATTACTGGATCATAGCGAAAATTCACGTGGTCAGTAACGTCTTTTGCAAATAACATCTGACAGATGTTAACAAGTATCACAGCCATAATCTTTCAGCTCAAGCAAGGCGAAGTCGTATCCCCGTGTACATCACTGTTCATGACACTGGAGCAGCGACTTTCTGATGAAAACGACGCCGCAGTTCTTTGCCCCGTGACTACTGTGAGTGACCAATGCAGTCTTAATCCACAGGTATATATACCCCTCTCTCCTGCGTTCAGTCTCCAGTCAAGTCAATTGAATTCTTTCACTCATTACACTCAGATGTCTACTAGAGGCAAGGGCGTACCGCAACCGCGGGTTTCTGGCCTAGTGTCGGCGACCGCTAGTTCTTCGCCAGACAAAGTTGTATTTTGGACAGAAGGTAGATGGCATATGGAAGTCTGCTTGTACAGGAGATGGTTTATGTACTAAGGATATTTTTACAATGCTGCTCAGCTCGTTCCAACCCATCGCTCAACATCAATCAGAACAACCCGTCCACCACTCTGGTCCATGTCCAAGCAATGCTGTCATGGCCTTGATCTTTTTCTCATCGAGAGGCTTCTGAATAGAACCTTCTTCACCTGAGTACACGTAGAGCACCTGGACGGTGTCGATCGGAATGTCCTTGGGTTCTTCATCGTCGACTGAGCCACGGTTTGGATTGAAGCAACGTTTCCATCCAAGAGTGTCGATGTCCGCCAAGTACGCAAGGCCTGTGAAGTATTCTTTTGACTTGGCATCTATGTTATTGCGATCGTCCGAGTTGAGCTTCTCACAAAACCAGTCCAGCCATTCCTCAGAGACTGCATATCCATAGTACCAGACATGAGACTGCGTTTCCGGATGGATAATTTCAGACGTTCGTGGTGTGAATGTGATCGCGGTCTTATTGATAGTTAGTAAGTAAGTAAATGGTGGAAGAGATGATCTACCTTCAAGATTTCAAACAACCTCGACAGGAAAGAAGACATGTTTTTGATAGAGATGTTCTTGATAGAGAGTGAAAAATGACGAGTGTGATTCGATGTTGAGAGGCAGACGAGGCAGAGTCGAAGGGCTATTTAAGTGATTGGCACCACTCAGCCACATACCACAGGAGTTGTGGACAGGTGTCAATTCATTGTTTAGTCTCCCCTAATTATACAAATAGAGGGAAGACAGTCTTTTCTTCTATAAAGTCAATCCACAGCGCGCTGATATAGTAGAGGACTCCACACGTGCCGCATCCTGGAGAAACACAATCAGATTCGTCCAATTGCCTGTGGAAATCAATGGACAATTAATGTACAAACTGGGGGTCCACATTGTTAAGCGTACAGAATTGCTGGGAAATTGCCTGTGGAAATCAGTGGTCAATTAATGTACGAACTGGGGTCCACAATTGTTAAGCGTACAGAATGGCTGGGGAATCACTGTGGCCAGTGGTTCACACAGATCGGTCCAAGTCATTAAGTAACCTTGCCACTCAATCTCTCCTCCCGCTTTGAGCACCGAGGCAATGACGAAGACTTGGATCAGGCTATCGCACTTCACAGGGAAGCACTGGCTTTGCATCCGGTCGGTCCAAGTCATTAAATAACCTTGCCACTCAACTCTCCTCCCACTTTGAGCACCGAGGCAATAGAGAAGACCTCGACGAGTCATGAGAGGACCTACGCTGTGCATTGACTCCATTGATGCAACATGATCCTCGTCAATTAGTAGTCCATACATCAGGCTCGCTAACTAAGGTCTATCTATCATTCCATTATTTGGGGCTTGATGGCACCGGCGCGGGCGAAGATACTGACAGTCTGAATTCTGCAATACACTTCTGGACGCTTACATGTCCACGACAGCTTCAGTATCATCTCGTCACAATATCATGAAGGAATTCCCAAGAACGCTTGCCGTGGATGAATTAGTGCAATGTGAACTATCACGTGATATCCCCACGACAGACATAGAAGCACCACTTTATGACGTTATATTTATTATTTGGGCGTTTTGTCAATCGAGGGCTTAAGTTAGACTGGTGACCAGCCCCTCTATGAGACAAACCCTCGATAGAGGGACTGGTAAATCTGGGTTTGAATTTGGATAGTGCACGCTTTGGAGTAATCACATGACCTGTAGCCAATAAGAAAACTGAAATTTTCGACATGAATATTTGAAATGTTGAAATTAATGTTTGATTCATATTGATGCGATGCAAACGCAGTCGCATCATTAATGTATGTATCTACTCTACAACTCCAATGGACGTGAACTCTATTATCCAAGCTGTGCAGGAAGCCTCGATGGAAGGACTCTAGATTCATTTGCTCGTTCGCTAATACAAGAACGGCTCCCTACCAACTATATCAAAACCCTCAGTGACAAGGATAAGACGGATGTGTTGCGCGCTTGCCTGCTCGTGTACATCCTCACGGCTACAACCATTGTTCCACAAGTATACCAGCTAGAAGCCATTCTTGCAACATTGAATGGCCGTGACAGCATAATTACAGCCGGTACAGGCTGCGGAAAGACCTTGTGTCTCATATCAGCATTTCTTACCACGGAGTCTGGCACTGGGCCGGAAAGCTCTTCCTGTGTTAAGAGAAGGTTCAACTGCACCCGCGCTGGCGCTCATGCACCATAAGATTTGGCAGGCGCGCCGCCATAGGGTGACCAGTACTCCCTGGCCTAGAATATTAGTCCGCTGTTCCTGCTGGCTGTTTTAGACGCGCAATCCATTCGAACATGAGGTGACTGCTCTCCTCGTTTCATGATGTGTGGCAATTAGTTTGTAAGGTAAGATATACTGAAGCATGTACTCGGCTGCCCCAGAGGGCAGACTTGTACATGAAGCTATGACAGAAGTGCATTAGTGGTGCAGTAGTTCCACCTCCCGACTGATCTTCTTTTGGCACGCTATGAGCCAAGCCCTCGTCTTCATGTAGGGCGAGTTAGAAGTGTTGTGTAGGTTAGGTGATTAATCTGATGTTTTGAGGCCTAAGTGTGTGCGTCGTTGACGGGTCGTGAAGTGCGCATAAGTTTGCATCATAGGGTTCTTGTGAGCTGCTTAGGGAGTGTTATTAACGATCGGGTGGAGGGTGAAGAGTCACATCACCGAATGTCGTCTTCAGTCTGCCAGTACTGTTCACGTATCCAAGTGCTTCATGGCCAGTGTCTGAGACTTGCCGGCGGAGTACAGTCACACAGACCCACAGAATCCACACGACCACAGAATGTGGTGATCCCACACGGTTACTTTTCATGTATAGCTGGATCCTGCTGCACTTCGGTTTGGACACCATACTTCAGTACTTCAATCCGCCCTTACACAAAAAATCTGTTATGTTTTCAAGACACAAGGCAGCTCATGTGGTTTCAACAGTCTACCGTACGAGTTGGCTTCTTATATATTCGAGCTGGCAACACTACTTGATAATGACAACGGGGAAGAAGAAAGACAACCCCTCAGTCGGAAGTGTTCAAAGATGCCAACAGTCCTGGCGTCTGTAAGCAGAGAATGGAGATACATCACACTGCAGTGCACTCCAAGACTATGGTCGCACTTAGAATTTATTCCAAGACAAAACAAGCTCAAGCAGCAGCAATCCCAATTGTTTGCCCATGTTAGCAGGTCACAGAAATGTCCGTTGGATATTTTCATCAATCTACGGGCACAACAGGGGGTTATGTCTAGGTAAGTGCCCAGCTCTCTAAGAAACTTTCAGCAGTATCAATTCATCTGATTTAGTGTTGCAAAACGCTCATACCACAAATACGCCTCTGCGATCCCCGAAATCCTCGAGGTCCTCTTCCCACAGATGGATCAATGGAGGTCACTCACAATTTTTTGTGACCTTTGGGGGCCGTTTGTTAAGGCCTTTGAACTGCTCAATGCATCTACCACAGCTGGTGCTTCTTGCCTGGAAATTTTGGAAATTTTGGAGTTCCAATCCTGTGGCGATCTCAAAGTTTGGCCTCCTGCAATCAACCCTTCCCCACGCAGCGAGCGGATGGCCTGTAGAGTCTCATTCAAAGCCTTGTTTCCCTCAGACAAGATCGACCTCAGTCAGCATAAAATTCTCCCAAGACTCCGTCACATGTCTTTACGCGGGGTTCCAATGAACTGGATTGCTTTATCTCAGCAATTGGGTGCGGCTGCCGTTTTGAAATCACTACATTCTTTGGAGTTATCCCGCTTTTTTGCAGGCGAACAGGCTCCTACAAGTAATGAATTTTCAGCCATTCTTACCGCATGCCCTCATCTGCGCAAAGTCGCAATGAGGGTCTTTAGGCTGTCAAATTACAAGAGAGAGCGAAATCCAGTGCCTGTAACCCTTTTCCAGCTTGAAGAGCTTTGTTTGGAATATGGAAATGGGTTCAAGGATGCTGAGCATGCTATGGAGGTGCTCAAACACATCAATGCACCCAAGCTTAGCCGCCTTTTTATTATCCCCTGCAGCCGCGATTCCATTCATTCTGGTCCAGACCCACAGCCTCTCATTGCATATGCACGGGAGTGGTGTGCCCAGTCCGCAGCCGAAGTGCTTTTTACAAGCATCTAAATCATATATACCTGCCTTGTCCATATCGGTAACAAATACCTCTACTTGTAGAACAGCACAATGGACAACCCTCATTACCTAAATTTCATTTGATATATCTCATTTGAACATCGAAGTAGACAGTACGGCTGCAGTCAATGAGAAGAACAGTGAAAAGTAATTCGCCCACATTGTTTTGTGGACCCACTGTTCAAGTTCAGTGGTTAAGAAGGATAGTATCACTGAAATTTTGAAGTTTGGGTCATGCCGTTTGGCCTTGTGGTAACCTTCCGTGCATACTCCCGGAAAATTAAAGTGACTTCTCTTGCATTTGTTGACCGCATGATAAGCTGCGGTGTGTCAGCATATCTAATCACATTATAGGTGAATATGACGTACATGAGCAGCATCCGCTTTCCGCATCTTGATGTTACGCTGGAACATTTCTGGGTTCATGAAGCAAAGCGCCAATGTGGCCATTGCCATGGAGAAGGGGGCCGTGTATAACACGGACATGCTCTGGCTTTTGAGTAGGCGCAGGTAGTCCAAAGAATAACATGCATATTACAGAGCATCGAGAACCATGCCGATTTGTGTCCGCGTGGCATGCTCAACATAACCCTTCTCATACATGTCATTCATCTCGTTGAAGCCATATTTAGCCCAGATTTCTCGAGGCCGAAAGAAGCGTCTCTCCTCGACGTAAATCACGGATAATTTTGGTCTTTTGAAGGAGAAGGCCCATAGAGTTGCTAGCTGAAGTTGATCGCAGAGAAAAGACGCTTCCTCACCTCAGGCTGACCAAATGTGAGTGAGGCCTTCACCTACAAGGCCTGGGACGTAGTGACAATAGAGGTCATAGTCAGCAATAGTCTCGAGGTAAACAGTGCCATTGGTTGCGACTTTATGTGCGTAATCCACCCTACCGTTCTCCATTTTCTGACAGATGTCAAGAATGACAGTCTTGTATCTGTGGTAGGTGTTAGATGGAAGAGCGTGATTGAAGATGCGAACGTACTGGGGTGGTAGTCTATCGACTTCTTCTACGATAGTGTGGTATTCGAGGAGCAGGTTTCGACCTTTCTCATCAGGGGCCGTTCTCTGTAAAGTTCCAGCCAGGGGTCACTGTTAAGTTATGGAATTAGCGGATCTCTTCTCGTCGGGGATAGTCATGTTATCTTCAATCGTGTCCAGGCCGCGTAGAATGAGGTAGTACATGCAAATCTGGAAAGTCGAGTATCAATCATGTGGATGGGTATGAATAGATTATTAGCCGGTTAAAACTGGATATGCATCCAGAGGCCTGTACAAAGAAGAAACACAAAAGAGGCAAAGTGCTTACCGTTCCTGCAAGCTCGCCGTCAAGCTTCTTGATGACAGCTGCAAACCTTCTGCTTTTCATGTCAAGGAATTCGTAGCAGCGGCACATGGAGGCTCGATCCCAGCCTGGCGTGGGGTGCTCTTGCTGAGCGGTGATATCATTTGTCGTCTACAACAATGAAAAAAGAATAAGGGGGACCCACCTGAAGGGTCTGCAGGCGCCGCTACATTATTGACAACTTCTGACAGCACACGTAATGGAAATCTACGTTGCGATATCAATGGACGATGAGTATGAGCACGCATGACCAGACTAATGTACTGCTGCCAAGACTAGTAACCCTGCCAAGAGCTTTTTGCTCTGTTTCCAGAATACATATGTACGAATTATCAAAAGACTTCAGGCCCAGAAGACAATATAAACATGGGGCGCACCTTCAGCAGCTACAATACTGATAATGTGAATTGCTGCAGTGAAATCAGTAAAATGATGGCTGCTCAAGATATTGATCACCATTTGAAGCCTGGCTGAAGCACAAACACTAGATTCGATGTCCTTCAGCTCATACAACAACCACATAGCAAGCAAAACACACCAACATCTTCATTCGCTCGTCAAACGATGGCAGCTAGTCACTGGTCAATGTCACATACCAGGAGATATGAGTAGCTGCTCACCGTATGAAGTCATGCTGGCTGCTATGAAGGCCATGTAGCGTGAAATTATGAAAAGAACAAGTGACGTTCCAGCGCCTGTTCCATGTCCAGCGAACCCGCCGTCGAAAGTTTACTGTCCAGTATGCTCTAGTTTGTGGTAGAGTCATGCTGGCATCGCTCCATCGAGCGTGTTGGTGAGTTCGTCCCATCCCTGGAAATGTGAATTGGATGAATAAATCATCAGCGTCAGGGACCAAAAAGCTCGTGGAGTGCATCCCGCACAAAATTCGAGGTCTTCAAGAAAATTATGTCACGGTGCGTGAGCTAGCATCTGCTTCGTGATGGCTACGCCTTATATTATTCGTGTATAAAAGCTAGCGTACTTGACCCAGAAAATATCATCAAGTTTCAGCCATGAAGTTCACTTTGCTCACCACTGCATTCGTCACTGCCGCAGCGATGGCTAGGCGTAGTTATCGCATCCGACGTCCCAGTAGTCCCCAGTCAGGACCCCTTGTGCAAGGGACCCCCGAGAAAGCGACCCACCCGGACGCGACGAAGTTCTACGACAAACCTGGTGAAGCACTTTTGACAACCCATGTGCAAACCTTACACTATATGCTTATGGCCATCCGCAGATACATTTGGGTGCTCAAAGGGCATCGAAGGCTACAACGAAGGTAATGATTTTGGGTATACCTGCGCAAGTAAATGGCAGTTCAAGTCCTTGATGGAATGCACGTGCAAAGATTGCTGCCGCTTGATTGAGGATGGGAAGAAGCCCTACTGTCCCGAGAAAAAGAAAGTGACCCCGGACAAGGCCAAGCTCTGCGACAAAGCTGGTGAGCACTTTTACAACACACAGTGCAGACCTTAGACCACGAGCTCATGGCCATCCACAGAAAAAGTAGGGTGTTCAAATGGCATCGAAGGCTACAACAATGGGAACGATTTTGAGTAGTACCTGCGCAAGTGAAGGGCACCTCAAATCCTTGGTGAAATGCACGTGCAAAGATTGCTGCCGCATCGAAGGACGATGGGAAGACCTCCTACTGTACCGAGAAAGGGACTCGCAAGTAAAGAATCCCCCCCAGTGCCTAGGTAAGTCTGACTTTTCTCGTTGTCTTTTGAGTCCGTGTTGCTGATGTGCTTGCTTTCGCTACACTGAAACAATTAGCATGGTACGTGCAGGAGGGCGCGAAGGAGTGCTAAAGAATGTAGGATTTAGGCATCTTGTAAATGTAATGTCAAATGAAGTAGGCGATTGACGAGGGTCGCATTGCGGCTATTTCGATGTTTGATTTTACTGGAGAGATGTTTGGAACATTTCTAGTTTTTTTAACCCCCTAGTAATCGGAGTGCAGCTCCAACATCGGAACCACAAGCAATGTGAACTGCTGCTGCGGTAAATGTAGCGCGAGTTTGATTAAATGTAATGGGAAGGTGTACTGAGAAACGCTGTGTGAGCACCTCATCAAACAAACTCGTAAGCTCCGTCCGCAGTGCTTCAAAATGTCGCAAAATTGCAAGGACACTGTTTGCCTTCAGCCATGCCTCAGAACGCTTACATCCCATCAGCATCACGTAGGACAAAAATAGCCAAATTTCCTTCGTAGTACATATGCGATGCAGAGAGCCACGCTGGATCGCATGCAGCGGCGGAGAGAACGGATACTTCTGTAGAATACCAAAGGTCAGCGGCCTCCTGTGAACACAACGTAAAACATCGGAACACAAAACAGTGCATGTAAGACGGCGACTCTAAACTGAGAACAGGAAAGGCAAGCGATTCCTCACCCACTCGTACTACAACATTGGGTTCATGAAAGATCACAGAGGAAGGTCAAAATGACCGCATGCGGGACAGGACTGCACTTGAAGTGCAAGCGTTAATCGCAACCATGCAGAAAAAGCAGGGACAGTCGCGAAAACGGTGGGATGGGTATGAGGGTAATACAACGGGTCTTAAAACAATGGGTATGGCAATGTTTGACCTTATCGATACTCACCAAGGTGTGGGGTCATTCTTTTTAGGTCACCGTCCTCCAGCCATCCCTATTATTCACCGCTCACGCAATCTCGCAGTCCCCCACCAGCAGATTCGCCATCGTATCCTCCAGCGGTGTGTATCTTCGCATGTAGTGGTCATCCATAGCATGCAAGATTCAAACCTCCAGTTCTCCTGTGCTCCATAGGACGACTTCAGTCTATTTATGGACCCTTTGTCCTAGCCATGGCATAAGTCAGACATGCCTCGTCCTCAGGTTCCCTATCATCATCTGCATAATCGGCGTATCCATTCGTGATACTGGTAAGTGACACACAACGATGCCCTTCTGTGTAAAACGCTTAGGACGAGCCATTGCCGAAACTTGCGATGAAAGACCCACTATTCTGAGGTATCGGCAGCCTAACCTTTTCCTCCGCTAATTCCCAAACTAACATGTCGCCACGCCCCAACTCATCCCACATTACCATCAGGCTTGGCAGTAGCACGATTCGTCGATCAAGTATTTTATGCTTTTGAAGGAAGCGTTCTATCTCGTGGTGTGAATGTTCCACGCGAAACGCCAGCACTCGAAGGCGTGCATTGCCAATAAGACGCATGACCGTCACTGGATTACAACTGGGAGGTGCGAGCACCAGACAGATGTGCGTTAACGAGTGAAGAGCCTCTAAGCCTGCATGTGGCTTCTTGAGCACCAATCGATCGACGATTTCGAGATGGGTAAGGTTTTTGAAAACATCGAAGGTGTTAATTGAGTTTGTGAAGTCGATGGCCATGGCAAGAGTTAATGATTTGAGTTGGAGAGCATCCAGTGCACGCCGCAGCGATGATGCGTCGTTCATGAATGCATCTGTACGAACGAATAGGACCAGGCATGTGAGACCATTGCAGAGCGAGAGAATTTGGATCAAAGTCGATTCATTTAGCGCACCGCGGAGATACAGGGATGTGATGGAGTTTTGGGCAAAGCCGATGTGCATGGGACGCAGGCGAAGACATTCCAGAAATTCCCTAGTTTCGTCTTCGCCATCGAGAACAATCTTTTTATACACCAACCTTTCCATCCTTCCGCAGTACTACATCAGTACAACGCCATTTTTGAAATATCAAAATCCATGCTTACCACGGATGCGTCGTGCGGGACACCCTCAGGGCGGTTGCAGCGGCACATTTGGAGCGAGTAGCCAGAGACAATATCTTCTGCTGAATTTCGAGTGGAAGGGGAGGGATCATGACTGGCGATGGATGAAGTGCGCCAGTCTCTGATGGGTAATCAAACGAATATAAAGGTTCGGCGTTGCCGAAGCGTTGCCGACTTAAAGTCTCACCTTTGCTTGTGTGCAATCTTGCCAAGCAGATTTGTAGTAATAAAAGGTCCATGTGACGAAATCAATCTTGCCCTTAATGATCTGATCTGATCTCGTAGTCAGTTTAACATAATCGTCTTGAACCGACCACTTTGCTGCATATATCTCAAAGGAGAGCTACTCCTGGATACCACTTCCGTCACCAATTTAGTTATGGGTGCCTGTGTTGGATGTCGAGGAACAAGCAAGCACGCGCCGAAGCCCATTGGAACGGAACAATGTGCGCCCTTTCGTTCTACTGTTTGCTTACACTATACATTGTCCGCTCTTATGATATGTTTCTCTTATTATATGTACTGAAACATTTATGCGTTTTGACCTACAAGCCGTTTTCATCAGACTACGGTCTTAGATACCTTTTTCGTTCACAAGAGCACTCAGACTATTTAGTTAGCCACAGATTCGTGCTACCAGCTCAGACGTTTGCCTTCGCGCGCACGACTGAGAGTGTCCGTTTCGTACAGACCCACATGAGTGTATTAATCTTTTAACCTGGTAGTCTGTGATGCCGTACAAAGATAGGTACATTTACAAGGATCGAAAGTAATGATAGACTATGAATGAGTTACATTTATCGTACCATAGGACAAAACAGGAACAGGGGGGAAACCAGAAGTTAGTGACAATGAACCGCACCAGTATGTGAGAATTCTCGGAGGGTCGTCACCCTGTTGCTGGCAGTAGTGCTCACCGTCTGACCAGCAATAGAGAGAAGGGTGGGAGTGCCACCAGGTGTATTTCCTGCTGCAGGTGTAAGGGCATTAGTGAGCGGTGATGGGGGAGGGTGGGTAGGACCAGAATGAGTGACCGAGGATTGGGAGTGGAGGATCTGGCTAGCGCTGTATGCGTGCTTGGAGAGTTTGGAAGGTATGGTGGTTGTCAAGGAATTCAAATAATGCTAGGCGAATGAGGGAGAGTGGGTTGGGCATCGCGGGAAGGAAGGTATCGACAAAGTTGTGGCACGCTTGCAGTTTGTAGTGTTTTATGGATTGATTGTAAGTTCGATACTGTTCATCCTCCAGAGCTCGATAAGGTCATGGAATTTAACTGTCCCATATCTTGGAAATTTGTTGTACACACCAAGTCCGTGGCCTGCGTGTATCCGTAACAACATCGTCAGCAAGCAAGAAAACTGATTCATCCAGCTATGTGTCGACAGCGTTTACTATCATAGGACTTGGTTCCCGTAGGTTAACACTATGACATTTGGGGTAGAGTCCACTAATGTTGAGCACTTCTTGTGGAGCATCGGTGGATTGGCGAGCATTGCTCTTGAAAGGCGCTGGGAGAAATAAGATGTGCAGCACAGATTTCAGAGTATTTTGAGAAGGTGGGGGAGGGGTTTGGGAAACGTATAAGCGATGAATCGTCAATATCTAGGTATTCGAGTCACGGTAGTCGCTCTAGGCGCGTCAAAAGACATAGATTGACGTGCCGGTTCACAACAGAGTCATGATGTCATGACATGGTGTGATGGTGTGATTACGGCGAACAGGGATTGTTGGCACCACCTGTTGGTTTCGAATTATAGCAGTTTTGCGAGGTGCAGTGTGTGCAGAGAGCGAGAAAGGGCAGAGAGCGAAAACGTACATTTGAGTCAGTGTGGTTCAAGTTGGTACTGTAGCAAGTCTGTAGGGGATTTTATGGATACTAAATGGGACGAGTTTTGGAAACATCTGAGCTTGTATGCGCGTGATCTGGTTGAGAACTGTTTGTAGGAATGGCAGTCGCAGCTTGTGATGAGGGGCCGCACGGAGCGTGGCAAAAAAAGAGAAGGATATCTATCCTATATGACTTAGAAAGATTGGGCCAGCAGCAGCTGCCGGCTCAACGGTCTCATGCTATATATATGGTTATTCTAGCCCACAGGGCACGCTAGAGTTGCAAACTCTAGGTTTAGGATGGGGACTACTGACAGTGAGTCACAGTTATCCCTGGCATGGGAGATGTCGATATATTTTCTGCAGGCAGCTCCATCACATCATTTGATTTGAAAAGTTAAGTGCACCAGGTTGAGCAGCAGGACTTCAAGGCTTTGAATCAAAAGCAGCCAGAGGCTGATGCTGTGCCTTGAAGCATTCGAGGACACGGTGTTTGAGATGCTCAGACAGTGAAGATTCCACAGATTGGGGCTTTGGCAGTGGTTTTGGAAGGGTTCCTGGGATGGAGATGAATATCTGAGCATGGTATAGACATGTGTGGACGAAGGAAATTTAACATGTACAGTCTTGTTGTGTGTCACGCGGACTTGGGACTTGATCTTCTCTGCGTTTGTCATGAGCTGGTCTTGCAACACGAATTGGACCATGATGAAATTTTATAGGGTTAATTGTTTTGTTGGATCCAATCGAGCAAGCTGCCATTGTTGAGACCGCAACGTCTGGTGTATGATGGAATTCAAACATAGGCTGGAAGAAACGTGCAGAGTGGATAGGGAGTGCAGCACGACGTTGAATGCCTGTCAGACTCATTACCATCAATGTAGAAAATCCCTAATAATATAAATTGAAGTCGAAATTGGGTACATATCGTGGAGGTATACAGTCTCACAAGTCTGGAATATCGAAGTCCTTGGCAACAGGTTGTGCATGGCCATGGGCTGGATGTTATATGTGAAATCGTCAGATTGTCTCGAGAATGCTCTAATCAACAATGTGGGAGGACGCACGTAATTGATCCTATGCCAATATGCACAGACACTATGCGCTGGTCCAAGGGCATGTCCTCGTCGCAAGCCAACAACTGGACCGCTTAGCAAAGCGCTCGGGCAACTCATTTCGAATGCATTTCATTGTCCCATCCCCACAAAAGATTTGTAGAGTGCCTCGAATAAGCGCTGCACAGTACTATCGTCGACTTTCCATAATGTCCCAATAATGCTCTTCACCCCAGCGAATTGTACGCCAGCCGCCAGGTGTACCACTTCGTCGGGAGCAGTCGAGTCACCGACTGCGATTTGACAGGCAGAAAGAAATGCAAATTCATGCTGAGACAGATCTGCTTGTGTGATATTGAGAAGTGAAAGCGGTTGATCCCGCATGAGGCACCCTTGACAGCACTTTTTAGAGCTTCTCACGGTCTGTTAGACCCGGTTTCCTTGTAAGGTAGAGCTCGTTCAAATCCATCCTATGTCATGTGACAAAGTGTGACAATTGCATGTACTGTCGAGATACACACCACCTGGGTTGCCCAATTTGTAAGCTTACTATAAGTCAACATCCCGTCAGCTGTTATTCGTGAAGGGATAGTGCTCACCAAAAGCACCTCAAAGCAGCCTGCAGCCGCATTTGTGGAGGTTCCACGTCAGCTTTGCCAATGCCGAATTGCGGATGCATTCCGTCCAGGTAGGAGCCCTGGTGAGAACTTAGTGGATCCGAAATTTTCGGGTCAGGGTCAAGATGCTACCACGATTGGCCCAGCACTCATAAGTATTGGTCCAAACACTGATGCAGCCCTGGATCGGCTGAAACTCGAGGATGGGATCCTGCCGAAATTGGGGATTCTAGTCAGCACTGTCTGTAGCAGCCGATGGGAGGCAGTTCTTAGATCTCCAAAGTGGGATCTTAGCTATGAACATGCTTCTGTGTTGGCTAAGGCTCTCCTTACTGACTTACATGGAGTTACACTAACCTTGATCCTGTAAAGGTCCCTAATTCATTTATGTGCTGCTCTCCATACTAATGGTCCCCATTCCCATTTAGCCTCATTCAGTTTCAGCGCTTACCATACTGTCCTCCATTTTGAAGATCTTTGGCATTTTGGTTTTTTTGTGTGCGCTTTACTTGTTTGGGTTATTGTTTATGTACTAGACCTTGAAGTTGTTCTGTAGCTCGCTTCCTGGAACACCAATGTGCAGATTAATTTTTTCCCCCGGTGTGTTAAAAGCCTTAAATCGACGCTGAAAATATGGCTGACATTCAGACCTTCCCCTCCTCATAGAAAATGGTCTCTAAGTCAATCTATGCAACAAAGTCCAGTGCTACATCTCATCGTAACCAGGCACCTCGAAGACGGCCAAAGGTCACGCTCAGCAAAGAAGCACGAGTAGCCCTCAGGGCTGCACAGTGCGACAAGTCTCGCAAATTCAAGGATGCCCTTGATGAAGCCTGGGACCAGATCAATGAGACTACAAAGACTATTGCCGTGTCTCACCAAAAGAGCATCCGACGCGTCCAAAATCAGTTGTACTTTGGTCTCCGCTTGAAGCGCTCAAAGCCAAGTCTCTGGAACACATTTTGCTGGAAGAAAAATCTGGATAAAGAAAACCGTGAGTCTTTCTTTTTCTTTGGCCGCTACATACTTATCCTGATATTACATACATTCAGATAGCGAAGGTAGAGCTGCACTTCAGTCACTAGTCCGTGATCATAAGGAAGCATACCATGCGCTGTTGAAAGAAGAACGGGAGGACCTCTTAGAGGAGTTCACAGAGTACAGAGACACTAGGACTAAAGGTCTGCGCATCTCGATGAAGTCAAAGGTAACCAATATCACCCAGACTTTAAAGGCTGTTGAGAACGAGGTTTGGAAGTTTATGAATACTTATATTGTAGTCTCGCTAACTTACCTTGATTCATTCCAGCTCATTAGTCTTAGATGTCGTACTGGTGCCGAGAGTATTTTATTCACAACGTGTGGCTCAACGGATCTCCCTTTATGCGGGATTACTTTCGCAAGTGATGGAGTTGAAAAATTCATGGGTTCGGTGATGGGGATTGATAATCAGGATTTTGTGAGCAAGATGGAAGGATCTGCCATCCAAGGGATCAAAGGTCAAAAAACAATTAATGTCAGCACTATCACCTCTTATTTCATTTACAGGTGCGGGAAAGAATCATCAGAAGCTCATCCCAGACACACGTGCCTCAATCCGCAAGCTTATTAATGACAAACTCCATCAGTTCATTTTACTTCCATGATAGCAGTATCGCTTACCTCCATCAATAGAAGAGATCACTGGTGAGCCTGGTGCCACCATGCAATGGGCGCACTACTTCCACAATGTGGTTCAATGCTATCAGGTCGTAATCAAAGGGTGGCCAGACAACATTAAGTTCACAAACCTCAGCAACGTGTCCAGTGCACTTCCAGATCTCCAAATGCTAGAGCAGCGGTAGAATTTGGGTGCTACAGAATGGGTCAACATAGATGATGATGAGCTTGAGAAACTTCATCTGGAGCGTAACGAGCAGCTTGACAATGGGGATATCGTTGACCATCGTCAACGCACTCGCTCTGACAAGGGAAGGAAGCGCAAACAACTTGCAGCGTCTCAAAAGGTAAATACTGATTGATGCAAGAAACACAAAAGTGCAGAATTCATCGAGAGCAGTGACGAAGAAGATGAGCCTGACCAGCCCCCAACTGATGCTACTAGCAAGAAACACAAGAGTGCAGAATTCATTGAGGACAGTGACGAAGAAGACGAGCCAGGACCAAGTACTCACTCTGCTGAGCAGGCTAACACCAACGAACTCCCTCAGTTTGATACCAACAAGCTTCCTCAGTTCAATGCCCACGAATTTGCTGTGCAGTCCAACCTTCCGGCTTTCAATCTTAATGCGCCTTTTGACGCTGATATTACCTTGGCTCGCCTCAATACGTTGTTCGGTTCATACGACTTCCAGGATTTCAGTAACACCATCTGATACATTGTGTTGTGTTTCAACTATGCTTACCTATGCTTATCTATGCATTCAATCAGTCTAGGATGAGGAGAAGTACTGCGATTGATTGAATGTGTGTACATTAAGGGGCAAGAGCATGTCATATGAGATAACGAGGACCGAGGAATGGGGATGCAAGGTATACATGAGCTATTGCATAGTGGTATGGGCACACCACGCTCCAGTTAAGGCAGCCACTAGGGCAGGGAAAGCGTTAAAACAGTAGAAAACAAAAAGGATTGATAAATGAACCTTGAATTTCAACTTGGCGGAGTGCATCAACCACAGCCTTGCGCTGGCGTTGTTTTTTGGCTGTAAGAATTTGCGTTTGCTGCTGCCTGAGGCGCGAGGCATGGGGATGAGTGGGCAGTCGAGGTGGTGATGCAGCAACAGGAAAAGCAATACAGGGATAGCAGGTAGGCACCTACAATGACAGCGGCAGTGAGCAAGGCAAGGATAGGCTGCTGGTCAAAGTGCTAAGGCAGCGCTCAGTCTAGTTAGAAAAAGCAGCGCAAAGAATACAGGTGGGCTCCTACAATGACGGTGACAGTGAGCTTGAGCTACCCTAGTGATAGGACAATGACAGCAGCAGTGAACAAGGCGAGGATGGGCTGCTGGTCAAGGTGGTGAGGGCAGCGCTCAGTCTAGATGGAAAAAGCAGCGCAGACTGCAGGTGGACTCCTACAATGACGGCAACAGTGAGCTTGAGCTACCCTAGTAAGAGGGCAATGACAGCAGCAGTGAGCAAGGTGAGGATGGGCTGCTGGTCCAGGTGGTGAGGGCAGCGCTCAGTCTAGATGAAAAAAGCAGCGCACAGACTGCAGGTGGGCTCCTACAACGACGGTGACAGCGTGCTTGAGCTACCCTGGTAAATGCTGTGGTAGGTGTGGACGCTATGTAGGACGCTGAGGGGAAAGGGTAAGGTGCATGGGAATGCTAGGGCGCGTAGATGGACATAATAGGTGCTATGGCAGGGGCAGGCAGATTACATATGCCTAGGATTACCTCCGAATACCCGCCCCCACCATGGATAGGTGGATAGGTGAAGGTCGTAGATGATTTGGGGCAGCATTTAATGCCGGTGTTGAGGTTTAACGCAAGTAAGCCTAATAATACTTGTACAAACATGTATACACCAAGTATAGTAAGGCTTACAAATTGGGCAACCCAGGTGGCGAATCGAACCTATTTTTAGTGACGGTCACACCAATTTTGAGGCCATCGAACCTAAATTGTGACAAGCGGTAAAAACACACAAAAAAACATCTAATGCATCCAAAAGTCTCTGTACTGAGTGTTCGCAACACGTCTGCGCTTGCCACGGCCCTCAGCCTCAACCTCTGTAGACCCATCAGGCGTAGATTGAAGCCCTGTCATGTCATCCAGTACCCCTCACTCATAGCTCTCCGACTTGTTGTCCACCAGCAAATTACCCAAATCATCAGTGCTATAGCCATGAGGGACAGATGATTCACCCAATGCAATGTGTTGCAGAACTGTATCCACCGAAACATCACTAGGATCAAGCTCGACATCTGCAGCATGTGTGAAAGGCAGCTCTACTTCTTTGTCGGCTTCGGGAGTCTTATATTGAGCTGTTTTGATGCATTCCCAAGTCACGGTGTCGTTTTTTTGCACATCATGTAGTGCATGAAGTGCTTCATGACTGGTGAGGCTCTTGAATGAGAGATTGAATGTTGTGCCAGCCTTACACTGAAAAAACGACTGCAGGAGTGTTTTAACATCAGTGAGTAAAATGAGGACAATGCGAGTGACATACCTGTTTGACCACGTCAGGCTTGTTGATAGCATGGTAACCGTTGATGAGCCACTGTAAAGATCTATCGCGGAGTGTGGGTAATGTTGTGTCAAGTCGGATGACGTGTGCAGCTTCGTCTTTCTTCAGCAACGACAAAGATTCCTCAATGATATCAGCATGTTGAGATCACTTGACAGCAAGCTTGAATGGGCATTGGACGCCAACATCACATGGCTGAGCAATTCCAGTGCAGCCACCAGGAACAAAGTGGTACTTGATCCATGGGTACTGCTGATCAAGCCAAGTGCGAAACTGCACAGACTTGTGTACTGACCAAACATCCAGCTGTAGGATACATTCCTGGTCATCAGGAGCCCCAATGAGCTCCTTCTGTCTTGTCCAGTAGGGAACTAGAATATTGCGAACATAATCGCACATGAGCTGGAATGTTGACCAATAGGTATCGGTATTGGAGAAGCACAGCTGAAAGCCCAAGTCTTGTGCGTCCTTGAATTGTGGTGTGCTTTTTGAGGGGAGTGAACGAGCAGTTTTGCCACAATAGATGACCTGGAATGGAAGAGCATCCCCAGAGGCAGAGATGCCAACGACCATAGTGAATGCTCGTTTTTCTTCCTGTCCAATCACTGCGACTTGCTTGGAACCAACTTCCTCGTATGTAGCGGTGTTCGCAGGTTGATACACAATGTTGGTCTGGTCAATGTTGACATAGAAGGAAGCATCGAAGATCGCACAATCACGGATAGTTAAAGTCAGATGATAAAATTGGTCCAGACAGAGTTGATCGGCATTGGAAGGGGTCGAGTGCAGTGCGAGTGGGACGACAAAATGTCCAATTGAGAGTTTGATGTATGAATTTCTTGACCCAAGACTCAGTACATTGAAATTTTGAGCCATCCTTGGCAGTGGCCTCGAAGATTTCTGGGCAAGAGACGGTGATGCGAGCAATGATTACACCACAGCAATGCATTGTGTCCAAAGCCACGCCAACCGCACACAGAGCATGGAGATCTTCGATGATGGTCTTCATGACTTCAGGATACTTTGCAAGGATGCCTGGTGGTGTTGCAGTTGTCAAGGGAAGGTTGCCCTTTTGAACATGAGTGAGGACACTGGCAAGCCATACTGGCCATGTCCCATTTTGGTCAATCCACCTTCCTATAACTTGGGCAGAAATACCATGAAAGCGGGAGGGATCGACTCGCTTAAGCTTGCGCTCAATCTCAATTGGTGACATTCCATAGCCGACACGAATGGCAGCTGTTTCGATAGTCGGCCATAAAAGAGGGCTCTGCCAGTTGACACGACGAGCCTCTGTGTCCTCCCACTTGTGCTTCCGGCCTGAGTTATGTTTTTGCATGCTGCGAGCATGCCTTCACAATTGACGGTATGGACATGAAGCCTCAGCAATTGTGACTGCTAGCGGTTGGGGAGTATGATCATGAAGAACAGATTCTACGGTTGGTTTCTGATGACAGACCACGTGAGACATAAAGCACGGCGAGAGGAATGAAAGATATGCTTACCTGCTTGGCATCTTTTTCACGGGCTCGCTGTTTTCTCTTACATTCAGCTGCTATTTCATGCTTTCGAGCAGCCTTCTCAAACACATTGAACTTTTCCTGGCAACAGGCCCTGCTCCTGCTGATCCCAGTCCTTGAGCTCCCGAGTAGAAGGCTTCCAGGCAAGCTTTAAATGCTCATCGCGTGAAACCGTCGGGAAAAACTTGAACAGACCGGTACTCAGATCTGCGTTGGTGGCACGGAGGTTGAGTTTTGGTTTTTGCTGTGGATGATGCGTAGGCAGAGTTGGGGGGGATGGTGGCTGAGTTTCGACATCATCACTGTCTGAATATGAGCTGTCGTTTGGGTCGTCGTTGAGATCGGAGAGCTGCAACACATGAAGAGTGAGTCTCAGATTTGCGTCACCAGGAATGAGATATCCATACCTCGAGGTGATCATAAATGATATAAAGAAATTCCCCCATATGGAGGGAAAAAGCTCTATTGTCAGTGAACAACGGATCTTGAAACAAGGCATGTTTGATAGTGTTTAGAGCTGCAATACCACATGAGAACGAGTCATGCTGTTCACTGTGCTGGAGTGTGGTCGCCCGGTTGAATTTGGCGAAACCATGATAGCCCAGCCAATGATGTATGGCATCAATGTCTTCGTTAGGCCAACTCCAGCCAAGGGAGTCGGCATAGGAGATGCTTTGGTTTGTAGCATCAACCTCAATAACAGCCCAATGAACATTGTCGATATTGATGGGAAGGAGGATACGATGAAGTGCACCCTCGCGTAATGCAGAGCCAATGGTACGAAGGCGAATGAAAGCCTTGTCTGTCTTGTAGCTCTTCCACTGTTTATCGCTAAGCCGAAGGATATCTGCAAAGTCGAGAGATTCAACCGAAATAGACTGGAGGTCTTCATCGTCTGATGCTTGCATACACTGGACCACTACAGCAATCATGCTGTCCAAAACACGACCATGAATTGGACATGATCCTAACAGCGGTCGGAGCTCAGTGCTCCTCAGATCTGTCTGAGCGCCGAATCCCTTGAGAGGGGCATCCCATGGAAGGCTCTCTAAGACATCTAGAACCTCGTCAATAATTTCCAACTCTTGTCCGTCAGTAGGAACAACATCAAATCTGTCGTAGACCCAGTCATGTGATGCGTGCCAATCATGCTGATTCTCGAGTGCATGTGACATAGCGACCCAGTATGACATGACCCACATTGGAAGCGGGTCATTGGGGAATGAAGGATGGATCACTGATTTATCTCCGTCTCAAAATGCACCTCTAGCACAATTGCGAAGGGACGAGGCTGTTTGAAATGGCGGAACAGGTTGTGAAACAAAGTCTGTGGGCAACTGGAGCAAAGGGGACTGTTTGGAAAAGACAATTCTAGCGGCTGAAGCGCTGTTTTCTAACACTGTAGGCAGGTTGATAAGCAGTAATGCAGCAACAGAAAGGCTGCCCGAAGGAGCAATTGAGAACTGTGCAGGCACAGATAACACATCCTGGAATTTAGCCTCTGAGGCAACATGGAGATCAGGCATGGTGTGGAAAACTTGGACAGGAAATGTTTCAGACCATGTCCATCTTGTGGACTGAGCTATGGCTCGCTCGCCAAACATTGGAGGATCCACACTGACAAGACTTTACCATAACACAGTGAGAAGACATTGCCATGTTGCCAGATGGAAGTCAAATTAGAGACAAAGCTCTTGAGGTGTGAGGATCACTGCGGCCCCTTAGCATTGCATGTATACAAGGGAATGTCTACCCCAACATTGGTCATCGAACCTAAGTGCAGTGTGTCATGCATCACACCCCCCCTGCGAACCTTCGAACTTAAGGTTCATTTGGTCACACCCAGATAGGGCACATATAAGAAAGGTGCTCATCCAGTATAAGTGAGTCTCAGCTCTGCCTAGCTGCTATACTCGCAGAATGCAAGAATGTTTGACCCTAAAGGGGAAGCAAGGAAAGCAAGGATCCATGAAATGATGCAGATCAACCCTGGTGAATAGCGGTGGAAGCGCAAGAAATGTGCTGGAGGCGCACGCGGGAAAGCGAAGTGCGAAAGTGCGCGAAGTGCGGGAAGGTGGTGCAAGTGGTGCACAAGTGTAGAAGATGTATAATGAGACTGATAAGAGTAACTCTGGGAAAGACAGTTCGGAAATTTCAGCATAGTATGTGTGAGCACTACCATACTACTGAGCTTCCCAGGAGTATGCAACATGAGGACGACGTGAAGCTGCTTTGAGTGCCAAGCAAGGTCCACTTTTGAAGCAAAAGGGGAAGGGAAAGTTGTCTGGCCCAGAGGTCAAGAAACTGAATCTTCAGACATACAAGTACCATGCGCTCAGAGACTATCCCAATACCATCTGATGCATGGGAACAACAGATAACTATGTCGCAAATTCCTAATTTGTATTTCAGCGCCTTGCAATGTCTAAAGCAGGAGTGGACCTTTAAATGACTTGTATTAACAGTGGTTGTCATTGAAATGATCATGTAAATAACGGTTGCAATGGGGGTTGCAATGCACATTGCAGCCGACCTTAGTCATCTTGGGATCGCTCATTTGTGTTGCTGATGTAAATGGCTTGAAATGGCTTGAAATAGCCTGCAAGCATTGTAACGAAATAGAATATTGCAATTTCTGCTGTTATCTTGTCACAAGGCGAGTTAACTTTCAACTATCTTATCTTGCCTTTATCTTACCTTATTATCTTATCTTACCTTACCTTGCCTAATGTATTAACCATTTAAGACTTGTTTTCATTGAGGTTCGAACTTAAGGCTAGTGATTTATTTAGTTAATGTTTTCCTTATTATAGTAACATTCGGTACTTACTTTGTGCATAGTTTCCGCTAGGCCATAGGGCCTTGTATATAGCTAAACCCTGGTTGTATATGAATAGTAATTGAACCACAAAACTTAAGAGTAATACCAAAACTGTGCAGCGTCGGTGTAATCAAAGTAACTATGGAACAAGACAATTTAAATGAAACTTATGTATGTGTATTACTATTTGCAAGAACAAGTCGCATGAGTCACTGTTGCAGTGGCAGCCTTTTTGTTTCTTCCCCTTCCCCTGCCTTGACCTCCTCCTGTATCCTGTAGTTCCTGAACAACAGGATCAGCCTCTTTGTTTGGCACAGCTATATCAGTTCCATTCTTGTCAATGTTACTAAGGGAAGACATCCGCAAGATACTCTCAATGGGATGTGGTATGGATTCAGAGGCAGGTTCTGCAGCTGCAACAGTATTAGGTGCACCATGAGCAGGTACATCCACTGACTCCTCATCACTATCCACATCAAGTGCCGCCATGGCCTGATTGATAGCATCAGTATGATCCTCATGATCAGCGTCAATGGTTGAAGTTCATGCGGCACCAAAAACAAAGTTGTTGATCTTAGTCACGATCTCCTCGATGCGCTTACTCTTCCATTTTGCAATGAGAACTCTCTTGTAGTTGTAGAAAAGTTCCTTGTAGTTGATGTTGGACTACTTCCTCACACCCAAACCAGAAAACTTGGTGTGGAAACACAACCTGACTAGGCACTTGTAAAGGTACTCAGCCAGTATATGTCTAATGCTCTGTCTATGCTGCTATACTTGCTAACAATAAAGCAAGAATGTTCGACCCGAGGGAAAAGCTACTAAGGACAACTCAGATCAAAAGACCCGAAAGAGTGCTAAAGCGCAGGAATAGCGTGTCGCAAGATAGAGCGCTAATGCATGGGAAAGAGGCGGAAGTCAAGAAAGCAGACACTGAGTCAAAGGAGGGTAATGGATAGCGAGTGAGATCAAAGGTATTGATTGCAAGGGTAAGGAAAGTCAGATAGGGTCATAGAGCGCAACTAAAGGGTGACTACTTCTAAGTAAACCTAAGGTGAAAGGAAATACAGTCCAAGGGAAGTCATGTCAAGTAGTCCACCATATGTTTCTTATACTAGTAAACTATACCATCTCGGACTCGGAAGGGATAGGGTATACATGTAATAAGACTGTAGCACTTGTTACAAACTCGAGGCAAGGCAAATTACATACCAATGAGGTAGGATGGACAATGGATGGATTCCAACGTTTCAGGTGGATCCTAGAGCGTGAGAACAGCGCGCTGGATAAGCGCTAAGCACGGGAACAAGCGCTAGATAGAGTGGACATACACTAATGCTCCTATAGACACATTGCTGGTAGTTCTGATAGTGCTATAAGCGCGGGAATAGTGTCGGATAAGTCGCGGGAGCATGAATACCACTGCGGGAATGTGCGCGCATAGTGCGGGAAAGTGCGGAATAGTGTCAGACAAGGGCTATGGCTGAGACAAGTGAAGACTGCTGATAGGGGAGTAGTGAATAGTATGAGGGATAAATTTTGTCCACCTATTGAAGGGTTATGCAGGTATACCATGCCTGGCGCCAATATGATTGTCACATCGGTGTCAGGTGAGAGAAAATATCATCTGTGTCATTGCGTCAGTGAGAGATCCAACAGCAAAGAGAAGATAACTTTGTCATTCAATGACAGCTGCCCATGCAATTGATCCTGGCATGACTTGGTGGATGTCCCACTTCTGTGAATTCGTGTGAGTGCCGCCGCCGTGACTGCTACCTTGGTGGAGTGATGTAACACCACACAATGCTGCTTCAATATCTAAGTGTGTTGTGAGACATCTGAATGAGAAGAGAACGACTGTCTTACCTGCACTAGCAGTTTCCAATTTCCGAACACAGTCTTGAGAGTTTTGTCTTCAATCAAATCAGGAAAACAGGACTGGTGGAATGTCGTATATGTCAGGTTGGTAGCAGATGTGACTCAAAGCAGCTTTTGGATTTCGGGGACACCAGCATGGTCATAGCCAATGTTGGTAAAATATTTTGAGGGAAGGTCAAAGATTATGCCGACAACGTTCCATAGCTTCTTGATCTCGCTTGAGCAGGCATCCGTGATACTTTTAAGTACCTACCATAGTATGGATGAGTGCATAAGTTCAGCGAAGAAAACTACCTTCCAGCTCAGCGAAATAAGAGCTCTCCATGACTACATGCACCTGCTCTGGAAAGCCATGGTACAGCTCATCCAGGAATGCCGATTCTTGTGTGAGTGCAGTCTTGTATCGATCAACATTGTCAAAAGGAGTTGGAGACAAAGGCAGAAGTTTATTGAGAAGGTCCTTGGAAGGAAACATCTCCATCATCATGCCATACTTGCGAGCATTGATGACAATCGCTATCTCATGGGCAATGAGTTCTTCAGGAGGTTCTGCATTAACCTTCCATTTACGCTTGGGCTTCTCTGCAAGCAGAACTTTGTTCTCTTCCTTGAGAGCCCTATTCTCTTCATGGAGCCTCTGAACATTGATTTGCAGTGCTTTGAGGGCCTAAATATAACTGTCATGCAGTGCGCGCCAAACTTGATTGTCACTTACATCTAGAAGCTCTCCTTTTGATGTGCCAGGTCCAGGGATCGAAGCAACATTGGAACCATCCCAGTCACTGTCAGTGTCTGAATCTGACATGAATCACGTTCACTCAAGTTGTAAGGTTCAGGAAGGGGAGGGCGACGAGAATTTAGTCACCTACATGACTTTTCATAACAAAGTCTACCGCCGCCTAATAACAAACACCCATCAGTCATATTACGTCATGGTAAACTTGAGCGATCACATACATGTAATGAAGTATGCTGGTAATAAGCAGCTAGATCAAAAAAAAGAGGTATGGGCGCAAACATTTAGATGTAAAGGGTATCATTGGCAATTACATGAGGGGATATGACCAAGTAAAGTGGACACCTTGGAACCAGCCTGGGTAAAGCAGAACATGTTGTTGATGAAGAGCAGCACATCCTGGCCTTCTTCATCATGGAAATACTCAGTGATGGTGAGACCAGTAAGAGCCACACCCAGCACAGGCACCAGGGGTTCATTCATTTGACCAAAGACAAGGGCAAACTTGGAGTCACCCTCAAGGTTGATGACACCAAGCTTCAATCATTTCATGGTACAAATTGTTACCCTCACAAGTACGCTCACCGACACCTATCCAAAAAAGATAGTGAGGTCATGATACGACACGCAGTTCCTTCCCCCTGCCTTGACTGAAAGAGTATGACTATGATACTCATTAACATCTGTCAGATGTTACTCGCAAAAGACGTTGCTAACGATGTGACTTTTCACTGCGATCCAGCAATTCTTGGACGGAGATCTCGGGAGGACTTCTCTGTGACCGAGCATGGGACCCAATTCAAATGAGGCATACACGCTGACCTGGACTTTAGAAGATGCATCGCACGGCCTAGAGTCCTTCTCAATACGTGCAGGAAAGATGAGATTAGGGACAACATACAGAAGTATGGGATCGGTCCATTCGACGACAGCCTGATCTACATGTACAGGTTTGTTGCTTGTCTGGCATTCAGCACCGTCGGTCTGTATCACCACATGGAAGCCAGCTGGGATACGTCGGAGACCGAGAGTGTTATCAGTCGCGTGAATATGGCTTGAGGGAATATCACATACCGGTAATGACGGCGTGTTGCACTGCACTGAAGTGTATCTCTTTCGGGTCCTGTGGTTGTTCTGCGTGGCTTGACTCCACGACCAAGGCTTGGAGGGTATCATCGAGCGGGTCTGGCACGGAGTCTGTCGCGAAACAAAATAGCAGAGTAATTACGAAATATTAATAAAGTGTCGCCAGAATGTCATGGGAATGTCACATGATGGTTCACATTGCGTTTGTTCGTCTGGCTGTTCATTTCATTCTTGTCTCACTCTGTTGCTGTCGTCCCAACTTAACAGTTCACATCGTCGTAGCTCCTTCTTGGGGCTTTGAGCTATTGCCCTGGCATAGTGTTCTTCGTGTTTCGCGCCTTCATAGGCATATATCTGTCGTTGACGGTTGCACGTTGGATCAGTTTTTGTCTTATCGTTCTGTTGCCGTCGTCTTGTTGGCCCAGCCTTTGAGCTGTTGCTCTCACATCGTATTCACGTGTTTCATGCCTTCATAGGCGTACATCTGTCGTTGGCAGTAACACGTTGGATTAATTAATTGTTGTCGTTGTTATCGTCCCAACCTGTCCGCAGTGTCGCAGTTCCTTGTTAGGACTTTGAGCTGTTGCTCTGACATCATTTCCCGCATGTGTTCGCGCGCGCCTCGCCTTAATAGGCGCATATCTGTTATTGACAGTCACAATGGATCATATCTTGTCAAATCAATATTCCATTTGGTTCAAATGATGCACAACTTTCTACCATATGGTGGACGGTTCGATTTGCTGATTTGCCGCAATTTATTTGGAAGTCCGATCGATGTTTATTCTAGTATTACAAGTATACCTAGGTATACCTGTAAATTCGTGTCACGCTCAGTGCATTCCTTGCTTGCAGACCACTGCAGATGTCCGGGTGACCTGCAAGCACCTCACGCAACTCTCACAACCTCTCGCTGACCTCTTGCCTCTCGCAAGTGCAGTATTTGGAAACAGGCGCCTGTGAGACTCCCACAACCTTGGAAGGCCATAGTGGGCCGCCTAACCATCGAGTCTCTGCCGACGCGATTAGCTTGGACGCGGGCATCGTGAAAATGCTGCAACTGCTGCGGTTACTGCCGCGACGTGATGCGTATTTTACACTAACTTACTATGCACTTGCTTTGTCGCTGCCATCTGCGTATATGATGCATTTATCAAAAGCTGGAAGCATTGAACAACTTCACATAATGAGCTCACTTGGTATTTGGTGTTTTGAACTGCAGCACCGAAGGCTAATGTGTGGTGAGATTTGTCTTCTCGTTCCTTTAGATTGAAATTTCAGAAGCACACGATGCAGCATCCACGGCTAGTGCACTTGGGAAATCCTTCATGATATTGTGACGGAACGATATTGAAGCTGTGGTGGACATGTAAGCGTCCAGAAGTTGCATGGAAGTTGCATAAGCCTCCAGCTCAGTGGCATGTGAATGTTGACTAGCATGGCAAACCCAGCGTAGACTTGCTCGCAGGCGAGATAGCGAGCCTCCAGAGACAACATTTGGTGCTGCCTTGAGATGATGCATGACAGCATTCAGACTGTCGGTATCTTCGCCGGCGCTGGCGCCATCAAGCCCTGAACGATGGAATGACAGATAGACGGTTGCGAGCGAAACATGGACATTTAATTGGATAGGATCATGTTGCGTCAACAGAGTCAATGCACAGCATAGGTTGTCTCGTGACTCGTCGAGGTCTTTTCCATTGCCTCAATGGTCAAAGCGCGAGGAGAGTTGAGTCGTGAGGTTGTTTAATGACGACGACCAATCTGTGTGACCGACCGGGCATAAAGCCAGTGCTTCCCTCTGAAGTGCGATAGCCTGATTCAAGTCTTCGTCCTTGCCTCGGTGCTCAAAGCGGGAGGAGTGTTGATTCACGAGGTTATTTAATGACATAGACCGATCTGGGTGACCAACTGGGCGCAAAGGCTCGACGTTCGAAGCAAGGGATCAGCATTACAGCCAGATTACCTAGCAATTGCCCTCGGCACGCATGCCAAGAGTTGTAGTATCCCAGTGCATCATAATGAAGGGATATCACTTCATCTAAGGCATGGGGCTCATCTCTCTGCAAACAGCTCTGTTTGATGAGCAAGTTGATTCGGCGATAATGGAAGCATGGATGTGGCGGGCCGCTCCTGCCCAAGATCATTTGCACCAATGCTTCCCGCAGAATGCAGAGCGGATGTTTCGACTGCAATCAAAGCCGCTCTGTAAACGTGGCAGACATCGAGGACTTCGTTCAGTAACTCTTGAGCTGCATCAGCATCCGCTTGAAATCCTCATTTTACGGAGCGAGAAAGCAGAGCAATGGCGAGGTGGAACTAGGTGACGGTTCGGTCGGGATGATCAGTGGGATGCAAATCAAGGGCGTCTTGGAACAAATTGATAGGGATGTCGAGGTCGAGGTGTCTTCTGTTAGCTTAGCAACTAACAAACTGTACGGTAGCTAGATTGAACAGTGCTGCAGGGCGGCAGGGATGATCCATGGGGCAGATATCCAAGACGTATTCAAAGTGGTTTATGGATTGGTCGAGATCCCTACTGTTCTGCGTCCTGCGGTACCATGCGAGAAGCCGATGTCCAGCATCCATCCTTAGTGCTAATGCATCCATATCGAGGGACGTAAGCTACACGTTACAAGCTCTTAGCATCAGAATGCCATACAGCATTGATCACTCACGGTAGTCAGGGGGCAAAGAACTGCGGTGTTGTTTTCATCAGCAAGTCGCCGTTCCAGTGTCATGAACAGTGATGTACACGGGGATACGACTTCGCCTTGCTTGAGCTGAAAGATTATGGCTGTGATACTTGTTAACATCTGTCAGATGTTATTTGCAAAAGACGTTACTGACCACGTGAATTTTCGCTATGATCCAGTAATTCTCCGACGGAGATCTCAAATGCGCGGAGGACTTCTCCTTGACCGAGCATCGGACCCAATTCAAATGAGGCATGCACGCTGACTCGAACTATAGAAGATGGCTCGCACGGCCTAGAGTGCTTCTCAATATGCGCAGAAAAGATGAGATTAAGGACAACATACAGAAGTATGGACTCGGTCCATTCGACGACAGCCTCATATATGTGTACGGGTTTGTTGCTTGTCTGACATTCAGCACTGTCGGTCTTTACCACCACATGCAAGTCAGCGGGGATGCGCCGGAGACCAATAGTAAGATTAGTTGCGCAAATAGCTTGAGGGAAATCGTCAATATGAGCTGAGCAAAGTAAATATCACATACCAGTAATGACGACTTGTTGCACTCTACTGTGTATCTCTCCCGGGTCCTGGGTGTGTCCTGGGTAGCTTGGCTCCTCAGGCAGAACTCGGAGGGTATCATTGAGTGTGTCTGGCATGGAGTCTGTCGCGAAACGAAATAGCTGAGTAATGACAAAATAAAGTGTCGCCAGAATCACTTTGGAAAATCATTGGTACGTGCTAAATGAAGACGTATGGCACATACTATTGACAGCGACTTGTAGCATTTCACTGATCACGAGGTCTGTCTGTTCTGGGGGCGTTCTGTGTGGCTCGGCTCCTCTCCAAAAGGTGGAGGGTATTTACTGAAATGACTAGGGACGAAGCTTGACAAATGGCTGAGGGACTAGCACTTGAGAGTAAGATGTACAGTACACTATCTCATAATGCATAACGTCGGGACCCCCCTTCGACCCTATGCATTATGAAATTTATGCATTAGTACATATGTCACACTTGTGACAAATTGTGACACCGTGCGGTAGAGCATCACCGGCACAAGTACATATAACATATCTAACGAAAGTAAGCATCTATTGTAGTCTGTGTCGAGTGTAGAAGCTCCTTGCGTCGCAGCTCAGCACGGAAAAGACGGATCTGTTTCAACAACTCAAGTGGAAGTGTTGCATCAGCATTTCCAAACTGGAGGCAAGCCCTTCCGAGCCGCTGACACAGCGCAAGTGTTTCTGCGCGGGAAACCTCTGGTTCAATCACTGAGAGTGAGGTTTTGACGTGCTGTGTGCACCGTAGCTGGTTGTGCTGAAGTTACCGGAGCATTTTTGACCTTGAGTTTTTTTTGCTGTATCTGGTATGGTGGGGGTGTATCTCGAGGTTTGCGTTTCCGAGCAGACTCGGACATGGTGGATGGTAATTGAATCAAGGTTGGTTACTTTGACAATATTGTAACATGAATAAAATGACCCGAACAAGCATCGCCGATATGACTCAACCGGCCAAAAATGCTATCTCATAATGCATAATGGTCCCACAGGCTTATGCATTATGGTTCAATTTCTCACTGGCCCACGACGGGACCTTCCGAAGTCGATGCATTATGAGATAGTGTACTGTATAGGACTTGCACCTGTACGCTGCTCGCTTATATAAGAATTACCATTTTCCACTGATTATCACTGCAGTATGGAAGTATGGTTTCAAACCGGAAAAACGACGGTCGAGTCACGCGTGACCAATCGTTACTGGTCGTGACCCGCCCATCTCCTCCTGGGCCCATGCCATACGGGCCGTCAGCTCAAGGCACCTCCGATCTGGATCCACCGTTGCTTGCTCGCTCAGCCCTCTCTAGCCAACCCCTGGCAACCCCAACCGGTTCTATTGGGGGACCCAAGAGAAAACAAGAGCGCTAGGCCTAGCGCAGAACACTGACACGCCACGCATCACGGAACGGCAAGGGGCGGAAATCGAGAATCGTAGGTGGTTTGCGTTACTCACCGAAGGCATCGTGTTTTGCTGACGGACGGATGTAGTAAAGGAGTGTGCTGTGTGGTTGCAGAATCGATACCACTGGCAGGATTTCGAGGATGGAGTGGTGGGGGAAAAGAGAGCAATGCTCGGAGGGTGAGTCCCATGTTATATGGTGCATGAGTGTGCTGTCAACCTTCCTTTCTTCTGCTCCCCCGAAGTTTGGGCCCTTCCTGCAGATCTCTAAGTGACATCTCTGTTCGGATCCGCTGCGGGAGCGTTGGACCGGTGGGATCGGGGCGATTTGGCGACCAATTGCAACGGTAAGTAACACGACTTCGATCTTGCTTGCCACGCACCTAACTTGAAATAAATCTTGCTAAGGGCCGACGACTCGCAGAGTGCCGCCGATTTTGATATGACGATCGAGTGCCGTTGGGCTGTTGGTGAGTCACTGTTCTCGGAAGAATGTGGGCTCACGATGTCACGCAGGTGAGACCGTCTTTTTCTGCCAAAGAAACCTCTGGTGGACGGTCAGAACTGCCTGCAAAGCCCAGGGGGGATGAGGGAAAGCAGAGCCTGCCAGACACGAAAAAGACGGTCCTCATGGGCGCTAAGACGGTTCGCATGTGAGTCATAGGACGGTCCAGCTCTCTTATCAAGTTTCGCTCTGTTATGTCAACCATGAGGCATCCTTCTACTGTCCCGCATGCTGATTGTTTGCATTTGCATATCAGAGACCCGCCAAATTGCAAATTGGCCTGGCAACAAAGGGGTCTCAGCCCTCTTCAACTCAGACGTTGACCACTGACAATGGCAACTATCATCGACGCTGTCCAGAGCTTTCCAGGTCTGCATGGCCTGCTCATGCCTGCTACTGTCAGCAGTCCTGAAATGGACGACATCACCGAGGACTTCACTGCGGAACAAGAGACTATGCTCGCTGAACCATGCAAGAGCAACACGAACATCACGTCCACTACTTCAGAGTCGCGTCACGCAGTTGGCACCAGCTCGATCGATACGACATTGCAGTCCACGCTGATGGAGGCCTCAAAGGGTGTCACAGAGGGCACCAATGCCGAATATAAGAGGTGCGGGAGGTTCTTTCTTGTTAACGGCCAAAGTGGCACTCATCCTTGACAGGCTGATGAACTCGTGTGTGTCCTTTCTCAGAGGCCTCCATCTCTTGGGGCCGAGCGAAGATTTTTTCAGCAAAAAGCCACGGTCTGATACACCGTGGTTGATCGTGGCCTGGATCATGAGTGCGTGAGTGGTATGGTTCCATCCAGTATGACCAATTGCTGATGGTCAACGTGTTTCTGTGGCAGGTGTGACTCAATCAACCTCGATGGCACACCCAAGCCATCTCATGTCGAGCGGGGCACCTATGGGCATGCACAGAAGATGCGGGCGTCCATGACATACGCATTTGGGAGGCTTAGTGGTCTAGGCAATCTGACATGGCACGAGTCGGATATTGGAGGTGGGCTGATGGTTGGAAACCCTTCCATTTCCATCGAGGTATCATCCTACATGTGCTCGCTCCGCAGGCGCAAGGTAGTATTATTCTTCTCCCTTTGCCCGCATGATTCACCTTCTCTTCTTCATAGGTGCAAGCGGGCGAGGTTGCAAACAGTGCCCGGGCTATTACCTCGGTGAGTTTTTGGGTGCCCCCAGCTCTGAAATTGACTGATTAGCGAAGTTGACAGGAAATATTGCTAAAACTGTATCATTACAACCACCTCCCTGAAAATTGGACCATTCGTGCCTACCAGCCTGGCGAGCGCGTGCGTGGTGGCTCTGGTAATGACCTGAGTCGATGGGGTGGTGGGCGTGTACGGCGGCTTCTGTCAGCTGCCTATACTGTGGCATTCATATGCATGCTTCGTTTTGACGAGGTTCTGAAGATACAGGTACACGATCTTCGCGTGCACGATACCCAGATAGTGCTACACCTTCCCTTCCGCAAAACTCATCAAAATGGCGGTATGTGACTCCACTCTTGACCGTGAACTATTGACTCATGGATGTGCCCACTTACCTAGACATCAAACCGTTTCACCTCTGGCCCTTTTCATCGTCCGAGGCACACCTCTGCCCAGTGAGAGCACTTGCTGCCTGGCTGAAGGAGTCGAAAGTCACGTCGGGCTACCTCTTTCGAAAGATTGCTTCAGGTGACCGAATCTCAGAGGCCAATAGTCCCATGGTATGTCAATTTATATGGTCAAAACTGAAATAGGTTTCAAACTTTTGAAAAAACTTCTTTTTCTGGCCTGGTAAATATCATAGAGGGTACTTCCAGGATTGATATGAGCCAAGAATTAAAGAAATCGGCGGTTGGGTCGTGGAGATATGGTCGAAATACTGACTTTTTGACCTATCTACTGTATTTTAATATTATCTCAGTATAGATGTCTTCCATATGGTCCAGGACCATTACCAATCGATTCCTACACTTCATAAACCCTAGGACAGCCATTTTTAGTATCAGCCTCAAGTTAAAATCAAGCACAGCAAGATATATGAGGCAGGAGGGAGGAGGAGGACCTTGCATATCTCAAGAACATGATTTTTCCAGGGAAAACGGACTACACCATCATGATCCGATGGGTCAGGAGCCCCCATGACACATACTCCTGTAGTACTGGCAAGTCATGGGAAGTCTGTAAAAATCGATCTTTTTGGGGGGTATCAGGAAAACTGACATAATCTCTATTCAGACATGCTGGAAATACTCTGGGACCATCTCCAATCGATTTATGTGATTATAAAACACTAGGAACACCCTTTGATATATCGGTATTTACATAATATCAAGATATATGCTACAGGTGTGGGAGGGGGACCTTGCATATCTCAAGAACATGATTTTTTCTGGCAAATCTGGCTTGACCATCATGTTCAGAGGGATAAATAACCCCCAGGAAGAATACTCCTGGAGGACTGGCAAGTCATGGGAGGTCTAGAAAAATAGATCTTTGCGTGGGGGTATCAGACAAGTTGACACATCACAATTCACACAGGCCAAAATGACTCTGAAACCATCTCTAATCAATTAATATGATCATAAAACATTGGGAACACCCTTTTATACATTGTATTGACATGAAATCATGCCTCTGGGCACAGTGGGTAGGGGGAGGGGGTGGCATGTCTCTGGAATATGATTTTTTCATACCAAACTAGTGCTGCCATCAGAATCATATGACTCAATAACCCCAGAAACAAGTTCTATTTGAAGCCAGGCATGTCATATCAAGGCTGAAAAAATCAATTCAGTGAAGCAGCATGACAGGGGTGGCACTGCTTACATAAGCAAAAGCGGTCAACTTGAACATAGGTGGGCAACTTTGGAACATTGACTTTGATAGATCAAATTGTTGCTGCTGCTGACTTGTCACCCTTTTATGAGGATCCCATGCTTTTTGACTTTGTGCTTCTGAGGGCTTTGGTTGTTGGTTCAACCCCTTCAGGGGGATCACACTTTTTGTTGGTGTCACCCTCTATGAGGGTCAAACCATTGTTAATAGTACCAACAAGTTCCGCTTCTGGGGGCATTTTAGACTTTGTGATTCAGAGGGGTATTGTTAGTGGAGAATTGTCTTTGTGCACAAGCCTATTCAAAGACCCTTTAGGTCGAATATTTTCTGCTCAGACATTGCAGCCAGGTATAGCAGAGACCAAACTTTGGAAGATTATAGTCCATTGTCTCATTCTTGTATTACCCTCAGCTAGTGCTGCCGCGGTCCGGTTAGGTCCGGTTCATAGAGGGTTGAGCAAGAACCGAGAACCAAACCTAGGTCCGGTTCTACTAGACTCGCCGAAGCTCGAACTGGACCTTTGCGAACGGTTCAAAATGGTCAGGTCCGGTTTTTTTTTCGGTTCGAACGTGAACCAAACCCAATTTTTTTTACAGCTACCAAAAAAACATAGACAGAGTATTTGTACGAATAGCTACATGTCCAACGAAGCTGCGTGTCCCTCAGCCTCTACTGCTGCAGAAAGGTGCCCATTCCTATATGCTCCCTTCAACAACTGTAACACCGTGAATGTGGAGGTTCCCATGCGAGATGAATGCTGCCAGCTTTCGGAACAGGTGTCCGTCCGCCATTTAGATAGCGTGTTTGTCGAATCATGATACTATCACCTGATTCGGAATGCACAATCGATGGGTAATGCACAATGCACTTCAGAGCTCACAACTCAACACATATTTCATTCGGAACAGCTGTAGAACAAGTATTAGCATATTCTCAATAAACCTACCAATTCAAAATTTTAAAATCGACGCTGTGGAGCCTTCCCAAGATGAAACATTGCGCAAGTGTACCCACAATGAGTGATTTTTGGACACTAAAATGAAGATCCACCCAGATCCCATTAACCTATCAACATAGAAACTTCAACATATATAAAATACACCATTCTGAATCTACTCCAGGTGTTTCTATGTCAATAGACCGACAGCGCAGCGTGCTATTCACAATTCATGAGTGCAGCGTGACAGTCAGGCTAAATCAGGAAATCACACTTGTTGGCTTGGTTGAGTCTCCGCTTTGTTGCATTTGGCAGAATCGGTGGCGTTGTCAAACAGTGTGGCTTTGAGCGCTGTCGGACTTTAGATACTCTTGTGTATTGGCGTGTATTGGCCGTGGTGCCGCGCATGACATAGCGTGACGAAATTGTGCATTTCTATTGTGTTTTTGACATCTCAACTTCCGCTGCTGCCGCTGCAACAAGCTCGCAACAAAATAAAAAAAATCTTGTTGGGCCTAATGCGCAGAGACCTAAGGTATACACTACAGTAGATCCAATACGAATGTGTGTTGTCGTTGTGTTGCTATTCAGCAATGAGTGTAAATTGTGCATTTCCCGTCGAATGATAGTAATAGAGGAGGTATCACAATTAAGGAGCACCGCAGCTTCTTCGGGGGATAATTCTGGATTTGCCAGGTTACGGAGAACCATGTCAACATATATGCATGTAGATACTGCTCATGGAGAGAAATTCGTGCCATCTTTGCTTGCAAGTTGTTAATCGATGACAAGCGGTAACTTAGTACTGTGTATTATGTATTATATAATCTGCGTCTGCGCAAACTGGGGGGTTGTAAGCATAAGCACGGATAAGCATAAACCGTAAGCTCCCAGGTGTGAGTTCCCCTAATGCATCGCGTGGTTTCTTTGTCAGCTATGGTTCTCTGATTCTGCTTGGCACTTCGGTGACCGTACCTGGCCATGGTGATTCCTTGAATCTTCGATTCCGATTTCCCGACACATGCCGCCACCTCCCCATCCGGGTCACCGCCACTGGCCAGCTCCAGCGCCTTCAGAATCGCTGGTGCTGTCCTCAGTAGTTCCCAGCTTCCCCAGGCCACACCTTCCACTGGCCTTCTGCACCTTGCGCTGCTCTCCTGCGTCATCTGTCAGCAGCTTCCTGCACCGTGGCCCACCTGCCCTCACAACTCACTTCGATGCCCAGGTTCGGACCCAGGTTTCAGGCCGGAAAAGCCCTACGGGCTTTTCGCCCATGTACTCAGCAACTGTCTTGTGTCACCTTACTTTGTATCTCATGATGTTCTCCGCAGTATCAATACCATTCATGCTCGGAGTTGTGTTTCTCAAGTTAATAACATTTTCTCCCTTAGAGGCCGCATAGACCTACCCCACCCGACAAATGCCACCCAGCCTTACTCTTGAAGATTTGTAAACGAAACTTTGTTTAGAATACCAGTTCAAGGCCGTTCAATTTGTTTTTTTATGTGTGACATTAACTGAGCGCAGCATGTTTGAACTGCTTCTACGGTAGGAGGTTTGTTCTAGTCACCGTCAAATTATGACGATGCATGTCTCCAGCGCTGTGTCTGTAACACTTTTTCATTAAATACGATAAAGTGCCAAAGTATTCTATGCTTCAGCTCTAGATGCAGCAAGTTAGGCTCAGATGACATTGTAAATATTTACAGTAAGATACTTTGACGAGGCAAACTTGCAAAGGATTCCAGGAAGGTATTAGTCATGCACTAACATTCATTAGTGACAACCATCTTGTTTAGAAGAGTCGATGTCCTTCATTTTGGTCCACATATCTTGGCAGTATTGACTTATTAAGTGTCCTCTTAACTTGCTCTCAATAACTGACTTACATTTTCGAACCGCTGCGCATCTTTGGCTACTATGAATAAATCTCCAACCTCCGAGTCTGTCAGCTTCCTAGCATCTGTTACATTGAGAGGTCGAAGAAGTCAGGCAAAGTGTTCATTGGAGGTGTCTACTCTTAAGGTGCGTCATGGTGGCCTATCCATTATCATCTGTCCGCTAATGATATATTTTAGTGTTGGTGTTCAGTCCATCTGCGCTTCGGTTGTGACTCGTTGGTCTATCCATGGCAGCTGTTCCCACTGCTGTATGTATCAAGAGGGCATGTGTTGCAGGGAGGGTTGGATGCAGGTGGTGGGGCGCACATTGTGTTGACGAATTAGAGAGCAGGGAGGTTTGCAGTTTGCTGAGGTGTTGCACTGATGGTGTGTTTTGCACTTAAACCGTGTGTCCGAGCCATTGATCACCCATGCTGCCTAGTGCACTCTTCCAGGAGTCCCATCCCTACCTCCAGCACCCTCTCACTATGTTCAGAACCCTCCCGCTACCTATCACTACTTCTCCCACTACCTGTTCCTCTCGTTCGTTTTTGTAGCCTCATCTGATCAATATAACACTGTGCTCCACTCCTCATGCCTGACAATATACTGTTTCAAGTTTCAAACCACTGCATAGATTGCTGTGAACATAATACAAGTAACAAGTGAGATATGGTGAGCTCATCGTCACCAACAATTCCCGGACGTCTGGGTCCTTCACTACGATACCAAGCATAACTTCTAGTTCCTGTGTTCGGCATGGACCACAATGATTATGTCGTGCAATATTTTTGTTCGGGCGTCAAGGTGTTGATGGCAACTGCAGACAGTTACATAAATTAAATCAACGCCAAGGTAGGGTCTAGACAATTATACAGGCTACACGCCTCGGAATAGACTAGGATCCTTGTCTCGTTTCCGCGGTGATTATGGGGAGCTCAAAGTTAAAATGCCCAACGCTGAGCAGGACCCATGAGAACCCCTTTGGAACCCAGGTCGGTTGAGGCCCAAACTTGTCCGGACACATTTTGAGGATTTTTGTCCGGATGCCGTCCTGGGTCCACCTGAGGGGTGAATTTTGTCCGGACTCTGACCCAGGTTACCAAAAAAATCTCAAAAAATGTGTTTTTTTCTTATTCTAAGTAGCTAGGTGTGTTTAGAATAGCCAAAAAGAATCAAAAATCGCCTTCTTCATCCCTCTGTGTGGCCCCATTCCTCGAAGTCCTCTTGCGGAACAATTTGGCAGCTTCCGCCAACTGAGGCAAAGCAGTTGATAGGATATCGAAGTCCGTGAGGTCTGCAGGTGCAAGTTCGAGTACCGAGTGCGTTAGGTTGGGCTTAGATGAAAGTAGACAGAGAAAGGCAGTAGAAGGAAGGAAGGCACAGTGGTTGCATTGGAACATGGCGGTTGCATCAGGAATGGAACGAAAATGACGATGAAAATGTTGCTGGTAGATTTGGACGCCAAGGTACGAGACACCAGCGATTGCGTCTGCTTTGTCAACAGCAGCGTGTTTGCCGTTTTTTACCGCCACCTTTCGAGTATATTGCAATCACTGAGACTGTGTCAGCGATTACAATGGCATAGTAGCACAAACTCACCTCGGCTGATGCGAAGGCCCCACTCCGTGTATACAATCGCAAAGTCATCAACTTTGAGGGGACGGAGTGTGGATATACGCGCATCATCGAGAGACCCGAGGAGTGGCAATTTTGCCGTTTTGAAAATGTTCTTCCTGCGAATGATAGCCTGATAAACAGAGTCAGCGTACAATGTCTAAATATATTGACACACTGACCTTCTTTACTACTTCCTTTGCCGCGAGAGCTGCGTTTGTCACATTCCCTGTCTCTGGGAGTTGTCCAGTACTTCCCGTCCAGCGAGCAGCACGTTCAAGGCCCGATCCAGTTGCATGGTTTTGCTGTTCTTTGAGGACAGCCTGAAACTCCCGAATAAGGCGACGACACTCTGAAATCGACTCTGCGGGAGCAAGCTGATCACGTCCAGTTCGAATTCCCTTCTTGGCATGCTCGGTTTCGTGATCCATCCGAATCTTGAGCAGACCGGCAAGATCTAGAGATTGCATTGGCAAAGAGCCCATTCCAGGTGGTTTGCTCAACTCGTCGGGCAGCCCACAGATGGCTGGGATTTTCAACCAGCTCTCGATTTGGTCAAATTCGCGCGCACGTAGATCAGTTTCAGTGTAGTCCGCATCTTCATCATCAGTGAATTGACGCCTGTCGTCCCATCAGTGTGAGGCTAAATAATGTAACCATAGGTGCGTGAAATGACTTACAGCTATTGTTGTTCGTCAGTATCTAGAGCAATTGCGGCAAACGTTAGTCGGAGAAGTTCATCCTTTTGTCTTTCGGTTCGACGAGAGTCTCCATCGGTGTCCTCAGCTAGCCTGACAAGTGTCTCGAGTTCTTCTGCCTCATCCCCTTCATCCACGTCTCCATCCTCGTCACTGCCAAAGTCGAGATCCACCCCCATATCCTTGTCAGCCCCCAGCTTGGTGTGGAAATGCTCGATTCCTGGCAACACGGTCTGCTGAGTTTGGGCGAGGAGTGCCGGACTAAGACCACACAACACCAGTAGACATTGCGACTCGTTGCTGCTTCCAGTGAAGCTTCGTAAATGTCCACATCATCAGGATACTTTGAGAGCTCTGGGATGTTAACACCACGATCGTAAAAATATGTTATCGTGTACCCTTGGGCACGAGCTTTAAAGTCAGGTGACTGTTGTCGCAGAACCTCCTGTTGCAGTTTAGCATGAAGCTTCGTAACAGTGTAATAGGCATCCAGCATCGTAAAATCCTTGACGATCTTGCGGAGATTAGCAAAACAGTGCTCGCAAGGTTCGCTTGTGTGTAGCCATGGGAGAAGAGGGTGATCACCAGATATATGGTCACGATAGACCACAATCAACCCAACCAGACCATCGATTAGCCTCGCTGTGATGTCAATTGACTTGCGCGACATGAAATATTGAGTTTCTTTGTAGACAACCCTCTCCAGATATGTACGCCAGCCATCGTAGAAGTAGCGTGCGCGAAGAACCATTTTGATGCGTTGCCGGTGAGGAATAGCTCGGTTTTGATATGCGTCAACGATCTCTCCATGAACAAAAAGACAAACAATCTCTCCAACATCGTCAGGATGATGGTCAATGAGAAATTTTAAGGTTGCTGATGAAAACAGGCTTGCAGCTGCGTTGTCATCCTGACGATCGAGCTTTTCAACGTCCCGATGGTATAATGGAGTGCCGTCTTCGAATGCCATGGCTCGGATGCGAGAGTACTGAGCTGTATAGTTTCCGAGGGTAAGAAGTCGAGCACCTGAAAAAGATTGTTACGGAATGTCTTCAAGCCGTGCTTTGGGTCCTGAATGTTGACTCTAGCCTGGCCATAGAGAACAGGAATTGAGATCTTGATGGTGCTTAATCCAGGAGCCGGACTTGCAATTTCGTAAGAGATAACACATTCTGCTTGGCATTCCTGCAGTTGGGGTGGGTTTTTGCTGGGCACATTTCTTCATGACGTGCTCACGAAACCTTGAAACATCGTAGGGCTCCTTATTCTTCATTGTGCGTCCACAATTTGAATGACGGACTGTTTGGCAATCATCGTCTGCTATGGCATCCTTGTCAAGCTCGAGAATCTTGGTTTTCCACGTTGCCTTTTTCCTGGGACAAGGCTCAGAGGTGCCACTCCTGGCAGCCATACGCAGGTCACGCGAAGCTGTTGCAGATCGACTTATCCCCACTGCTGGACCCGATTGTAGTTTCACGACCTTTGCCTTCTTCGCCACCTTCCCTCCACTTCTATCTTTTGATCCCAAGTCTGCCTTTGAAAGTGGTCGCTTGTCCCCAACCGTCGGCACTTGCTTCAACCAACTCAGCAGACTTCCTCGTGACAAATATGCCTCTACGGCGTTGTGTACCCTTGTATCAGTGCTCTCAGCAGCAAGGACTTTACTGGAGGCCGTCGGCTCATGAGATTGTAGTGCGGGAACAGATATATGGGTGTCAGGCTGATTATTGAGAATGAATGACAGGGATATTTTTTTTCGACCATCGAGGACTGCTGCTCAACATTTTTTGGCAACTTTTCAGCTTGGATCGAACTTTCGAGCACAATATCTGGTAAGTCATCTTCATCCATCGGCACGTCTTCGTTCATGTTGGTGAGCTGATGCTTTGAAAGACAGCTACGTCAACACACCACATTGACGCAAATCAGCGGAGTCAGTACTGACATTGTTCAAGTACTCTTTTGCCAAGGTAATAAACCACATTGCACGGGCACTCGAACGTTTCTTCGGCTCCCATAGCTCATCTCCGAGTGCACCGTGTGCGACGGTATTCGCCGTTACAATTCCGCAGGAGAATGTGTCATTCTGCATCGCGTGTTCTAAACCCACATTCGGAGCCATTGCTGCAGTCGATGCACAAAGTCGAGAGGATACGGGATTTTTCCTTTTAACGAGTCTCCTGTTCATCCGCTGGTCAGTTATCGTGCCTTATCTTGTGCAAAACCAACATACCGATAGAAATTGTTTTCGCATCGAAGTCTACTCCGGCTGCAAGCATATATGCGCATGAATATCTTATCTAAGTGCAAGATAGTGCTGACTTGAGACACGCAGCACAAAGCTTTCTGAATGAACATGCATCGCTGAGTCTGACCCGAAGCCCCCCAGTATCCACTGTCACTGGTCTACCATGCCACCTTCAACACTGGGTCCTCTTTGTCCGTGCCTGTGCATCACCTAGATCTAGTATTTCGAACAAATAGGAGGTACGTCAATCTAGAAGACTAGAACTTCCAGCAACATCTGACTTTAGGCTTATATTAACTTGCAACACGATCAATGTCATCAGCAAATTCTCATCCGACGCCTAATATATTAGTTGACATCTAACGCAGTTGCAGCGGAGCAGGTGGGTAGCAGGTAGTTATTATTTCACGGCATTAATTTATGTTTGCAGGCATATGAATCCGAATGGAACAGCAACACAGTCGACATCCAGCGCAGGTGCAGAGGTTGACATCAGGCAGGCAACAGGCGAGGACCAGGTGGGCAGCAGGTGCCAGGGGTAGTATCAACCAGCTATCATTTTCGCGCTGTCATTTGCTTGTTCTTGCAATACATATCAGCGTCGTTTTCGTGCGATTTCCGTAGTTTTATTGCCTGGTACGAGTACATGTACAGTTGATAATCTACGATCATCGACGGAAATATCATATGCGTGAATCAGCGCGAAATCGTGAGATCTCCGTCGAACAGCATCGCTATAAAATCTCATATATGTCCCATTCTCTACGGAAATATATGGAAATCTTGTGTTCCTGGTTCATCAATATTTTGGCCGTTTTCCGTCGATACGGTGAGGTCCGGTTCTCACTGGGAGCGCTGAGCGCTCGACCTCGTGAACAAATGAGTAAGTACATGCGAGTTTTCAAACTCCGCGAGATCGTTGTGGCGTGTGAACCGCACGTGATGACATGTTTAAAGATTCGCGTTTAGCCTTTGATTCCTTCACCATTCACCATTTAGTACATACTATTACCGTCGCTGTCGTTCCTTATGGGAACAGTTGGGCCGTGGGCTCTGGCGTTGCGTTTCCGTTGAGACTCGCAGTCCAGCAATGTCGTTGACGTTTGACTGCGAGTCTTTGTCCTCTGTCTTTATGTTCGAATCATTACTTTGAGCTTTCACCATTTCCATTACCTTCGCTGTCGTTCCTTATGGGAACAGTTGGGCCGTGGGCTCTGGCGCTGTGTTTCCGTTCTCACAATCCGGTAATGTCGTTGACGATTGGCCACGAGCCCGTTTGCTCTTTCTTCATCCTTCCTCATCTCATCATCTCCTGTGCTCAAAATCTATCTATTTATCTATCATAATAAAATCGCTAACATCATGCGCATTAGCGACGAACGACGTGATAAACGTTCCACACTCTCAGATCTAGCACTTGCCCAAGCGCTTCTATATGTTGACCGTTGACTTCTCACGCGCCTGAGAAGTCCGTACCACTTATACCCGGTGATCCAGTTTTCATACTCTCCCAGCTCTCTAACACGTTCACATCAACGTAGCTGTCGTTGACATCGCCATTCCATCTTCGTCGGACATGTATCCCAAGACACGTTCCACGTTGCTTGCTGCTAGGTTCGAACACGTACGGTATTGCAGTGGCGCGGGCGTTACGCGTCCCTCCAACGTTTGTTGCCTCCATTGTTCCTGATGTTGCCGTCAAACGAGTGGCTGTTTCATTTTCTGTTTAGTGGCTTACTGTCCCTCTGGATGATCTCGCCGCCTGGAAATTTTGAGCTGGGATGCAATACATGGAGCCATCCGCGGATTGGCACGCTGTTATCACTCACTATACGATTTGCGTCCACATCGCAAGTCTTGCAATGGGCTGGCACACCATATCTGCTAACATGCTATTCAATCTCTCGTCCATTGGCGTGCATGCGATCTGCGACATTTCTTGGCCCAACATCCTTTCCCTATTTCTACCACACTTTCACGCGGATATCCTCTCCACCATTCTCGATCACGGATTCGGCGCTTGTGTTATTGCCCGCATATCCGAGGAGCTACCTCCCTTTAGCCAAACGCAAAATCAACCCAGTAGAAAACTAGCAGCTCGCCAACGCCACTGGCCTGCTGTTCCTCAAAATGTGATACTCGAGTGCCTGAATCAGTACGTACAAGAGACAGTACTGATATTGCGGTACTTCGTGACGACCTGCTCTGCATATCGAACATAGCGCGACGCTCTGCGAAGATATCGAACAATACTCAATCGTGCTTTTCACAATCGGTGCACCCGCACTTCTTCATGCACTGCAACCTGCGAAAGCCTTCTTTACTCGTGCACACGCCCCACCACAGTTAACCTTAGGTGGTCTTCCGATGCTCCACCGCTGCAAACTCTCGTACAGGGAGCAAGCCAATGGTTTATGGTAATTGACGATACTTCTTCGACTGTGGTATATTGCACGTACGGTCGACATCGGTCGTTTCCCCCCAAAAAACAACAATAAATAGGGTTTAAAATCGAAGCCAGTACTGAGTCTTATGAAATAGCAGTAGTAAACGTAAGGAGCCCAATTGTGAGTAATTCGAGGCATGGCTCATTTGTCAGCTGGGGTACTTATGTAAACAATGTATGTAGACAAGAATATTGAGCGCTTATATGTCTGTATGCTACATCCATAATACATTCATACTGCTATCCTACCATGATTCCTTCAGAGCAGCCAGTGGTGGAGGAAAATACTTTGCAGATAATGGAGAAGATAATCGATTGCGGAATCCTTGAATCGAGCCCACTGGGGTGGAGGGTCGCAAGAACTCGTACGGTCAATGATGTGTCCGATGATGGGTGGAATACGGAAGAAGATGATGTCGAGTTACAGGCAGCCATTCTCAGTTGTGGAATTTTGGAGGCATCGTTGCATTGTAGGACAGAAGATAAACGTCCGCGGGCAAGTCCAAAAAAGAAGGTTGTCAAACCAAAAGCCGATCGTGAGTCCATGAATCACCAACTCTTACATGTATATCAATAAGGATCAGGAGGAGGAACAAATCAGAAGCAAGTATTTGCTATGCAGGAAGTGGAATCCTTGACTCAGATTCTGCAACCTAATCGTGGAAAACGTACCGTTCATGCCACTATGGACCCAATCCTTGAGGAACCACTAGTCATACAGCAGGGGGATAATTCACCTCGAAATATACATGCTGCCCCTGTCAAGTGGAGGGGTGCAAAGTCTTATCAAGATCCGACAAGTGATCAGCGTTATGACGAGGGAACGACTATAGATGAAGATACGTGCACCGAACTCCAGGCTGCCATAGCAGCATGTGGGATTTTAACGATGGGGAAGCTGCAAATGGAAGGAAGGTCACGTTATGCAAGCAGCCCAATGAAGCGAAGCGACAGCGGGGACGGCCAACAACACGACCCGTGAGACAACAGGATAAACGTAGGTTCATTAATCCATACCGTCCACGTATGTGATTGATTATACACATGTACCAAAGATGCGATGACATCAGCCGGAATCCTGAATCGGGATCCTTATGGATCTAGGGGTGAGCGCCCTCATCAGTATGCAGGAAATGGTCTACTAGATGAGGAAGGAATGACTGCAGATGTCAATATCACTGAACTACAGGCTGCCATAGCAGCCTGTGGAATTTTGGATGATGGTGCCGTTGCACATGGACGGAATGCCGCGGTGGAGAAGCAACGGAATGAAACTAAGCGTCAGCGGGGAAGGCCAAAGAAAAAACGGGTTGAGACAACAGGATAATCGTAAGTGCTGTTCATCCTCACCATTGACACGTCGTTAATTGTGGAGTCATTCCACTCAGGAGATATTGAGGCAATGCATATAAACGGTCAGGGTGAGGCACAGAACCGCATAAATGGTGGTGGAGGTCAGGTCCTCCACGCCAGTATTCGTGCAGTCCCTGTTAGACCTGTGAAGCCACCGAATACCGCTAAGCGACAGCGGGGAAGGCCAAAGAAACGAGCGACGAGACAAAAACAAAATAGTAGGTCCATTAAAATACCATCATGGTGGAATATCGAGTCGGTCTACTCAGGAAACATTGATATAGACGGTGAGAATGAGACACAAACTCGCACCATTGATGGTGAACGACCGGTGGTCCATGCTATCATCGGGCGAGAACCTGGTCAGCTGCCAGCACAACTACAAGATGCAGATGCTATCACACCAGATAAAAACGATAGAGGTGCGATTGCAATACACACTGTTATGACGATAGAAGAAGATGTGGTCGATGGTTGTGCAGACACAGAGCCCAGACATGGCAGTGAATGCCCTGAGGGATTGTCAGGACGTCGAGCCTTTTCAGGTGTGTTTCAGATATCAGGGAATTTCCAAGTCATGTTGAACGTAATTTCAAGCGATGGTGGTCATCATGTCCCAGGGGGGGCACGATCATGTTCCAGATGACAACACTATGGAGGGCGACCACGAAAACAAAGCCGGAGAGAGTGAGCACCATAATTCTGTCGGTGTGCACCATATATCTGATTGATCACTTGACATACTTGATTTGTCCACGTACCGTTATCACACGCAGGATATGACGCAGATGGATGACTACCGACCAACATCCATGCCGCCTCATGAAGATACACGATCCATTTCACCTCAGAGGGTTCATACTCCACCGATGATACTCAGTCCGGAAGACATTGCATGTGAGTGCTGCTTTCTACACGACGACTGTCATATGACTATATCAAAAACCACAGCTCGGGCGATGGCGCGACCAGGGGCGATGGATGGATGTTGTTGAAAATATCCCCACGCTCAGGGTAGACACGTGGCTGGATTCACAGGTTGCCAACTACTATCTGGCTCATGCCTGGTATGATAGGCTGGGACGAGTCAAAGTCAGATTTGTCGACATGTTCGCTGCTGGTGGGACAACCCAATGGACTGATGAAGAACTGGAGCTCTTCAGGATGGATCACTTTGTCCCTAGTGACGGTCCGTGTCCGATGATCCCTGTGGGATTCGTAGTTCATTGTATCAATCACTTTTTTGTGGTCATATTTGACTACCATCGACGTACGGCGCACGTCCTCGGTCGCTTCATGTCAACAGAGGGGATAGCTGTGGCGACAGGCGGTGGAAAAAAAGATCCAAATGACTGGAATGCCTGGAATGGGCCTCAACGTTGGGAAAGTATTGCAACACTCCATGGTTGGAGGGCAGGACGCTCTGAGGATGTTCGAATAATCCCCAAAAACTGGATCCAAAATGGAGTTGACTGCGGTCCGATAGCTTGCTCAGTACTAGAGCAAGCTCTCAGCTTTGGGCTGGATGATCATGGCGATCTCCCTCTGCAATCATTTCATATACCGTGCGGTCACATACTGCGGATAGCTATGTTGAAAGTTGTTGCAGGTCGAATCAAGAAGAGCTGCAGTGACTACTTGATGCTCCGCGATGAACTCCAAGCTGATATGTGGCACCACATTTACCTAAGCGACGATGACATTCACGCCATCGAGACTGGACAGCATCAGGCCAGATGTGTAACCATGCTTCATGCTTTGTATGTCGCCAGTGCAACATGCGAGAACTGCCACCGCTCCCCTGCACTCCAAGTCATCCAAACTCCAACCAGTACCGATCGGCATGTAGAAGGCGATTACACTCATTATTCCACCTCTGACATCGACGAAGAGGGTGACAACGAAGCAGACAATCAATTCCCGGGAGACATGGTCTCTGATACTCGGAAGGCGAATCTTTTGAAGCTGTTGAAATCGAATAAGGAATTGGCTGGGTCACGCGATCGCAATGCTATATCTCCACATGCCTGTTGGAACACATATCCCAGTGGCTCCTGATGAAAATCCTGAACTCGGTAACACAGCGGATTCAGCAGAGGTCTGCATTCACCAGAGCTTCTCGCAAAAGGGTCTCAACTTGGAGTCAGGGGGTCATGGAGCGATTCCCTCGTCCAACTACAGCGGTGCCACTGCCGGCCTACATGGGACGCAGATGGTTGATGGACGACAGGACATTCGATGATTATGAGGGTGGCCCTACCATAGAGATGTTAATGGCTCCTGTTGATGTCCAGCCAACCATGGTATACCATTCTGTGGGGATGGAGATGTCTGCGGGGTGGACAGCCTGGGTCGACCATGGATACAGGATCAGGCCAAGTTCATTCCAAATGTTTTATCAATGCCGGCCCATCGTCCACCATGGACTACATCATGCCAATCGGTACCACCGAACTCTATGACCCCTCAAACCAGGTTCCCGATCAGTGTGACAGGCCGATATAGCTTGGATAGGTCAGGGTCCAACAATAATGTAGATGTAAATGATGTCATCTGCATGTCAGCTTCTGAGATGATCCGATTGGCACAAGATTGATCCACCTCTCGACCGGCATTCTGTGTCTGGACACGAGATCTTTCTGTGTGGCCGCACTAGTTTTTCAGATGGTGCCAAATACATATGCGTCGATCTAGAACGAGACGCTGTCGATGTTGATGAACGCGACATCGAGGTCTCTGTGGACATAGACAGCATCATCTGGGTTACCAGTGAATTCCGAATCAAGGGAACCATCGGAATTTATATGACGCCGCTCTTTCAGTCACGGCCAGGGATCTTCAAGCACAATCACACATCCATCGATATACTGATTCCCCAGTCAGAAGAGGATTCAAATGCGCCTGGAGGCAGGACAGAGTGGGCTATCCAAGCGGTTCAACATGTCGGCCATCCCCCACATTTGCATTGGACGCATCTCCAGCGCCTCATCGATTCTAAACATATACCTGATGTTCCCTCGAATGATCCATCAACACCCAGTCAATGGTAGATCAATCACATTAATTCCGCAGGACATTGTACACATATTCTATGACATGGTCCTACTCCCATCTATCAGCCACTCCAGCGACGTCAGCTGGGAGCCTTACCTAAAGCAAACCCTTGAGGAGGCAAGATACAAGAACAGGGGTGCTGCTGGTCGTTCAGGCGGACGTGGAGCTCCAAAAACCATTCCTCTGTCTAATGATGACTTTATAAAGGTCCAAAACGGATGCACGAGATCATCGCAGATGGACTCAAGCAGTGAGCATGTATGGCTCATGTTTCTTTGTGCTCGAGGGGAAAGGAATCAAGCTCCTCACAAAGGACGGCCAGAGAGGTAATATAGTGGGCCAGAAGAAGCACTGATTCGAAACATTCCAGACCTTGATTGGAATCATATGCAGGATAGGACACACGGGGAGTTGTTGGTCGACGTGGGTGTGTCATTTACACCATGTGAATTAACTGTTCCCGTGGTTGGCGTTTGGAGATTAGACTGCCTTGGAAGCCTCATTTGGAGCAGGGGGGTACAAACAAGGAGAGATGCATCATCATAACACACTCTCCCGATACGGTGCAATACAGGCCGAGATGCAACAGGAGAGAGCTCATCAGACACATGTCGCATTCAGGAGCGCGTACAACCTATACTACGAAGCTGTGCGGACTACCAGCAATGAAGTGAGCTCGCTGCTGACAGCGATTGCTTACAAATTGTCTCCATCATACATGGCGGAATGCTCCTGAGATCACGAAGAATTTTGACTGGGTGCAAGAGAAAGACCTATGGAGTTTCGGGGACGAGTACAGAGTCAGTGGAAAGGCTGCTGCCACAATGATTTTAGATGAGATTACTTCAAAGGTGAGCAATCTACAGCTCGCACCTTTGGCGCAACACTAATTACATACACCAAGGTGGAAGAGTACGTACGATCTCAGCCGATACTATGGATACCATCCAGGTATGGTCGATTTCATCACGAGGCGAGTGCGGGAGATTCAGAGGACTCAAATCGCCCATTGTTAAGAAAAACCCACCAAAACTGGGTGTCCTCACTGGCATCCTGTAATCATATGCTCCGGGCCACGACATCAACTCCTATCGTCTTTGACAGTCACGTGCGAGAGTCTCTCGCTCTGATCAATTATAAGACAGTGTTAGAGACTGCAGGCATGCTGTTCCTCCAAGAGTTTGACATTTCCAGCACGACATGCCTGGACGGAGGTGCAGCAGGTCGATGATGTACATGTACTCGCTCTGATGGGGGTAAATGCAAAGGCGCAGAGAGACAGGGCAATTGGAAAAGCGGTTGAATGTAGAGATGTCGATTCAGAACCGGAGGAGTTTCCCATTGGCAGGACACCATCATGGAGACGTCTGAAGGCCGCCATAGAAAACATTCCGGCGGTAATCATGAGGCATTGGACATGGCCTGCGATGCTTTCCAACACCTCACTATCAGTCGAACGGATCTTTATAATGTTCACCAGGCAGATATGGCTGATGCCCATAGATGGCGTGTTTAAGGGGATCAGGCCATACCCTACATCGCTTCAGGACGCAATGAGGTGTTGGACGGTAACAAGCGTGGACGATACCCTTGCGTCTGTCACTTTCGAAGCCTGCAATGTCGGAATACAAAACCGTGTGGGAATTACTCCAGGTCGCATGGGTCCTAGGGCCAAATCGTTTGCTAATAGATCCGCAATTTATTTTCCGGCGCCAAATGCAGCAAAGAAGGATGGTTCACAATGGGATCAGATGTGGAAAGGAGAGGGATATATTGCTGCTTATCACCAGATTCTGGGTGAAATGGAAGAGACACGACGATCAGCGCTCCGCAACGAACTACGCGAAGTCTTTTCCAACCTCCATTGCCTCCCTGCAAGCAGTGGGGCTCAGGTCTGGAAGGTCAGACAATCAGCAGCAGTATTCGTCACCAACCCGGTATTCTATAAGATGGACTGCCTCAGGAACCCGGATAATAACAGAACGAGACAGACTACGATCCATCGTCCAATCAAGATTCTCAAAGGGAAACGTGTATTTGCAGCGGACCTCATAGACTCAACACATTTCGATTCCCGTGGGAATATTAAATTGCAGACTGACAGGCAAAAACGTCGAAGCCTGATGAAAAAGATTACGATGACAAACAAGAACAAGAGGATGCCTCCCCCACCACGTGCTCGGAAAATCAGGCCATTTCCCTTGGCTAGAGAAAAAGAGTTGAATGTAATGAGTTGAAAGAGGTAGACGAAGACATACAAATGCCATATCATTATACAAGGACACCCTTCGGGTGGCTCTTACAACATAAACATGATGCTTACAGTAGTAACTCAGGAAAAATGTATCAACAGAATCCTGTCTGTTGTTTGTGTCAGCAGTTAGAATAGTTGGTGGATTATGGAGCGTGGACGACGTGGAGGGATTTCAGTTAGCCAAGTGAATACAGCAAAATCAGATATAAGAATGTGAACGCTTGGGTATTTCGACCGCGCCCATGTAGGAATTTAAATGCTGAAATGGCTATCAGATCATGTCCTAACAATTTAACAATGTTGACATGTCACCACCCGGTGGACAATTGTACCCAACCGAAGGAACAATGAGCTGGAAGAGATGGTGTTCGGCCTTGGTGTGGACCGGAAGCACAGCGAAAAGTATGCCCTGCTGCTCAGCAAGATGAGCATGACGTATCTTCATTTCCCTGGCAAACCCAACATCATGAGGGCGCCAGTTGTACTGAATACGGACTGAGGATGGACCGACTCGCAGTATGGTAGCACACCAAAAGAACATCCGCACACTGATAGTCGTTGCCATTAACCCACTGTCCACGTCCAGGTGACTGGTTCTCGTGAAACGCGCCCTCAGTTGTGTCGATCAGATAGGCAACCACATTTTTGAGCGGGACACCAAAGTGACCAATGTAACTTCTGCCCGTCCAATTCTCCATTCCAACCTTGAGTGGATTTCGTCGGCTTGGCAGCAACGTGCAAGACAAGTACCAGAAAGACCTACACAATGTTGTGGGACACAGCATAATCGAGCAAGAGATTTGTAGCATGGCGGGGAGAAACATCCATTGAGGTAAACCGTCTGATCAAGTTATGGTGCACACCACCTTCAACTGAGTTCGTTCCTCGGCAGCATCTGTACAGCTGAAGGCCATTCTTGTCACTGCCTATGCTGTAGTATAGCTGCAGACCTGGAGGATCAGAGTTATATCCACAGCGTATGTTTTCAAGGACGTTCTCTGCAACTTCCTGTGCCTTCTCATTGAACAGCGGGTGCCTTGATATGGAATATCTCAGCGCACCATAGGACTTGATGACAGATTTGATGCGAGGTAGCATTATCTGCGGTGAGGGCATGTGTCTTCTGACCCGCCGGAGCACCCAGTCTGGATGTGAGCGGAGTGATGCATCGAATGTAATGCCGGACCTTTGAAAGACTTGTTCGAGAACATTGCTGCACTGATGGCCCTAAAAATGGACGGTGTAGGCCGTGCTGCATAGTAATCGGAAACTGGTGATACAAATGCCAAGGGTCTCCAAGGGCACGTGAAAGTGTCAGATGCTCCAGTGATGGGTCAAAATCGTCATACTGAAGCAGCAGCTTGCACAGTGCTGCGAGCGTCTTCTTGCGACATGACAATGTCCTGCTCAGCAACCATGAGCTGTGGATCCGATTCATCTTCCACGCTGCCTGCATCTGGACCCGGTCTGAGTGAGAATTTTTATTTTATTTGCTTCAGATTGAGTCCTTTAGGGTCGTAGACCCTATATTGGACATTTCTCGTCATAAGCTTCTTTCTCATGTTTGGGGTTCGGTGGACAGGCACGGAGTGATGATTCGTCGATGGGAAGACCGGGAGCATCGTGTGAGGCACCTGACGACCATGACCCTGCTCACTCGAAAGGTGATTCCACGTTTCGAGTCTTCATGTGCCGAGCAGCACAGACGATAGTGAATGGGATTGTGCCCATCGTGGAGAGTGCTGTTGCCTTGCGGGAGTTACAGAGGCTCGCAGGAAGTAGATATCCTGATGCAACAACCTCGGTAATGACCATGGGAACCCTCGTCATTGTGACATTGACACCATTGATCTGAGCTGGTCGGTCAAGTGCAACAGCACCGTGGGCAACTGGTTTATCATCAGTCGAGTGAGAGAGTGACTGGTGTCCCTCCGGAAGTTGCAGGTGAGATAGCTGTGGAGCTGCGAGGGTATATAGTGTGTCGTGGACTTGCAGTGTGGCGAAGGCATCATTGACTGCGTGATGGAGAAATACTTTTGACAACTCCTTGTTTGCCCAATGAGGGCCGACACGAACTACAGGATCGTGTTGCAAACTACGGCGAAGCACAGTTGTCACAAGCTCAGGTAGGCCGATCGATGAACGCTTCGCTACATTACGCTCGACAGCCATGATCCCCAGCTCAATGTGCCCTTTCAGCTTGTCTGCAATATCAAGTCCGCAGTCACCCTGCAACTTTTTGAATGCTGCCCCGATACGTATTCCAACCTTCGTTTACACAGGTTATTGGAGGAATGTTAAGAACGAGTGAGGCAAAGCAAGGTGATTGTCTTGAATGAAGGGAAGAGTCTAGAGATATTCGAGATTCAGTACATGGCCCATTTTCTCTGCAGCTGCCATGGCACACCTGGATGAGATAGACAGTGGACTCATGAGCTATCTGAATGAGTGCTACACGCCCGTGGATACCAGAGGTCACATCGATAGGCCGATTCCAACGACAATAGGGTGCGAGTCATCGTGAATTGCCATTATGTTGTCAATACGGAGATCGACTTGAGTCGTGTTGGTGAGATGCACGGTCCGCCAGGAGCCTGGCACTCGAAACAGCTCGAGGGTGCTGCTATTGGGGACAGGGACCACGCTCTGAAGGAGGGAAGGGAACCATTGCTGGTATGCGAGCCGGTCTGCTCGCAGAGTCTGTATAGACTGCTTCGGTGGGGGTATGGCCGAACATTTTCGCAGCAGCAACCACAGCACGCAGCACTGGACCGATCTGTTCATGCCCCTTGTTCTGAGTGATAACTATGCTCACGATCTCACTATACTCGTTCACTGTGGTATGTAGTCCATCAAAGGACTTCACGCCACACACCCGTCCGAACAGTTGCATGACCTAGATATTGACATGAGCTAAGAGCAAAATAATGCAAGGAAAGCACCAGCCTTGAGAGCCAGATGGGCATGCTCGACCGTGGAACGAACCTCATGAGTGGCACATTACTCGATGTGGGCATGGCATCATCAGGCTCCCTTCGAAAATCCACATCCGAGTCCTCATCTTCATCAGCATCATCCACGTCATCAACCGGGATGGTCTCTGTGGCACGAAAGAGGTCCGAGTCATATGGGTTTTCAAGCAGAGCGCCTGTTCCACAGTACTGTATTAGCGCACAGCAAGAAAACTCGGGCGGGAAAGACTCACTGTCCAAGGCATCACGGTCCGTACCACAGTTCTTTCTAGATGGAATGGAGGAACTGCGCTCTGGCTGTTTCCCTTTCGCCAGGGATGTCAATGTGGGCTGGGGATTTTCATTTGCGAGAGGAAAGGTTGTTTGTGGTGCTGACAGTTGCGCACGCTCGTCAGAGAGATGGATGCGATTGGGGGGGTGGGGGGTGGATGTGCAACTGCTGCGTCGATGGCAGGACAGGTGCTGCAGCCTGCAAGTGAGATGCCTCGATATCTAAATTGAACATGGTCAGGCGCTGGTGAAGTTTGATAACCGGATCACGCACCCATTAATACTTTACCCGTTGATGCGGAGACGTTATCCATTGTTCCAGGGATCCGTCCGTCCTTTCGTGGGGAGGCGACCGATAGTGCCAGGCTTATTCTTGCTCCGTTTTGGTCGTCCGCGTTTCCGCCGTTCGGAGTCCATGTTGACAAGTGTGAGCACAGACAAAAAATAAGGGGAGAGAGCGCACTGGTGAGTAGTTGCTCTTCACAAAAAACACACGCAGCTCGAAGGGCACAGACGTTCGAGATAGCTCGTCGAACCAGACAACGTTCACTAAGTCCGAAAAGGCAAAGGTGGGAAATGCGTCCCGCCTCTTCGGCAACTCGAACTGCAATGTTAAGATTATCCCATGCAAGCAGAAAGGGATGCGATTTTGCAATTTCGTTGAGCCTCTTTGCTCGCTCTTCCCCATCTTCTTAATTGTACGTATAGCTTTCGTGTATGAAAATGTCATACCGCATGATGTAGGTCATCGAACATTGAACGGGAAGCCCCACACGCCAGCAAGTACACATACATCATTGTCTGATACCCATTGCTTTGTTCATTGCGGGCTTGTGCAAGCATGCAAATTACAGTGACAACAACCTATTAACACACGTTAGCTATGTAAAGAGTGGTCAAATGCAAGGAATACAGACAAGGTCTCGGTCTCGCCGTTCTGATGTGAGGCGAAATCCATGTTAATATGACGGAGGAAGGTACAAACAGTTAGAGCAAGCTTCTCGGCCTCGACAAGAATTCTCTCGAGCGGCCAACTGCTCAAAAGCTCAGACACTTCTTGACCTGAAGGCGGATGCAGGAATGCAGCAAGCTTCTTGCCCACGTTAATAAGCAGCCGTGAAGCAGTGCTTGTGGCCCATGAATCGGTGATGCGAGGTTGCCGACTACGTATCCCAAAGTGCGTGAGATATGAGCCAGTGTTGCTGATCGGTCTTTGCATCATCTCCACTAAGAATTCTGAAAGTGAGCCAAAACCTGCATCTTTGATGCCCCGCAATGCATTGCCTAGACGTGCTGCATGCTCTTCATGGGCTCTTCTTAACGCAGTTGAGCGGCAGCTGCGTCTTGCAACTTTCTTTCTGAAACGAGGCGAGCTTGCTCTGCTGCCATTTGAAGATCACAATACAGCAATGTTGCAGGTGCCTGGATATCAACATTTATGAAGAATCAAGTAGTACTTAACAAATACGTGGATTGAGACAAGGATGGTCAGCTGGACTGATGAAGCATTGCAGTAAACCAATCCTAGGTAATCAGCTGACTACATGTGATACTGAAGACAATGCATACTTACATCTTCATCCTTCTTGGACGGGTGACCAGGATTAGATGCACTCGTCGTGTCGGAGTCGCTGATCAACTGTGATGCTTCTAAATGGATGGCAGGCATGAACAGGGATGTTGACACCACCACATTACTAATCATGTACCCACATCCGCGTCAGCGGCTGCCGTTTCAGGAGACATGCGCTCGGATCCAGCCTTGAAACCTGACCCATGAACAGGCTCACTCAAAGAACCAGCAGCGCCTTCGACAATGTCTACAATAGCTTCTTCTGTCTCAGGCGGTTCATTCGTAGACACATCTCCATCAGTGTCTGTCACCGCCACTCCTGTGTCAGCAGGCTCATTGGTCGATCCAAAACTTTCTTCCAAGAGAAGGGCTTTGGTGATGTCAGATACAGACGATGATATAGATGCAGTCGTGGAAGTCACGGCTGGTGACGTAGGTCGAGGTCCCCGCTTGACACTTTGCAGCCAGTACAGGCTCCACCTGGAAGTGTATGTAAAGATGAGTCAATATCTAAAATAGTCTGAGCTCACCCGTGACGTCCGTTTACGCTTTACCGAACCATTCCCTTTGCGATGATCCATTGAATCACCCTCTCTGGCGATGTCCATCCTATCACACAGGCATGTGTAACATTGATGTCACACTCGTCACCGTCGGATTCACTATCAGTATCGTCAGTGCTGGGAACCAATGGCAATAACCAGGGGAGCTCGTGAGCCGACATCATGCTGATGGTAGTGTGAGTTAAGCCATAGTGCGTGCATGTGACATACCTTGCAACTGGTGTTGGTGGGGACGGAAGAGGCCTCAGTTGAGGGTGGCTGCTTCCCATTTCTTTTTTGATTCCAGCTCACCGAGTTGACGGAAGACACATGTGAGGTATTCAGGGTGTGTGTCCATGTGCGTGGTCGCGGCATACATGCGTTCCATGCCTAAGGCCTCGAGAAAGTGATCATGGCTATCAAACACGAACCAACCTGGATGTTTTGGAATCACCAATCCGTTTAAATCATCGTCCTTGTCGATACCTGCGAGCTCACAGAAGCGACGGGATATCCATGCGGCAAGTTTGAGAAAAACATGCGAATTGCCCTCCTTGAAGGTTTTCTTGATATATTGTCCCAGTCATCGAAATCACGGGGGAATTTGACATGATCGTACTCCCCAGCATCTGCCTGCTAGATGTTAGAATATGTCAACGAGGTCATACCATGTCACTTATTACATCTGATTCTGATGCGACTGTCATGTCTAAGTCGCAGTGGCGCTAATCAACACGGTCAATCGAGGGCCTGGTTAGGTGCAAGAAGCACCCACCTCATCTTCAGATTCAATCATCTCCTTAGACTTCGCTTTCTTATCCTTTGTCGCAGTCTTTCGGTTGCGTCTGCGTTTGGCAGACTTGTGGGTCTGTTTTCCGTCTCCCTCAATCGTCTTCGCAACCTCTTGGATACCATCATCCTCCAGGTCTGAATCGTCCGAGGCGTCACGCTGGTCGATCAATATATATTAATAAGCCGGATTCACTGCAAGATGCACCCACCTGAACTTCGGATTCAAGTGTCTCCTCAGACTTAGACTTGGACTTCACTTTCTCACTATTTGTCGTGTTCCTTGTGCGCCGTCCATTTTTGGTAGACTTGTAGGTTCTTTTTCCGACTTCCTTGGTTTCAAAGGGATTCGCTGCCATTCCCAGAACAACTCCTCCATGTCAGAACAGTTCTGGGCATCAAGTCAATCCATCAATAATGACGATGAGAAACATCGGGTTTTCAGCATGAAACACATACCTCATTCTCCGGCTGGATCATCATTTCGGGCATCACTGTCTTCTTATTCCTGGCCCGGACAAGGGATTTATTACGGGGCTTCTTGGTGCTCTCCTGCAACTCATATATATTTTGAACTTCATCACTATCATTTTCCTCAATGTCAGTAGGGTTGTTCGCCGATGTTGAGCTTCCCGCCAGTGAAATGTTGTTTTGACACTGCGGTTAGGCTTGCGGGCCCTCTTCGCCTTATCCGCTGCAGTAGGACCCTGGGTGTTGACATTGCAGCTATCCTTGCGAGTCTTTCGAACCTCACCCACAGGAGAAGTGTTAACATCCGTCAGAGTGATATCTTCAAACCGCAAATTCTTCTTTTGCTGAATTTCCTTCGCCTCTGCCGGCTTGTGGGCAGTATGTGGTTCGATGACCTGAGCGATCATTTCATGAGCGAACGCTGATGAGTGTGCGAAGAACCGCACACGTTGACCCCATCTTTGCAGAATGCATCATGCATTTTTGCGAGATCAACTGAAGGAAATGTTGCGCAGACATTCTTGGGCAGAATCAAGACCACTCACGCTGCTGTACTGGTGCATATATCTTCTTCTGCTGGAAGTCATTCCACGTGATCGATCGTCTTGAGTGCAGTGGCCTGTTGCTCCTTTGTGAACGAGTTGTTGGCCAAAGCCATTGCGAAGTGAAAGTCAAGGTAGCATGACCGCCACTTGGTACGTGGACCAGGAGCATCCGCTCTAAGCTCATCATAAACCTGGCTAGAATGTCCGTAAGGTACAACGTGATGGCTAGGTGGAAATCGATGTCCTCTTTGACGCCGTCTGATTCTGGAAGTGCCATCAGAGCTATTACGCTACCCCGATACAGTTGGAACTGGTGAACCAGGACCGAAACTGCATCATGGCACTCTCTTGGCACTTTTTGCTAAGCAATGCGACACCTTAGATCATGCATGTGGTTTGAAAACGCGACTACTCACCTTTTCAGTGCCGCTTACTAGGAAGATTTGGGTCTTCTGCGACTCCAGCGACAACGGGAGGGATATGAGAGAATCTTTGACCTCCTGCGCAAGCTCCTCAATGCAGAGGCAGACTGGCTGTTTGGCGGAGCCTTTGCTGTTAGGCATGATGCAATGAGGGTGGCAGCAGATATTATGATATTATGATCTAGACTATTGAATTTGCACCATGTCAATTCGACACCGCTTGTGACATGTGACAACCATCATTAATTTATTTTTCGCGATAATGATTATGATATTTCCCACGCTCGGTTGTTTCATTGGCACTCGAACTATACTACTAGTAGTAGGTGTAGCGTTTCCTAGTTTAATTAAATTAAATTAAATTAATTAAATCAAAGGAGGAGAGCACTGGCAGGAAAACTTTACCGTCTCTGAAGTATAAGATCTAAGACACTGACATTAATATTGTCTCCTATTGTCTCTTACGGGACGTTCCGATCAGATCACCCCACATCAATATTAATATTAAGAAAAAGGTACCACTCGATTACATAAGTAGAATCTCATTATGATAAGCAACTGCACGTTCCGAGCGGATCGTGAGCCTGCGAACGTTGACGCATGTGAAAAGGGCCTTTGTAAGCGCCCATGTGGAGATCCTCATTCTCGTGTGCAAGCACTCATATATATAGGCTTCGTACTCCCCTTCGTACAATATCTTTCGTTTTAGACCACCCTCCCACCTCTCAAATATTTCATATTCCTAGTGCTTTTTGGTTTGGTATTGTTTCTCCTTCAGACCCAACGTCTGCTCTCGATACTAAGTCACTTAGCGCTCCGAAGGTTTGTCTTTCTCCCCCCCGGTCCGTGTACATTTTGTCTCAATGCACGTGTCTTCGGGTACTCCGAGCTTCAGACACAGAACTCTGAGTTTTATAGACAACCGAGCAAAA